CCCTTCCATCACGTGTACCGCTTTCAAACTCGCTCGCTCATATGCAGCTCTACCTACTCGTGCTGGTAGTCTTTCCGTGCCCGGTCTTTACGCCAGCTTCGCCAGTCCAGGTATTGCAGCAGCGTCCAGTTCACGTGAGCAAGCCTCAGCACAGGTGGGACGGGATGAGCACTGGTTGTATAAAAACCTGCATCCGGCCTCGCTGCTCTTCTTCCTCACACTGCACTCTTCGCCTTAGGGGGGCTCTAAATTGGACAAAATTCGTCAAATGGTCGTGTTCTTGGAGCCCTCTAAAATGATTCTGGATGCAGCGTCATGTGGTTGCTGCTCCCGAAGCTCTAAAAGCCTCTCAATTACGAGGACATCGAAGACATGGTGTCTTCTGTAACCTGGATCCGGATGCCGAAAAAGCCGCAGGGCGGCACGGAATGCTCGCCTCGGGTTTCCTGGGAAGTCCAAAGTACATTTCCTGCTGTTTATGGTGTCTCGAGAGCTGGGATCTGGACTTCGAAAATTCGACAAGTCAGCTACATGGTTCCCTTGCTGCCTTGGAAGTCAGAAATTGGTTTCCGACCAGATGATGGTTTCTCGGTCGGGAGCTGTGGGCGCGGCGGAGAAAAGAGAAAGTGGGCCACCCATGTGCAGCAGCGTCCATTGCGCATCTCGAAGAAAAAGAGTGGATCAGGTGAAACTTGGTCTTGCTTCCTGGGTCTACGGCTCTACAACGTCCGTCGATGCAGAATTATGCCTCAGTTCTCTTCTCTTCTCCGCTGGAGACTCTAAAAGGTATCTAGTGCTGTCACATGCGGCGTTGGGGAGCTGCGACTTCGACGAAAAAAATGAAGGAGGAGATGTGTGTCATGCTTGGGAGCTTCGGCAAAAAAAAAAAGAGGGTGTGCTCGTTGGCATGCGGGTGTCTAGATGGACGGACGGTGTACTTCCTTCGGAAATCTATCACTTTCTCACGTATGAGAGAGTTTGTTCTGGACTCTAAAGTGCATGGAATCATTGCAAAATGGTCCCTTGGATCAGGAGGGCTGGAAATTGAAGAAGTGGCGCTCCATGCTGCTGCGCCGTCGCGGCTCTCGAAAAGTCTTCTAGGATAGTGTTCATGAGCTCGTGGGAGCGGACGCAGAATTAGGTTGTCTGACGGCATGCTATGCGTTCTGTTCTTCTGCCGTTCAAAAAAAAACATTTCACGAATCTGTACCATGGTCGCTCTCTGGACGTAGGGATCCAAACTCGCGAACTCCCAGACATATGTCTGCGTCCTTCTGGAGCTCTACAAAAACAATTCCTGACCTTCCATGGCTCTTTGGCCAGGATCTCCGCAATAACCTCACCATCTGGGATATATGTCTCCTTCCATCTAGCCTCCGAAATGTCGCTGCCTGGGACTATGTGGCTTTTTCCAACACTGAGTCTGGACTTCACAAGCTTTGCTCGATACCAAACATGGTGGTTTCGACTTCGCAAGCTCTAAAAGATGGCACCAATGATAAATATGCGCCGGGTCTCGCGGATTCGTCCCGTTGAATATAGATGCTTCGTTCTTTGAGGCTTTGAAACTTCACAACGTGGTAGGTATGGAACTGTGGACGAGGGACTCTGGATTCTACAAGCTGAACGGCAAGAACCTTGAAGTCACGTTTTCCGCGCCTTCTGGATCTCCAAAACGGAATACCCGAAATCAACATTGCCTTCTGCAAGCTGTTCTCCAAAAAGACTCGGATACTGCGCATGCGCGTCTGGGCTGCGCGCTCCATAGCGGATCCAACTCTCTTGCATGAGCTCTTGGAAAGCTAGACTCCAAAAGTCTACTAACAGGCGAAACATGGCTCGTCCCTTCGGCCTTTCCTCCTAAAATCTCGTTTATATCAATTGTGCTTTGTTGGACGCGATCTCCCAAATTGCCTAGATCAAATGTGATGCCCTTCTCTCCTCTCGGGGCCCCGAAAAGAAATCATCATACCCAAGCATGGTCTCCTCAATATACTTTCAGAGGTGCATATGTATTTCTTCCTCCCGCTCCCGAAAGTAGTATACTATGACATTATGACTCTTGGGGGCTGGGTTGACAGATACCTACCCAAAGACATCTACGGGTGGCTTCTTTCGCGCCTCTAAACACCAGCTGTGTGCTGAGTATGCCGTTTCGGACTGTGCTTCGAGAAGCTGTGTTCAGACACGATGATGCATCCTTTCTCTCACTCTTCTAAAATAGGAGCAGCTCCGTCAGAATGTGCTTCTGAGCTGTGGTCTCCTAAATCATCGCTCCCTAAGATGTATGCTGGCTTCTTCGGGCCTTTCAAACTTTCGCATGCTGGAGGCATGGTTTGCGTGGCTTCTAGATCTATAGGAACCTCTATCTGTCTGAAGGAATGGTCTTACCGGCTCTTCGAGACTTCTAAAACTATTTGGTACTGTATATATGGCCTTGTGGAAACCTGTGCTGTCTAAAACCTTCACACGACTCGGCGTATGGTCTTCTGTTTTAATCTCCTCGTTTCATCTCAAAGCCTAAGGCACTTCAACGTATGCTTCCGAGCCTCCTGGCTTTTCTAAAAAGCTACCACACGATGTAGATGGCTCTTCTCCTCCTGAACCTGAAAACTGCACATCTCTGCCACAACATGGCCCCGTGGAACTGGACTCCGAGAAACAACACGATTCCCGATCCACGCCTTCACCACTCTTGATTCCTCCAAAACACACTCGACGCAGAGATGATGCTGTCTGGCGACTTGCCCAGCTTTAGAAGTCTCATGGGCTCGAGCGAATGGTCTTGCTGCTTCCCTGGGCCTTCCAAAGATCTTGCAGGAAATATGAATGGCTCCGGCCCAGCGAAGTCCCAAATCTGCCGAGATGAAGGGAAGACATTTTTGTCCTTCGGGACTCACAATTGCTACTCTACATATTGTATGGTTTCTGGGAAGATGGGGATTCCAAAATTTAGCTTCGACCACTTCGATGGCTTCCTCTTCTTCTGGACCTGGAAAATGGACACTAATACGAGAATTGACTCCGCTCCGCTGGCATATGAAAGCAATGGGGTGTAGCCTTGATGGTGTGTGTTCCGCGTACAAAAGGTGTCATCGGGGCGGGAAATAGTCCTACCAGCTCTTACGTCTCTCGAAATTGCCAACGGGAATGAAGCATGGCTGTTCCGCTTCCTCCCGACTCCACATTCGATCTCGCAGCAAGATTATGCTTCCACAAGGTCGAGCTCTCATAAAGTTGCTACCCTTGTACCAGATGATTCCCTGTCGTCTCCCAGTCTTTGGGAGCTCGGGAGTCTACAAAAGCCCTTCCTAAGTCGACACGTTCCTTAAGAAAGAAAAGAGATCTACGCACAGCATACGCCAGTCCGCGTCGCAAACTTCCAAAACCACAAGGCATTGCATTCAATGGGAATTATGGTCCCGAGCTTTCTATAGCCATGGCTTCAACCCCATTGCTGCTCTGGCGACGTCTAACACGATATCACGCCTCGTCATGTAAATTTACCTGGGTTGCGAGCAGAAGTGGATCCCAAAGTCGCGATCCGATTGCAGATGGAATGCGTTTATATCGCCGAACTAAAACTGAACAAAGATCCAGAAATGTCTTCCTGGAAGTGGACTCCTCCAAGGTAAATGGAGAGTTCTTGGTGGTACGGTTGGCTTCTGGACTCTCAAAGCATTACGAGACGTTCTCATGCTGCTCTTGCTCTCTAGCCCAATACTACGATGGATGCCGAGGCATGTTGCGCCCGGAGATGCAGAGCTGTTTCCTAAGCCTTGTGTGTCACCCTGGGGCTTCTACGGGCACGCTTCTAATTTTATGCGCGGAGGCTCTGGCTTCCAATTCCAATCTCCAAAACACCTAAACGATGTCACTGCGGTCTTAGACTCTAAACAATCAATGCAATTCTCTACGGACTTTGGCTTAGAGGAATGAAATACGTATCACAATGTCTTCATGGAGGATGGAAAACTAGTCCAAAAAAGTAAACCAGGTGTCAGTGGATTTTGCGCCTGCCCATGCGCTTGCGTTTCTTAAAAGGAATAAAAAATACTTGCAAGGCAAGACATGTTTTCGCGATTTGGCTTCGGGAGTCCCAAAGGAACCGAATGGCTATGCATATCTTTTCCGCGTTTCTTTGGGATCCCGAAGTCCTTGAAATACCTTTCCATGGAGTGTTGTTGGCGGCTCCGAAACTCTTTACGCTGGAATACGTGTAGTCATTGTTCGGAAGGTCTCTATCGTTCGTCCAAAAGTCCAAGGAAGGATCCTATGGACCGTTTTGCTGTTCCAAACAAGAGAAACGATACCGTGCGTCTCCTGTAGCTACCGTAAAGGAAAGCCCAGAACACCAAAAGCGGGTTGCTATACACTCAATGGATTGCTGGCGTCAAATTCCCCCTCACAGAATCTCAAACTCCTTGAACTTTTGCTCTGGTATGCTGCCTGGGTCCTGGTTTCACACGCTATGCCAAGAAAACATGACTTCTATGTTCTTTGGTTGCGCGACAGAGTCGGACTGGTAAAACTTCTGGAAGTAGCGATCATGCTACGAGAGATTTGGCTCAGAAATGCGACTACTACACGTTGATGCAATTACAGGCTCACATCAATTCAAGGCAGAATCTGAGATCGCCGTGAAGACTGGAAGCTTGCTCTGCATGCAATCATGGAATGTTTCTCCAGCCTTCTTTTCTCGAAAACGGATCACTATGCGGTATGTTTTCTCGCTCCGACTCGTCTTCCTGGAAGGAATACAAATTCTGCAGTTTATCGAGTCCGATACGTAGCTTCTCCGGGGCTAGAAGCAAAGGTACCAATTATTAATGTGGCTTGTCCCGAGTTCGAATCTATTTTGGGGTCCCTGGAAGAAATTAGGACATATATCATAATTAAATTACCTCTCGGCACACACCGTGACTTTGCAACTGCCTAGATGGAGCATATTCCAGATAATAAAAGCCGAGGGAAAATTTAGGAATGGCGCTTCCTCGTTTTCAAAACATTCCCAGTTGGAGTATATGTCTCCGAGGCCTTGGTGCTTCCACAAAAGCCAAAGGTCAAGAGGCTGGAGAATATGGTGTTCTTTCCTGCTCTTTCTTTCCGGACCCATTAAAAATTCTACAATTGCTGGCCATGGTTGCAGTGTCGAGTGAGAATGCGGGCAATGCGCTCGAAACGTGCCTCTCCCACACACATGGCGCTTTCTCGCTCTACGGAAAGGAGATGCTCACAAAACATGCTGTGGATGGTACGAATGGAATTCCCATCATATGGAAATCCCTCAAGATAAGGAAGGATATCATAGGCCGAGGCTTTTCCTTCGATAAAAGTGCTGGAGAACTTCGTGATATGTTCTATTTCGACAGCGAAGACTGGCTACGGAACAAAAGGCGACAATAAAATCACCCCATGCAAAGGTTTTCCCCTCTACTCCCCATCAGGCACACCAACACTAAAAGCGTCGCCATTAGCAAAGGAACCAACCCAACAATTACCCCTTAGACCCCTCAAACCCCCATCGACTCAGCACGAAACAAACGCCTTCCCACCCTAACTCTCCGGCTCCCACACCCCCCTCCCCTCTCCTACAAAACACTGTATACTCCCAAACCTCTCCAACCACCTCTCAATCCCCGGATACCTAATTTCCCTTATCTTCGTTTCCTCCCCACACTTATCATCCTGATAAATAATGCAATACCCTCCTTTATCAGGGCCAATTGAGTCGGGCGCCTCGTCGCCGGTGCCAGATATGTAGCAATAGTTGGACTGGGGACGCCAGGCGCACTCGCCGCGGAACTTGGGCTGGTTGCAGAAATAGACGCCGCCGGGCATGCCGGCGGGTTTTTTGGGGCGGGCGAGTGCCGTGGCGGAGAGGAGGAGGGCGAGGATGGCTGGGGGCCGCATGGTGATGTTGCTGGCTAGTGAGGATTTCGGTTCGATATAGAGTATGTATAAGTGTGCTTTTTGACGAAGGCGGTGGAAGGATTTGATGGTAACTCAGGCTTGGTCGGCTCTAGAGGGTGGAAGTGGAGAGAAGTGATGCCGACTTTGTTTGCAACTCGATCGTGTGAATGCTTTGTTCCCGACAGACTCGCGGGCTATGTGTCTTTGTTTCCTTCCCCGCAATAGCGGTTTGAAAGACTATAATTATAGTTAAACAAAGGAGACACGACCGACCTATGCAGCGTAGATGTTGTACTCTCAGGCTACGCTGTGCTCGGAAGTACACTTACTTTTGACTCTCGATTCAGCGGAAAGCCTGAACAATACTGCTGTCAACTTTAATAGACCTCTGCGAAGTTACTCCTCGGCTTTGACATCCTCCTCGTCGAGGACATTAATGCTCTGACGGTGGAGTGAGCCGCGTAGCACCTCGCATGTTCTCCTCACCATCTCAAAGGGAATCTCATAAGCCGCAGAAGGATCTGTATATTCATAGCATTCATACACACATATTTACACATGAAAGCCCATGCCTAATTTCTTCACTTTTTCTTTTTCGCCTCCTCTCTCATCTCCTCTTTGATCCTGCTTATCGTTCCGGCGCCGCGATAAATCATCGCTGTATACACCTGAGCGGCACTAGCTCCTGCATCCAATATCTCCCTCGCCTGCCTCCCATTAGTGATGCCACCGGTGGCGAATATCACCTTTCGAGGATTGTTTGGCGTGGGAGCTGGTGGGACGACCTCTCCTTCCGTTGGAGGCAGTGAGGGAGATGGTAACTTGATCGTAGGCGCGGATTCGCTCAGGTCGTCGACATTTGTGGGCAGCATTGATAATTCGTCATGCAAATCCGCGGACGCGTTGGGTAGGGAAGATACCGCAGAGGCAACGGCGTCACCGGCTCCTGAGGCTGCTTTTGAGGATTCTAGCTTGCCTAGGATGGAAGCATCGGGCTCGTCGCCAGTTGACTGGCCCGCTATGGGTATGTCCGGCTCTTCTGAAGGCGGTGGTGGGAGTTGCTTTGGTCCATCATCTAGCGTCTTGCGATACCTCCTTACAAGCGTCAATGTGCGCTCGAACATCTGTGGCCCGGAGTATCCTCCCTGTTCTAGCAATATGCTGGCTTCGCCCTTGGGAAGTACATAGCCTTTCGGAATAGGGTCTGGCCGCTTCTTCGTAGTATTCCCTACGATCACCCCATCAACGCCAGAATCCCAGACTGCTTCGCAGATGCCGGATACCTGCTCTTCTGTATCTTCATCTGGGCTGACTTTGACCATGATGGCCGGCTTCGTCTTGCGGTCGATACTCTGCACCGCTTCCACAACGCTACTAAGAAGTTGCGTCAAGGGCTCGACGTTCTGAAGTGCGCGGAGACCAGGAGTGTTCGGGCTGGAGACGTTGACCACGATGATATCGGCATATTTTCCGAGAATGTTAACGCATTTAGTATAGTCCCTCTTGACAGCCTCAATATCCTGCTCTGAGGTAGTTTTGTTCTTCGCGATCTGAACCGCCATAAGCCGACCGGGCATGAGCGACCCCGGGGGAACGCCAGCCTCCCCGTCCAGCACCACTCGCTCCGCCTCCTCGTCGAGCCCAAGGCCGGCATGGTATGCAAATTCCCTTACGCGCTGTCGTAGCCTGATAGCCACCATGTCCGCACCCTCAGAATTGAAACCATAGCGATTGATGAGCGCATTCTGCGACGGTATCCGGAAGACTCTCGGTCTAGGGTTCCCTTCTTGGGGCAACGGAGTTACTGCGCCCACCTCGACAAGCCCAGCGCCAAGTAGCAAAGTAGGTGTGGGGATCTCAGCGCCTTTGTCCAATCCCGCAGAGGTTCCGATAGGATTGCTCAACGTATGACCAAAGACCTCCACTTCCAAGTCTCCTGCCGCGTCTGGGTTTCCACGCTCTCTAGGGTGCAAGCCGAAGCTATACAGAGCCTTCATTATGCGTGTTCCTGCATGATGCGCATCTTCTCCGTCGGGATATATTTGTCGGAGAGCCGGAACGACGAGCCATTCGTGAACGCTAGCACGCGTATCTGTGATATAGAGGTAGCCAAATGATAGAGCAAGCGTCAGAGCGGTGCCATAAATGAGGTTCTTCGTTCTTGTTGCGGCAGAACGTGCATCGGTCGCGACTGTCGAGGCGTGCCTGGTGGGGTGGAGAAACGGGCGGCGGGAAGGACGCAAGCGAGCGATTGAAGGTCGGACGCGCAAGGCACGCATCTGAGCGGCCGGTATCATGGTAATGGGCGTGTCCTGCCGCGCATAGGAGAGCCAATTGTGGTGCAATGGTTGGTCGGGGAGCTGTAGCAGAAGGCGGGTGACGTTCGAGGCTTAGTCAGCTAGCGCTGGCCGAATCTCGACTTGCTCACTCTCCTCATGTCTCCCTCTCTCTGTCTCTCGCACACGTCCACTGCAGCTATCCTAACGTAGCATTAAACTACGATACACTTTGCGAAGAGCCTCTGCGGAAGAGCTAAAAGTAATCGTTTTCTTGATCTATTCTTCCTTGTTCCTTTGTCTACCACCATGGATACAGTCACCACCGCTGTACGCCCCGTAACATGCCGAATTCCGGCGTGGCTCGTCTCTTATTCCCCGGTCTCTCCAGGTTTTAATATACTCATTTGCCGGCGTCGCTATTGTTGATGTTCCCCACGTTGCGATGCCTAGGTTTCCAATCTTTGTATATTGAGCGCTGCGAATAACCGAAAAGCAACCGGCTATCCAGCAGCCCACATGCCTCGAGAACGACAGGAATATAGTTTTCGCACCAATCTTATCGTCTATTCAGTCTATGTTTATCCCTATGGAATTTTGGTCCCTGGTCAGGATTCAAGCGGATGATCGCCATATTCACAGGGCTAATGGAACGACCCCACAAACCAAGGTCCTATAAAGCTTCACTGCTTCAAGCTTCAAGCGTGCTCTTAACCCATCATACTGGAGCTTGTGCTTACTGCAGATCACCATGCTCCTCAATACCGCCTTGCAGCTTTCGCTGCTCTTCGCCGTCCCGGCGCTCGCCGGCATGACCAAGGAAGGAAGCCTCTGTACGGTAACACCAAACGGCGGCGGTAAAGACGATGCGATCTCCATCATGGATGCCTTCAAGCAATGTGGAAAGAATGGTCAAATCGAAATCACCGAAGGTGACTTCACTATCGCCAAAGTCATGGACTATCTCAACCTGGAGAACTGCGACATCTCTATCAAGGGCAAGCTCACCTGGAGCACCGACATGAACTATTGGAAAGGCGCCTGTATGGGCGTGACGTACGCGCAGAGATGCACAGCGTTCAGGTTGGGTGGAACCAATTTCAACGTCAGGGGCCACGGGAAAGCGCTTTTCCACGGCAACGGCCAGACGTGGATTGATGCCAATCGGAATGGTAGCAATATGCAAGGAAGACCGATCAACTTCACGCTGTGGAAGGCGAAGAATGTGCTTGTCGATGGGATTACGTGGAGGCAGTCGCAATTCTGGTAGAATCCTCCCAACACAATAGACGATATAGAACGCTGACGAGACAGGCATACGTTCGTTGCCCACTCCGAGAACATAACGATGACCAACCTCGATATGAACACCACCTCAAATTCTCAATGGAACACTGTTAACACGGATGGTACGGATACATGGAACACGAAAGGCGTCACTATCAAAAATTGGGTCGTAACCTGTGGCGACGTAAATCTCTCCCGTTCCTTCAACTATGGACCATCTAATCTTACTAGGACTGCATCTCAATGAAAGGCAATAGCAGCGACGTCTACGTCAAGAACGTAACCTGCTACGAATCCGGCGCCATGGTCATTGGCTCCCTTGGCAACCCAGCCTCCACGCCTGACTACGTCGAAAACGTCGTTTTCGAGGATATCACGGCTATCCACTCCTCCAACGCCGCCTGGATCAAGACTTACCCAGGCACTGGCTACGTGCGCAACATTACCTTCCGCAACATCAATTTCCAGGACGTCAACCAACCCATCTACGTGACGCCATGCATTTACACCTGGCAGAACTGTGACAGCAGTCGCCTAAAGATTAGCGACGTTACCTGGGAGAATATCACCGGCACGAGCAGGTATAATGTTGGCGCGGGCCTATATTGCTCGCGGAATATACCGTGCACGGGGTTCAAGTTCAAGAATATTGATATTAAGCCAAAGAACGGGGGCAGTATCAAATACCTTTGCAGCAATATCAACAGTGACAATGGGCTTGGGTGTACGGGGACGTGTCCGGCTGGATGGAAGCAGCAGTTGAGCGGGAACGCCTGAGTCCTCGAAATCCCACATATAGCTTATCGTCATAAATAAAATCAAGTCCGTGGTTGGGATAGTCGGTCCAGACCAAGGTGTTCATGCACCCGTTCATCGTGGTTCGTCCCAAAAAGGCTAGAACCTCGGCCCGTTTCTAGCCCTGGTCGTATGACGTTCGTCCTACCATGCTACCTCGACCTCTCCGCAGGCGCTAAGCGGATCACCACCCGTCACACGAGCAGCGCACACAACCCCTCTCCACACCAGCAGACCTCACCCCATGCCTCAATTTCTCCCATCACAAGGCTGCACAGGCTCGCGTCGACCTCGTAGCCTCGCGAAGACCTGAACCTCCGGCAACTCTCCATTACACCACAACCTACTTCTGAAGCCTTCCCACCATGGCTTCCGTAGCCGAACACACCCGCGAAGACCGCCCACACGTCTACTTCACCAGCGACCCGCGCAGCGACGCCCTCATCGAGGATGGCACGGCCGACGAGACCGAGACCCCGCGTGGCAGGCTGAAGCGCCGCAGGATGTCCTCGCACTCCCCGCCGCGCGCGCCCTCCCCCTCGCGCGGGCACGAGCGCGCTTCCGGCTCGCGGCATAGACATCATCACCGGAAGCACCACCGCGCGTCATCATCGTCGTCAATCTCCCCTCCGCCGGCTATGAAGAAGAACCGGAGGAGGAGCGACGCCGAGCCGGATCACACGCTGAGGGGCCGCGCGAGGAGGAGCCGTAGCCCGATTATCGAGGGGGAGGAGAGAGAGGTTAGGAAGAGGAGTCAGCCGCCGAGTCGGCATCGGGTGAGGGGCGAGGAGGATGGGGATGAGGGGGCGTTGAGGCGGCAGAGGAGTTTTCCGAATCTGTATAGGGAGGCGGGGAAGGAAGAGAAGGTTAAGGAGGGGAAGAAGGTGGATAGCGGGGCGGAGGATATGGAGGGCGTGAGGAAGGGGGATGTGTATGAGGAGGAGCGGCAGCAGGGGGATGTTGCGCCTGCGGTGCAGAAAGTATAGGCCGTCCTCTGCGTGTGCATGGTGGCACTAATGTTGGACTTGGGATGGGAATCGGATTGCTCTGGGAGGGCGTTTGGGACTTATACCCTTCGTATTTGATTTGATTTGGAAGTGCGGCTGGTTTACGCACACACGGAATCCTGGAACTGTACTGTACGGGGTATGCAGATACTGTCTTCGCAGAACGCTCACTAAACCGCGGACACAAACGCCAGAATGGAGATCCCTGACTCTCCATTGCATGCTCATGCCATGCACGCTTATCCGAAACGAGTTCCAAGCACTCATCCTCGCTTCTCGTCCGTCCTGTTCCTACCAAGACGAAAGATGCGCCCAGCGGGAATCCCTATCCATCTCACCATCCTCACTGGACACTTCGTCAGCACGCATTCCTACAAAACCCTGTTAACACCTCCTGCCCTTTTACCCCGCCCAACTCACCTGCGACAGGTAGAATCCAACCTACCAATCATAAACCCAGCCACTATTCTGCTCCATAAACTCGGTACACGCCTCCTTCAATGCAATATTCGGCCGCAGCTCCGCGATAGTAAGCGGTTCTCTCGTCAACGGATCCGTCGCACTGCGCTTCAAATGCTCTATTATAGTCGCGCGCTCGTAGGACCGCCCGTTCTTCGTGACGACCGGGTCGTGCATGATTTCGAACGTTATCCCGTCGACGAGGTAGTCCGGCACTTCTCTCTTCTGCAGGTGTTCTGGGTCGCTCAACGTAAACGCCGTCCGCAGATCATCTCTCTTCTTCTCAAACTCCTTCTTCCGCTCTTCCTTCTCCTCCTGGCCTTCTATCCGGCCCACCTCCTGCTTCTCGATCCGCGCTTCGATGTCGTCGACGTCTTTCTTGTACTCCGTTTCGAGCGTGGCTTCGAGCTCGGCGAGCAGGTCTGCCCGCCGCCGTATGCGCTCGCGCTCGCGGATGTCCCATTTCGCCTTTTTGCACTTGAGCACTAGCGCGGAGATTGTGGCGGCGTTGGAGGTTTGCTGCGCGGAGTGCGTGCAGAGGTCGTACGCCATCAGCGCGGACGAGAGCGCTTCGTTGGGGTGGTTTATGCTGAGTTGCGCCTGCGCTGTTCCCGAGCATGTCAGCAACTTATCCATCTTTCCCTTCAAACATACTCTGCTCGCCGCCCCGGTCTGTATTCACCTAAGTAGAAAAATGCCTTCATGTTCTCCTTCATGAGCTCGATACTCCGTATACAGTCGTCAATGACGCCCTCCCACTTCTCGAGCTTGAGGCGCGCATTCGCGCGGTTGGTGAACAGCAGCGGGTTCTTGCTGTTCTTCTGGATCGCCTGGCTGTACAGCGTCTCGGCGGCTTCGTACTCGCCATTTTTGAAGTGCGCGTTGCCTTGGTTCTTGAGCTGCTCGGCCGCGTACTCGTTGCCTGGGGGCATGGTGGTGAGACTACTAAGGGCGAACGCTGGCGCGGAGGTCGGAGTTTAGACACGCGAGGCGGAGCGCGGGGCCAGTGGGGTGGTTTTGTGGATGCAGGGCGTGGAAAGTTCTAGAGGCGCAGACCGAGGGTGATGACTGAGCAGCGCGGCGATAGTGATGCTGTGGGCAGTGGAGGTAGGGCTGGAGTTCTTCTTGGAAGTGGTGGGCGAGGACGATGGGCTGAAGGCGGGTGGTGTGCTGGTGAGCGCCACGACCTTCAGCGGCTACGCGCATATGCACAGCCTTGTGTTCGTGCAGCGTGAACTACCTGTGCCTAGGTAACGCGGCACTCTGGTACTCCATACTATCCTTCAAGCGGTGGGGTTGTATACCTTAGGTAGGAAAATGGCATGAGATAAAGGACAGCCCTAACGCTAGGACCATTTCGGATAGCGCGTCTAGGAGAAAACCCCAACGTCGCTCCCGGGCACTCCAGCGAGATGGCCTTAGCATTAAAGAAAGCGACGTCCGCGAGTTCGTTGATGTATCGAAACCTCGCGCCCGCATACTCCACGCGATTCGTCTCCGGGTATGACTCATCAACCCGGATCGACTCATGCCTCCCCGTGGTTCTGTGATACCCTGCTCTCTTTCCTTAATTTTGGTGACTCAAAACGAGAAAAGTCAATTAATCAATCATCAACCCGGCCCCTCAGGGCTTCTACGAATTCAAACTACGTCATAGCTCTTTTGAGTCGCGAGCTGCCTATCTGCTGGCCTCATCGCTGCGCCAAATTTCAAATTACGTCTCTCCTAAACATCGAAGATCAGAATCAACTCTATGAATTGCTCAATCAAGAGGATGGAGCAGGCAAGCAGAAAGCGTATTTCCCGGCCATCAACCACGCGATGCACTTTGGCGTCAGCCGCTCAAATCGGGAAGCAGAGTTCATCATATTTCCGCTTTTGAAAAGAGATATCAAAAAGGACATCGAGCTACTCCGAAAGTGGCACTAGCGAGTCTTGAAGCACGTTTATTATCGACCTTGGCAAATGATGGATGATCCTCCACAATATAGTCCCATTCTCCATGATTGGGAGTACTGCCGGGCGACCATGAAGGGCCTAATCTGCGTTCGCCGTGGCATTTTCCTGAAGGATCCGGAGAGGATGATCGATCGAGCGCGGATATCCTGGACGATGCTCGGAAGATGACGCAGGCCAGAGTCGCAAAAGAACCCGAGCTACGCGAGCTACGAGACATGCTCCTCGTCGTCGTCTTAAAGTCAGCCATTTATGAGGCTGTGAGCACAGAGGACGCCGTCGGTAACTTTAACGTCTTCGTTTGGCATCTGGATGCAGGATACTTCGAAAAGAATAGCGTGAGGGTTGTCTGGAAGGCGGCATTGAAGCGAATAGGCGACGAATCGGGAACGAAGGGTCGCCAAATGAGACAGTACGCGACTTGGAAGTTCCTTATATCTCAGGAATTGTAGCTGCCTTAACCCGTCCCCAACCATGACATTCAAAACTACAACTTTCGGAGCGGAGAGCCGATACTACGGATTCACGGAGTCTCCAGCTTGGGAGGGATAATCTCTAAGATCTGCCGACCTCTCCGCACTGCACTCCCTTCTCAGCTGCGTCTGCACTGTGACTAGAAAATGCATAGCTGCAAAGAGCTGAGCTCGAGAGCCAAGGGGTCGTGCGATGCCCCGGCTCTGAGGCTGCAAATACGCTTAATCTGCTCGTAAGCTGATTTCCCGATCTGAGAAGGAAAATACTCGCCCCACGCGCCAAGGGTAGTTCATCCTCGGCGCGTGGGGCGAGGAAGACTAATTGGTTAACCTCGAAGCGGCACTGTTCCTACGCGACAGCGCACCGCCTCATTTCTTAAGAAAGGTGGCGCTGGATCTCATCTCTAAGGCGCTCTCCATTGAGCGTGTGAGGCATCTTCGCGGAAACCATTCGACACGTGCCAAGGTAATTTAAGGCGCCGGGCCACAAGGCTGAGTGCTCGACGAGCCAAACCGATGACCTAGGTCCGTGCAACGTGTCAAGCCTCAAAAACGAGGCATATTCCTCTCCCCGTAGGAACGCGCTCTGGGTCCGGAGTATGGCGCAGCGTCGAGGATAGCGGCGTGCAAAGCGCCACTTGCCCTACAGCACACGGTGCGACATGCACCGGTGAGGTTGCCCCTTGAGTAGGGTGAATCCGCCACGGCTGTGTTTTGGCGTCCTGAGCCATATGGTCCTTCGTCCCTCTGTTGAGTCTGTCGGGATGTATAAAGGTCAACGCTTTTCTCCCCTCTTTACGCTCTTTTCTCCCTTCTACGCTCTCTCAAAGCACTGCTGCGTGCTCTAGAGTTTTAAATCATATAAAGATCACCAACCCCGCCATGGCTCTGTACCAGATTTTTCGTTCTTCTATTACGTGCATCCAACTCCTTGAGGGTGATCCATACTCGCAGAATGGATGCCGTCTCATTCGCAAGAAGCAAAGACGATGACAATCTTCCTACTTACGATATGGGCTCACTTTCTTGGATGTTGACGCCTGCGCTGGGAGATCCAAATCATGGACCTTCATCGGGAGACCTGGTGGGCTCTATGTCGGCTGGCTTGACCAGTGGCACACAGAGTAGCTGTCAATCATGCGGACAACTTTCCCACCAGATTCTCCAATGCCAACGCAGCTGCCATGATCATGTCTATGGTCAGCCTTGGAGCCTGGTGGGTAGCTTGTCACTCTTTGATGATCCTTCCCGGAGGAGTTATTGACGATGATTTACTAGGGCTATACCTGCGGTTACAACCACTTCGGCTTCCCATCTCAACTTCAGCCATATTTGAACATCCACCATTCCCAACAGCCAGCCCAACAAATGTGGATCGCGCCGCCGTTGTCACCCGAGTCAGTCGGCCTTGTTGATGAGTTGCATTCACTAAGTAATACGGCCACATTCACATACCCCTATCCGGTAGCACATATCCCTCGATCCCCATACCACCCACTGTATCTGACGGGCCTAGACAACCCTCCCCGCGTATTCTGAGAATGCACTTGACCAATCTTTGAATGAATTCGGCACTCGGACTTCGTTATCCAACAACTCAATTCCCCCTCGGTCACCTTTTGCGCCTGCCACGGGTGGATCGTCCTACAGTCAAGCCAGCACATCAGCCTCGTCCGGTCCAAATGCTCAACAGATCATTGATCCTGAACTACCTGATTTCAGCCTGGACATCGAGTCTTTCGACCTCGATTTACTGCTGGATAGTCCTCAAGCTACCCTGTCGCAGCGTTCAGCATCCTGTGACGGCGAGAGCCTCAGCTCTTCGGACATATCCGCTGGTCTTGAGCGATCACCTTTGGACTTGAAAAAGTTGATGAGCCCCATCTATTCCGGCACTCCGCAAGCACCCAAGTGAGTAAACCTCTTGTCGGCATCCTACTGCATGAGTCTGAAATGACTAACAAGCCCTTCCAGCCAACAAGGCCCTCGCCTCAATTCTGGGTCTCGCAAGCGTCGCTTTCCATGCACTCGTCATTCCTGCACGCGCGCTTTCACGTCGCGGAACGATCTCGAGCGCCACCTTAAAACCAAGAAGCACCGCAACGACGCTACGCACTCGGGGGATGCCGTCGGTCTTCTTAGGTGCAAGGTACCCTGGTGCAAGCGAGGCAAGGAGGGTTGGGCGAGGAAGGACCACTATATGAGACACATGGAGAGAATGCACCCGGACCTCAAGCTGGAAGATGGTGAGGATAGCAGCTCTGAGTAACTCCATTCTTGCTATACACATTACTCTGGTCTCTGGTGCTCATTGGAGGTGCTTCTCGTCGCCGTCATGCCTGGAGGATGGGAGCGACAGGAGTGAATAGACTTTTCCGGGTAGTGGGTAACAAGAGGCTCGGATGGTTTCTTCGCCATTGGGCGATAGGTGGTATGCGGTCCCTATCGTTACCGAATATCACTGTATTTGCTACCTTACCAGCTTTTATGCCTACTTTCATGTCCTTCACAGTCCTCTTTTTACACTACTTACCACAAAGCGTCCTCCGTATGTAAAGCACTTGTTTGCGCAGCCTCAAGCAGAGCGACGCGGGATACCCTAGGCAGAATTAGTTTGATCTATGTACAAGGCTCTCAAGAAACAGGCATCGATTCTAAGTTCAAAATATAGTAGCGGACTGAATTAGCCTCTCGAACTGACCTCGGGAGGCGCACCCGTGGACAGGGCGCTAGACCAGGTTCGGAATAATGCAGGCCAATCAAACCACGTACTCCGTCTCGTGGACTTCGCTCCACTGATTCTCCAACACCACGCCCACGTCCTCCTCCGCTCGCTGACAATGGTGCGCGCATCCGTTTCATCCGACAGCTGTTGCTCCACCTATGTTCTCGCGCCCGGGCCTCGAACGCCTCACCACCTAGGACCATTAAGTCCGAAAACCCGCACGAACGCACCAGTTGAGCCGCACTTAGCGCCCACGCGTTCTCAGCCGCATGGGAGCCGCATTGATTACTGTACCTCGCGTACTTTGTACTTCCGATGACGTCCGCATCGTGCCCCTCGTTAGCCAGTTAGACTTATCCCTTGACTGCCACGTGAACCTTTCAGGGCGGTGTGAGTCTCATTGTCTATTTTTGCGACTTGGAGAAGCGGAATGCCTTGGTCGAACTTGCGTTGATTCCAAATCAGAACGGTCGGAAACCTTTGGGGGCGCCCCTGTGTACGCCTTTTATATGCTTGGCATCAGCTGAGGCGACGGTGGAATGTAGGTATAAAACATTGGACTCATTGGCTCGGGGACATTCCCTTTTGCTCTTAGCCATACAAAAATTCCCGACACTTTGCCTGGAGCCGTTGCCCACGCCCCTCTCCCTGATTCGTTGCTCTTGCTTCCTTCAGCCTCTCTCTTCCATATTGGACCAACATTTTTTCATTTCTCAAGATGGATGCTCACAATCCCTGGGCAGACTATGTCTACTCTGATCTTGAATCGGTTGGCGATCCGACAATCGATGATCAAGTTGACAAAGAGGTCGGTTCAGGCTCGCACGCGAATGAAGATGTTGGCCCTATGCCCACTGCCCTGGACTCCGACGTAGGCCCCGGGTTAGTGGACTTAGACTCCCTTTTAAGTGCGATGCAGGAATTAGAAGCTCTGGAACTTGGGACTGGACATTATTCGGATCTGCACGGATCCGGGTATACCGTGCCTGTGTTTCCTGAACCTTGTGCTGATATTGGTTCTGGTTTACTGGACTTCTCCCTTGGTTCTGAGCTCCCATTTGGATCGGATGAGCCCCTCCCATTTGCATCAGATGCGCCCTTTGATGTGACTTTCCCAATGATCGGAATGCCGGAATCCAGTACACTGCCCTCAAACTTCTTCCACGCCGCCGTCCATGGCGCGGAGCAAGTGTCTGCTTGCAATACCGCAAAGCAGCCTTCCCCTACCGATTACTTCGTTGCAGGCCATGAACAAGTAACTAGATCGGCCAATGATGACCAGACCCCTGTCCAACGTTCGAGGTACGTAGAACACACAACGCTTGCACTTACATCCTGGCTGCTGACGATTTCCCCAGGCCCGAGTCTAACAAGCGTGACCGCAGAGTGCGTGAACGCGTCTTCCCCTGCCGCTTTCCTCCTTGCACCCTTGTACTCTGCACCAAGAACGATCTTGAGCGCCACCATTCGACGCGCAAGCACCGAAAGGAAGCTGGACGTGACGCCCTTGCTAACCAATTTACGTGCAAGGTGTCATGGTGCAGGCGCAGTCGACGGGGATTTGTGAGGAAAGATCACTATGTGAGGCATTTGGAGAGAATGCATCCAGGAATTGAGTTTGATGAGTGACGAGTTGGAAAAGAGGGGCGGGAATAGATTGTTTTGCAGATTGTATCGATTGACTTAGCGCTTGGAGAGCGAGGTAAGTATGCTTTTCCTACAGTTCGTTCCATGTTGCAGTGTGAAGGGGGGAATTTGGTATCTCGTGATGAAGTGCGTGAATCTTGGGGCGCTGGCGCCGACTTCAAAGTGCAGTTCAGTTGTTGCGTTTGCGCTGGTGTTTGATCGGTTTTCGTCGAGTGCTTTTGAGGATGTGGGGAGCGAGAGGGAAATTGATATTTCGCGATGAAGTGTGGGAATGGTCGAGTGCTGTGCCGGTTTGAGAAATGTGGGGTTGTTTTGCAATTCGTGACGGTCTTTCATTGCGGTGTGTTGGTACATCGCTTCGATGTCATGGGTCTCTTTATGCATGTTCTTACCCCTCCACCTACCGATCGACATATCCAGTTCAACCTGGGCTTCTCTTCTATTCCGCCCTTCATCAGCCGGGGGAGTGACGCTCTCTTAGAGTGAATCAGAGCTTTCATGTCTTTACTATCATTATTAGAGATTAAACATTACTATTCGGTCCTTTCCGTAAGTCGCATCTCGCCACTCACAGCAGCAGGCATACTCTTCTCCCACTGCTACGTCCCTGCCCCTTGCACTAGAATCACGAAACACTCGTCCTCTGACTCACAACCTTCAACACCGTCGCAGTCCCCTCTTCCACAGCATTCCTGCTCGGTCTCATCCGCCACCGATGCACCGCATGAGCCGCAAACACCATCATGATCACATACATAACGGCGATGAGGGCCTGGAAAGTCCCCTCCGCATACCCCCAGTTATACCACTGACGCACGTTGTCGAACGGGATCTCGTTGCTCTCGATGAGAAGGATGTTGAAAAAACATGCGCAGAGCCAGAGTCCGAACCAGAGAATAGAGGTGACGAGCGCAGTGATAGGATGCCACCAGCGCTTGGGAATGAAGACCAGCATGACGAGTGTGAGGACAAGATCGGGGACGAGGTAGATACCGATGCGCACCCAGAAGTCCTGTCTGCAAGAGCGTTAGTAATATTCGGTCAACCTTTTGAACCTTATCCCGTGTTGAATTGGGAGGGATGGAGATCGAAGGAGAGGTTATTCGAAGGAAACTTACGGTCCGTCGCCCGAGCTACTTCCCATGTCGCTTTCATCCCACCACTTTTTATACTGGACGCTTTCGCCAATGACGATAATGATGAAGATGACGAGGATAATGTTCTTTATGAGGAAGGTGGTTACGTAGCCCCCGAGGCTGGCGTCCCAGCGGTGGTCGGCGGGTGAAGTAAAGGCGGCGACGAGACCCATTGTGGGAATGAACTTGTTTGAGTACGCAGTGAAGAACACGATGATTTAGAAACGAAGAATGCAGTGCATTTAACCCGCAAGGGCGACTTCGGTCCGACCTCGTTGAGGAGCAGCACAGCACGTCTCGGCGTACCGTACAATGCCACACAGCCTCATCCTCCGTCAAGCACACAGCCAACAGCCAATCGAGCTACCACCACACACAAGGATATCCCCAAAGGGCTTTAGACGCGAGCGAATGTGGACTTTGGAGGCAAAACAGAATTCCTGGGGTATGGTGAAATAACCCGTGTCACCCCTCTTTGTACAGCCTCGGTAGCCAAGAGGAGGCGCAGTCGAATGACCGACTATCTTGTGATCGTGTAACTGCTTCGTGTTCCAAAGCGATGATCAAGGCGTTTTTATTGTGTGGTCAGGCTGATTGCTCGCGTAGATGATGTGAATGCACTCCTTGGTTGTTGATCATGTCGTGGACACCAAGATGATGGTATTGTGTGCTCCGCATCTCGAACGGGGGCTAGATCTTGCTAATAGCAGTCGCGTCAGCACAGGTTATTCAAGGATGGGTTGCACAAATCGCCGCAGTTTTTGAAGCTCGTATTCAGGGTCATAGAAGGTGCTCTGCAGATTTACCAGGTGCTTCGAAGCGGCTTTTGGGAGGCAGCGGGAACCAATACCACAGGTCGAATACTAGCTCTTTAGAGAACGATTCGTCGGCATCTTGGGATGCCTTGATAAGATGTGCCGGCCAAGCATGAGATAGATTCTCTGTTCCTTTTCATGTGATTCCTCTCCGCAAGCCATATCCTTTCGGAGCTCTCGCACCAACTTGCACATTCGCATTTCCACTCTCTTCAACGATTCTGACCCATTCCTCCCTCCCCTTCCCCTTCTTCGCGCTCCTCTCCTTCCTCCACCGAAAGTCTTCACCCAAGCCGGGCGTCTCGAACTCGATCTCTTTGAGCGCTGGCATCTCACACATGCCCTTCAGTCTGTCCCAAACTTCGTCCGCTTCCAGCAATCCTTTCTTCCCAGAAAGAATGAAGTGATCGAAGGAAACGCGCAGCTCGTGCAAGTGCTGAGATGTCTTGAACGTGCGGACTAGAATGCGGATACAGTCCTTGAAGCATTCGGTTCCAGGCTCGGATCTTCGTTCCCAGTCGCCCAGCTCTTCGATGGTGCAACGGACTTTGCATGCCTTTAGCTTGGCCGCAAAACTAGGCGTAAGTTCGATAGCACTGCTCCATGGCGAGGTATGGTAATTCCACGCATACAGCCTGGTTGTCTCAGGGTCTTGCGCCGTTCGTCCCAGGCAGCATCGGAAACGTGCGTTCACCCGGTATTCATATGCTGCGACAAATTCGGCTTGTATCTGGCGGCATACGAAAGCTAGAGGAAAGGACTCCAAAGGTGATTTGAGGTCTTTCTGGATGATGTAGGTGTAGATGCGGGTCCGAATACAAAGGGGCAGACGCAATAAAGCCGGTTGCTCTGCTGCGGATCGGCGTGGAGCGAGGAGCAGAGCCATATTGGATACAAGAGAAGGCAAAAGGGCAGTGGAGGGTGTGGTTTGAAACTGACAGGCGGGAGGAACATGGGTTTTGTGACGCTGCGCCGCAACAGGGCATAGCCTCAGGCAACCCGTCACCGAGTCCGTAGTCCGAAGGATAGGATAGGCCCCGCGCTCACTATTCGGGATGCTGTCGCCATATGTAGGGCGGTGCATTAGAACACGAAGAGCAAATGCGAGTAAGGTGTCTCTTGGGCGCGGTGTGTTAGGTGTGCTGATTCGTTATCGATAAGCTAACCGAGAAAGGAAAGGGTAGAGAACGAAAACACAACTCAAGCAAGCCGCGGCTTGGCCCAAGCCCCTGACCTTCACTCGCGACTTGCGATCCTCTGACCCTCAAAACTATCTGTCATTTCCTACCACACTAATATACCGTCTGTATCCATGGAGCACGACCCTAATGTCGCCGATCCAGCCCAACTCCGAGCGCGATGAGGGCCATGATGATGCAGTAGCCGGGGCTGAGGTCGATGTGGACGAGGAAGCGCAGCTACTGCCAAGGGAAGAGTTGGAATTTGAAGATACTGTCTCCCAATTACCTTTGAAAGCGCGAAGAGCTGGAATCCTGGGGCTACTTCAAGGACCTCGACCCCCGCGAATCCAAAGCATCAACCCATTGCTCCCATCGGTCCAAGAAGCTCCGCCAGCTCTCCTCAACCGACTGCTTCCAAGGAAGGGGCACCAGTTTGTTCTACTTTGTGTGTGCTTATTACTCTGGGCTGCGGTGTTCGTCAGCTTCTTGAGCTCGCAGCTTCCGGTGAAGGATGGCACAGGGAGAGATGTTGTAAATCTCGATTGTGTCGATAGCCTCTGGAGACGCAAAAACGAATGTGGTATCGACGGCTTGGACTGTCGTCCTTTCTCGAACGTTTCCTTCGCCTTTCGGTGCCCCGCCAGATGTGCCAGCGTACAGGTACTGAACCCCCGTGCCGTCGGACCGCTCGACGTCAACTACCGTCCATTGGTGATTGGAGCAGGGGCATACCGCGGTGACAGCTTCGTGTGCGGCGCCGCTATCCACTCCGGTATCGTCTCTAATGCTAAAGGCGGTTGTGGACGTGCCTCGCTCAATGGTGAGCATGAGGATTATCCAGGTGTGAAGAGGCACGGAATTGAGTCAATTCCGTTCGATTCGTACTTCCCTCTATCGTTTTCTTTATCGTCTGATGACAGCATCCGCTGCCCCACCGATCCACGTCAAGCGCTGCTCTTCATATCGTTGTTCTTCGCGAGCATGCTTTCGCTCTTCGCAAGCTCCCCAAAGATCCTCTTTCCGATCTTTACGCTCATCTTCGCTCATGTGAGCTTCGCGTCCGACCCGCCTTCAGCCTCTTACAGGAACTCTACTGTTCTTCCTGATCATCTCTCCATGTTTGCGAAGAGGCTTTTACCCGCATTCTTCTGCGCTGTGGTCATTTACTGGACGACCGTCAAACGCACACTATCCGGCTTAACAGCCCAGGTAGAGAAGACTGTTCTTTGGCTTGGCGGCTTCTTCTTCGGCGCAATGTCCAACTACACCTTCGACTGGATACCCATCTCGCGCCTTACGGGTCATGATCTCGAACAGCAGCCTGGCGCTAAGATTGCACTATCGATAATTCTCATCATCCTCATCGCAGTCATTGCTGGCCAGGTGTACTACTTCTGGCTCGAGGGACGCCTGCTTCAGTATCTGGCTCTATATGGACTCTTCATTGTGGGCATCTTGATTTCCCTGGCGATTCCTGGTGTCAACCTACGCATCCACCACTATATCCTTGCGCTACTACTACTTCCCGGGACTAGCTTACAAACGAGACCTTCATTGCTCTATCAAGGCATCTTGCTCGGCCTCTTCGTCAACGGTATTGCACGGTGGGACTTCGACTCCATCCTCCAGACCACCGAAGCGCTCCGAGGTGACGGACAGTTCGAGTCAGTAGTACCGAAGATATTGGAACCTGCGATTTCCTTTACCGCCGGAAATGTCATCGCGACGTTTTCGTGGGTCTCGCCTCCCGCTGATGTGGCCGGAATCAGCGTGCTTGTGAACGACGTGGAGCGGGATCGTGCATTCTTTGGGGATGGTATTGATGGTGATGTCAAAAGCTTTGAGTGGACGAGGCCGATTGGGATGCAGTTGAACGAGTATCTAAGATTTGCCTGGGTGACGAATGGGCGGGCAGTGCTGGACTATACGAAAGCCGGGACGCTGTTCGCAAACGGGACCTGGACCATGGAGCAAGAGTATTGAAAAATCCCGCAACTGCACTGTACTCGTCATTCAAGAGCAGGACCGACATGGGGAGACCTTGCGGACGTGGAGAATTTGTGGCGTTGGGATTGGCGGGATTTCGTCCACTCGGTACGTAGGATATTTCAAACCGAAAACGACATGCCTTTCTACCATCGGGGGACATCCAAGAACCGACGATGCCACTCCCCTTTCGAGTTCCACTCTACGGCGCCCACTTGAACTCACACGTGAGCTCGAAAACGGGAGTACGAAGCGACAGCACACCTTTCGACCAAAGCTAGATTTTCGCAATGCCTTAGTACCACAATCATCCCCTTAGAGAGATATCCACCTCTCCTATGCCGAAATGATCAACGCGGTCTTCCTCATAGTCGTACCTGGTGCGGGCGAGCATGTTCACGCCGCAGGCGGCAACGACAACGGCCATCCTTCGACCACCACGAGGTGTGCGAGAATCTACCCTACAATCCCCAGCTATCCATCCGACGACGAGTGCACGTGGGCCGAGGAAACAGCGCTGTATTCGGTGTCATATGCAGCGCCGACCTCTATGGTGGGGATGTCCAGACCACACAGGCGCTCTCTCTTTGTTCCTCTCTTATATACCGTCGGTAGCGGTGGAGCTGCGAAAGATTTTGTTATCAATTATTACACCGACTAGTACGGCGAGGATCTCTCGTCCCTCGCTACCAATTCTGTGGAATCTTGCGTAAGCAATTGCTCCGCGACGACCGCCTGCAAGGCTGTGTCCTATGTAGCGGGTACAGTGATCAGCGGTGAGAACTGTGCACGCGGGCGTCTTTTCGCTCGTGCGTTTGTCCTGATCCCTACCTGGCACGTTCCTGTCGTGTTAGAGAGGACGGGAAAGAATGGGGAATGAGACGAGATAGTAAAATGCCCAGAATTCCATGTGATCATATGTAATACGACGCCAAGAACAGGTGAAGCTGAATAAGAGTCCCTCGTACGATAGAATGTAGCTTCCCTTCCAATGAAAGGCCACCGCTACAGCCTCCGTCGACGTGCACTCGGCCGCTAAGAGATTATGGCAGGTTGAGCTCGAATCGCAAGAAGGCTTTCTAGTTAGCCCAGGGAACCTCTTCCTTGGTTCGTTCTCTGATAGTTACTTTTGACTCCAATAGGAGAATGGGTGAACGAGGCGATGCGGGCTTATTTTGCCCTGGATCCCGCTTTTCGTCCAAGGGTGACGCAGGCGCAAAAGACCCGCACCATTCCGAAATTCCGGAAGCCGTGGAGTGTGGCCGCAACCTAACGATGGGCCCGAGGTGTTATTTGCGCATGCGGCTGTTGTTTAGGGCGGTGAGCAGTCGCGGATCATCGGACGAAGGATTCGGCGAGAAATCTCCTCTTCCGTCCCGTGGGAGGAATCACGTGCTGATAAGATAAGCCTTGCTTCTACCTGCCCAGGTGTGGACCCAGCCGCCGCATGCGGTTTCCAACCCTCCCGTCTTGAACCATCAACTCCGCTCCGCGCCCATGGCTACCGCGGATCAGATCCATGCCCATTTTCCTTTCTGACTGGTTGAGAAAAGCCTTCAAGCCGCATGACGTAAGCCTGTAGCCGTGCGCCCGGGTACTCGCTCTCTCGCACCGTCCGATTCCTCCGCTGCGGGCGTACAGAAGCGTAAGCGGGAAGTGTCGCGGAAGGACGAATGATGGGTACAGACAGCCTCGGCCGCCACTGGAATCGGGCCCAATCGAGATCCGGTTGCAAACAAAGGAGCGCCGACTGCTCGTCCGCTCCTTGGCCGAATGGACTAACGTGGTTACCGCATCTAAGATCGATCTGTGATTGTACGTCCCGACTGGCTAGCTCCTATGACCGCATCGGGCCACTGCTAGATAGAATAAATCCAGCCGCATCCTGTCGCCCTCAGTCATCAACACAGCACTGCAATCGTCGGTTTTCTGCACGCTATGTCGGACCCAAACCGAATTGGAGAGGGAGTTATTCGGACGGCTTCAGGCCGCGAGACTTACGCGCCCGATGGCCATGTACCCAGCTACGACGAGAGATCTGAACCAGTCGAAAAGGAGGAAACGCCGCGAACGTCAAGCGATTCTTCGATTGCCAGATTTGAGCCATTGAGGACGCGAACTGGACATGATGCAGTGGGATCCTCAAGCTCGTCAGACTTCGCCGGCCTTACCCCGTCGTTGTCGCGAAGGAAAACAAACGCGACGATCGATGATGCTGATAGAAGGGAGCTCCAGCAGCTCTACTCGACACTTTCTCGGCGACAATCCAGTATCGCCGCCCCAGACGACCCGGCCGTGGACCCTCAAAGCGATTCATTCGACCTGCAGAAATTTCTGCGCATGTTCAGGCATCAATTGGAAGCTGAGGGCCATCAAATGAGGGAGGTTGGCGTCGTATACAAGAATCTGAACGTTTACGGCTCAGGCGCGGCACTGCAGCTTCAGCAAACGGTAGCCGACTTCGTTAAGGCGCCCTTTCGCTTCGGCGAGTTCTTCAGCTTCGGGAAGAGAGAGCACAAGCACATTCTACGCAATTTCGACGGCGTGGTCAAAAGCGGCGAGTTACTCATCGTTCTTGGGCGGCCTGGATCAGGTTGTAGCACCCTTCTTAAGACTATGTGCGGTGAGCTCCACGGCCTGGAGACGGACGAGAATTCTACCATCCACTACAATGGCATACCTCAAGAACAGATGATGAAGGAGTTCAGGGGCGAGGCTATCTACAATCAAGAAGTTGACAAGCATTTTCCTCATCTTACCGTCGGCCAGACCCTCGAGTTCGCAGCGGCTACTCGCACGCCATCGCATCGAATACAGGACATGTCTCGGGCGGAATTCTGCCAGTTCGTCGCTCGAGTAGTGATGGCAGTCGTCGGACTCAGCCACACGTTCAACACCAAGGTCGGCAACGACTTCATCCGAGGTGTTTCTGGAGGAGAGAGGAAGCGCGTTAGCATTGCCGAGATGATGTTGGCAGGCTCTCCTTTTGCTGCGTGGGACAATAGCACAAGAGGCCTCGATTCCGGTAAGTACATGCCTCATTCTGCACAAAGGTCTAGTTGGCTAATATATCCTCAGCGACCGCATACAAGTTCGTGCAGACACTGAGGGTCGCCTCCGACTTCGGTGGGAGCGCTGCGGCTGTCGCAATCTACCAAGCCAGCCAGAGCATCTACGACGAATTCGACAAAGCAACCGTACTGTACGAAGGTCGGCAGATCTACTTCGGACCGGCCGACACTGCGAAGTCTTTCTTCGAGCGACAGGGCTGGTACTGCCCTCCCAGGCAGACCACAGGCGACTTCTTGACCAGCGTCACCAATCCGCAGGAGCGAAAAGCGAGAGAAGGTATGGAAAACAAAGTGCCTCGTACTGCCGACGACTTCGAATGGTATTGGCGCGAGTCTCCAGAATACAAGCTGCTCCAAACCGAGATCGAACAGTACGAGCTTGAGTATCCAGTCGACACACAAGGACAGAGCCTTGCCCAGCTCCGCCAGCAGAAGAACTACCTCCAGTCAAAGCATGTCCGGCCTGAATCTCCATATCTCATCAGCGTTCCGATGCAAGTACGACTAAACACGACCCGAGCCTACCAGCGCATATGGGGCGACATCTCCGCAACCGCTACGCAGGCGGTGCTCAATGTCATCATGGCTCTTCTCATCGGATCTATCTTCTTCGGCACACCAAACGCTACAGTCGGATTCTTCTCCAAGGGTTCAGTCCTCTTCCTTGCGGTTCTCTTCAACGCTCTCGCTGCAATATCCGAGATCAACAGTCTGTATGCGCAGCGTCCAATCGTCGAGAAGCATAAGTCGTACGCCTTCTATCATCCGTTTACTGAGGCCATGGCTGGTATAGTGGCGGACATACCGGTCAAATTCGTGCAGGCAGTGGCATTCAACGTCATACTGTACTTCATGTCGGAGCTGCGACGCGAGCCATCCCAATTCTTCATTTACTTCTTGGTCACTTACATCACCACCTTTGTTATGGCGGCCGTGTTTCGGACTATGGCCGCCCTGACGAAGACGGTCTCGCAAGCCATGGCCTTGTCGGGTGTATTGGTCTTAGCTCTCGTGATATAGTAAGTACAAGAGCTCATGGCTGTTAGTAGTCCTGCTAATAGAGATACAGTACCGGTTTCGTCGTCGCAGTGCCGAACATGCATCCCTGGTTCAGCTGGATCCGGTGGATCAACCCAGTCTTCTATGCGTTTGAGATCCTAGTCGCCAATGAGTTCCACGGCCGCGAATTTACGTGCTCCTCCATTATCCCAGCTTACACGCCTCTTCAAGGAGACTCATGGATCTGCAACATCGTTGGAGCGGTTCCCGGACGGCGCACCGTCAGTGGAGACGCCTTCATCGCCACCAACTACGAGTACTCGTATTCTCACGTGTGGCGGAACTTCGGTATCCTTCTCGGGTTCCTCTTCTTCTTCATGTTCATTTACTTCCTGGCCACGGAACTTAATTCGTCCGCGACAAGCACCGCCGAAGTACTAGTGTTCCAGCGTGGACACGTGCCCGCTTATCTACAGAAGAATGGCAAGGACCGCCAGCCCGATGAGGAGTCTGCTGCCGCTGTCGCTGTCAATGAAAGCGCTGCGGACGCGGATGTGCGAGCGGTGGAGCCCCAGAAGGATATTTTCACGTGGCGCGAAGTCACTTACGACATCCAGATTAAGGGCGAAACGCGTCGCTTGCTTGATCATGTCGCCGGATATGTGAAGCCAGGCACACTTACAGCGCTTATGGGCGTCAGTGGCGCGGGTAAAACTACTCTGCTAGATGTGCTCGCTCAAAGAACGTCGATGGGAGTGGTCACGGGGGACATGCTCGTCAACGGGAAGCCACTGGATGCGAGCTTTCAGCGCTCGACGGGCTACGTGCAACAACAGGGTAAGTATCCCGCAATTCTTGTCTTCCGCCCTACCAGGCCTAATTGAGCCTAGACTTGCATTTGGAGACCGCTACCGTGCGTGAGAGTCTCCGCTTTAGCGCTATGCTTCGGCAGCCGAAATCTGTTAGCAAGAAAGAGAAGTACGAATATGTGGAAGAGGTGATCAAGATGCTGAACATGAGCGATTTCGCCAATGCAGTCGTTGGTGTTCCTGGAGAAGGCCTCAATGTGGAACAGCGCAAGTTACTGACCATTGGCGTTGAGCTCGCTGCCAAGCCAAAGCTGCTCCTCTTCCTCGATGAGCCTACTAGCGGGCTCGATAGTCAGGTAAATCCTACTACCAGTACTTGATAAGACCTCACTGATGACTCTTCAGAGCTCCTGGGCCATATGCGCCTTTCTACGCAAACTCGCAGACGCTGGCCAAGCGGTTCTTTGCACCATTCATCAACCCTCCGCCATCCTCTTTCAGGAATTCGACCGACTGCTCTTCCTAGCCAAAGGCGGCAAAACAGTATACTTCGGCGAGATCGGACAGGATTCCCAGAAGCTCCTTAATTACTTCGAGGGCAACGGCGCTCGGAAATGCGATGACCAGGAGAATCCGGCGGAATACATGCTTGAGATCGTGAACAACGGAAGGAACAATCAAGGCCAGGACTGGCACACTGTTTGGAAAGAAAGCGAGATGCGGAAGGCTGTAGACCGGGAAATCGACAACATCCACCACGAGAAACAGCATGAAGAGATAGCCGGACAGGACGAGATCGGCGCGCATTCCGAATTTGCCATGCCTTTTTCCACGCAAGTTATTGAAGTCACGTATCGTGTCTTCCAGCAATATTGGCGCATGCCGAGCTATATTTTCGCCAAGTTCGGTCTTGGTGTCGCTGCAGGCCTTTTCATCGGATTCACGTTCTACGGTGCCTCTACCTCGCAGTCGGGAATGCAGAACGTCCTCTTCTCCGCTTTCATGCTCACCACGATCTTCACGACCATCGTGCAACAGGTATTTCCTCCCCTCATGTCTGCAATTGAGGTGCTAACGCCCGACAGATTCAACCGCTGTTCGTCACCCAACGGTCTCTATACGAAGTCCGCGAGCGTCCAAGCAAAGCATATTCCTGGAAGGCGTTCGTGCTCGCCAACGTAGTCGTCGAGATTCCTTATCAGATTTTTACGGGTCTTCTTATCTGGGCTTGTTTCTACTACCCCGTTGTCGGCGCGCATCAGAGCTCAGTGCGCCAAGTCCTGGTCCTGCTCTTCTGCTGCCAGCTTTTCGTCTACGCGAGCGCTTTCGCGCAGATGACTATTGCAGCACTGCCTGATGCGCAGACTGCTGGTGGTATCGTTACTTTGTTCACTTTCATGAGTCTGCTTTTTTGCGGTGTGCTGCAGTCTCCTGACGCGCTGCCTGGCTTCTGGATTTTTGTAGGTGTCCAACACTTGGGTTCGACGAATAACGGCTAACAAATGCACAGATGTATCGCGTCTCTCCATTCACTTATTGGATAGGCGGTATGGCATCCACCCTCCTCCACGACCGAGCCGTGACCTGCACAGCGACGGAAACGTCGCGCTTCAACCCGCCCGCCGGCCAAACCTGCGGCGAATACCTCGGCCCCTACCTCCAACAGGCACCGGGCGTCCTACAAAACCCCGATGCTACACAAAACTGCCAGTACTGCGGCCTGCGCAACTCCGACCAGTTCTTGGCTGGCTCGAACATCTACTACAGCGAGCGGTGGAGGAACTTTGGCATTATGTGGGCGTTCGTTGGGTTTGATATCGCGGTCGCGGTGTTGACGTATTATTTGTTCCGCGTGGCGAAGTGGGGGAAGAAAGGGGAGAAGAGTAAAAATGGGGGTAAAGCGAGGGAGGTGACGGAGAAGGGAGCGGAGAGGATGGCGCAGGAAGGTGCGGTGCCGCCGAATAGGGAGGGTTGAGCGCTGGAGTGGATGAATGTAGTATTGGTGTGTACATGCTCCTCGATTTTGAACAGCGCTGCATATGGTACTCTTTGAGCGGGCCAGTACCTTAATATATGATTCTCTAATGCTACTCACCGTCTCCACAGAGTACTACCATAGCCACCTCTCACTCACTCACTCACCCATTCCCATCCTTATCAATATCTCTGCTCACAAACACCACCAACACCGCGGCATACGCAGCACTCGCCGCAAAAACCTCCTGCCGCTTCGCGCTCGCGTCGTAAACGTAGCAATCATCCCGACCTTCGAGCCAGGCCTTCGCACAAAATATAAACTCGTTATCGCCCCAATGAGGAGGATCGCAGCGACCACGATCGAGATAACCAGCACCACCCACTTAACATGCGACTCAAGGAAGTGCTGTGTGTTGTCACGCGGATCGGGATACACTGTACCGCGGAAGGGCCAGTAGTCGCGCAGAAATCGGGAGAGTGGGTCGGTGTCGGCTGGCGGACGGAGGGCTACCAGATCTTCTGCGTCGTCAAGCATGTGCTTAGCTTTTCCGCTAACGATTGTGGAGGGCTTGGAGAAGAAGGAGCGGAAGGTGGAGAGAACGCGGCTGCTAGGGCGGTCGAGGTTGCTGATCTGGGATTGGAGGACGAGTGCTTCGTCTGTGGGTTGTTAAAGGAGGGGTTGAAGACTGGATGGAGCCGGATATTACCCACGGTATTCGCGAATCTTTTCTCTCAGTTCTGCTTCCAGCTTCATTTTCTCCTGTATGCGCGCATGTTCTGGCCGTTGCGCGTCTTTCGCGAGTTCCTCGAAGGTTTCCCATCGTCGCAGAGATTGTCGGACGTCGAAGTTTTGGCTGCGCCGGGCATCATCGTCCCAGTCTTCGATTCGACGCTCAAGTTCGATGAGATGGCTCTGCAAATTCAAGAGGTTCCGAGCACTGAGCCTGTCGAACTTACGAAATACATAGGATTCGCTGTCTGGGTCGCGCGCAATCCAGGCCGCAAGGCTGGGATATCCATCTCGAAATGGCGGGCCCTTTTCGACAGTCGAGGATCCATTCATCCCTTTTACATTCCATTTGGGCGCATTGAAACAGGTAAAGACTTTGACCTGGACTTCTCGATCATGTCGCTGAGTGCGGCGTCTGCCACCGGTGAGCTGCTCAGGTGGGGTTGACCACTTTCCATCTCTTCCTAGACTTCTCAGCACACCTCTTTCCTCACGCTGCATTCTTTTTTAGACCGCTATTCATTTACCACTCGAGCCCGAGAGCAACCCCTGCGTGTGTACACGACAGCCCTATCCTCCTAGGCGCCACCACCCTTCCCCTGCTTCCTATGCTATCTCCGTCCACATGGGTTTGACTCGAGACCAGTTCATAGCCTTGTTAAGGTCAGAAGAACCGTCTATAATAGACAGAGACCAGGAACGCCACCGCAAGCGGACTAGCGCTTCTAAGAGGCCAACAGAAGGTGATTTGGTTCTTATAAATGTCATGGACCCGAACAGGCTAGACATCGCGCGAGAAGTCGGTGAACGTGCGCTCACCTCGGACTCTGGCTCTGACTCTGAGGTTGAGGATGGTATTTCGAATAAACGCACCACTCCCCGAGAATATTACGGTCTCTCACGGATTCCATCCCGCTCACTATTCCACGAACATCGCATAAGAGCATATCTAAATTCCATTGAGATATTGGCCTTTCCCGATAGTTGCTCTGGGCTCAACATTATTTCGGAGAGCTTTTTGCGGCGCCACAGCCTTTCTCTCAATACCAACATCGACTACTCCGCCAGGCTACCCAATGGCAAACTCGTTAAGTCCTTGGGCTCTCTCAACCTTACCTTTCGATTTAACAGGCAGCACAAGGGCTATAGATTGCCCTTTACCGTCTTACAGAATTGCGTACACGATGTGGTTCTCGGCAGTGACTTCCTGCGGCAGACCGAGACGCTCACCAAATATCTGGGACGGATTGAATGGTTCCGCCGACCGCCTGCAGGCTCAATACCACGGGTATGTTTTGTCAATAATCCACAGCAAGTGGTTTTGGGATCTATCAACGGACAGCTGGTTTCCGCCTCTCCGGACACAGGGTCGGACGTCAACCTGATATCCAAACTCTGTGCAACGGTACTTGGTCTGAAGATTGACACTGTCTCGGATCGGATCACGACTTTAGAGTTCATCGACGGTTCGACGGTCCCTACTTTTGGGATGGTTTCTGGTGTTCACTGGAGGTTTGGCGCAGATAACGATGCTCAGTCGCCCCCGTCTTTGGATAAACGCACAAAGGTGCAAGAATGGGACTTTGGAACCAATGCATCACCTGGGGACACCTATCTCTGCGACTTTTACGTTCTCGAACACCTCATGTTCCCTGTCATACTCAGCTCCGATCTCCTCTTAGGTTCAAACGCATTCGCAGCCTGTGGCCGCAATTTCCACCTGACTAGCGTATTGGGGAAGCGACGCAGAGAAGATGTCGATGTATGCTTCATTCGCGCAAAGAAGCCTCGGCCTTCGTGGCGCGAAGTGGTGCTCGGGAGACGGGCGAGTTATAGTATGTCGTCCCCACTATCTAGATTTTATCCATGGTGTCTAACTACGAGTTGCTGTACCAGCACCCAGCAGCGTCACCCCAGCCCAGGCATGGGAGAACGAGCTCCGACGGCGCGGCGACGAAGCCGACCGGATCGCTGACTTACCACCACACGAGCGAGTCGCAGCGCAGGAAGCGGAGAATCAAAGGATAGAACAGTGGAACGCCGGTCAAGGCCGAGCTACACCACGGCAAAATCCCCCACCACCTTCCCAAAATGTACCTTCGGCATTCCAATCGCAACCCTAATTCCGAACTGGTCAATCTGAAATAATATCTCTCATATCAGATTAATACACACTTCTTGTACCGAGGCACTGTTGCTTTGTTCGGCTGCATACGGAAAGGGTAGTCCCTAGAGCTGCACCGGGGATTTGAAGTTTGAAATGCACAAGGTTCATGCTTCAAGATGATTCTGTAAAAGATAGTTTGTTCGATTTCCTAAGTAGGAAATCATGATGATGAACTCCAGTCTCGCAACCAAGTAGCAAGCCATAGAGCATGAACACGCCAAAATAGGAAACCTAAATCAGTGAAAGCAATCAATTGCCCCTGTACCATGTACCAACACTGCAATGATAACCACAAGTATACTCTTCAAAGAGAAAAGAAAGAAATGTCTCGCAGCCGACGAACGCTACCAAAGCCGTACTTACAGGTCCGGATCTCCCGGAACTCTCTGTAAGATCTCGAGCCGGCGGCGAATGTGCCTAACGTCTTCTATGACAAGAAACTCCGGATCGCGCTTCAATTGATTCTTGAACCAGTCCGGTTGCTCATCCGGACGCCTATCAGACCAGAAAAATATGCCGTTCTGGTCACGATCCGGTTCCTCCCAAGGACCATCGGGGGTAGTAGGCGCCCTCGGCTTCATCGCCCTCTCCACCATAGATCGGAAATAGGGAACAGTGTCCCAAATTTTTCCTGAGGGAATGAGGTTACTGCTTTTGGGCACTTCTAGGCCAGAGCCAGGGTTATCCTTTGTCCAGCAGACGAGGCACTTCTCGTTCGGAGGATACTTCTTGGTTTCTCTGAGGACAAAATCGATATAATCGCGGCTTGGCCACTCGCGGAAAATTTCGTGACAAGCATAGAGGTCGCCGGTGGTATTCTTGCATTTCCATGCTCTGGGACACACGCGCAGCTGTCCATTTCGGAGGGAACTGAAAGGGATCTCGGCAACGGCGTAATGGTATTTAACCTTCTTGTCCGCAGTTTCTCCGGTACATGTTTTGCTTTTGCCAGTCATGAGCGCGAACACGCAAATGCAGTCTTTGAACTCGGGGTTTCCAATGTTGTCTTCGCCGCCTTCATCCAGATGGTCTGGGATGTCGAATTTATCCCAGTTGTAATGCCGAAATCCAGTGCGGCAATCGTCCGTTTGGCGGTAACCTTTCTCAAGGAATGACTCGCATTCGCCTCGTTTACGTTTGAGGGGAAATCGACTCCGATGGCCGACGTGGGGATGTGGAGGTGGGATGTCCACGGTGGTACCGGCAATGTCGGGCATGGCGCTTCCTGGAAGTCTGATCTTCGGAGCCTGCTGGCGGGTAGGCGAGGAGCTGTAAAATATATGGTAGAGATGCCGCGAAGCCGGCTTTTGGAAATATCTTGAGCTTGATAATGGGAGCTGGAACGTCTAGCCGTTGAGTGCGAGCTGTTGGATGCAGGAACCTGAACGACGTTGCTGGAAGTGGGCCCTTTTATACCAGTCCAATGACTATCTCAGTAGTACTCACCATGTTGAGTCGTTGGTAGATCCGAGTCACACACTGCGCGATGAGTCTTGAGGGGGGTTGCCCGATCCCCGTGCAGGTTAACGATATGCCGACTTCCCATATTGGAGATCACTACTTCGAGCCTGAGAGCTTCAAAGTACCGCCAAAGCCTACATGAAAGGTAGCCGAAGATGCAGCAAGCTTAGTGGTAGCCCGCGAGAATGCCATCAAACTCTTTGTAGTACAGAAGAGGTTGCACGTGTATATGCGTGACTCTCCATATTTGCTATCATAGCTCTGCGGTGACTCCACGCAAGGAACCACTCTTCTAAACATGAATCCATCGACAACAATAACCAAGCCGGGAAGTGCAACTTCTGCCGTAGCCAGAGCCGGAGGGCGATGTTGGCCAGGAAGAGAACTAAATTATTCCTTCCTTCGGACTCGGAAAGCGATGAGTAGTCATGATAGGCGTTACTTGCCCCAACGATCTCGTAGCATGGATCTCCTGTATAGGGGCTCTGGGGGTAATAGATGAAGGGGTTCGGCTTCCTGTTTCTTGGACCTTGGTTTCGATTTAGCCATGCTGTTGAGCTTGCGCTGCGACACTCTTTTGCTTTTCCAGTCCTGGATAGCCTATGCGTTCCACTTGTTTAACTTAGTCTCCGTTTAGAAGCTGAAGAAGTTTGTTTTCCGATTCGACTCTGGGTATTGACGAGCGCCGCTTATGGCATGTCCGTGCCAGAGCCTAAGTATGGTAGCTGGCGTACAAACCTGAGCCGCAGCATGAAGAGATTCGAGCGTGATTGTTCGTTTCACGTCTTGCGCGGGGCGAAGGACAGGCGTACCTAGGCATGTATTCGCGTCGACGCGTGCGCCACGTCGAGCCGCGGGTAGGATCCAGTAAATGCCAATGCCACGCCGACGGAGTCATACTTTCGCCAAGCATCGTGGAATCGCGGCCTCAGGCTCAAAGAAGGTCCTTGACTCATAGCCCACATAACGCACCAGTCCGGCGATGTCTTAACCCGGAGGGAGTAAACACGCAAGATCTCCCACAAATGCTTTTTCCGTAAGTCTAAAGTCAGTAGCCGTCACTTCGAAAGCGCGGCATTTATGACACAGTCCAGTCGCACAGAGAGGATGCGACATGGTGCGGAAAGTCGCTTTGGGCGGCTAGGGCTCAATGCTGTGGCGAGGACCTTCGCCCACTCACCCAAGTCCTATTCCCGCAAGCGATTGCTATTAAACGTGCGGAAGCTGATGGATATGGAAATGTTGGTTGAGCGACTTGGTCCCGGGTTGACCTAGGATCTGAATGACAAGTCCACGCGCAACCGTAGTCCCACTGATCGTCACTGTCGTGCACGCGCGGCGAACTCTCGGAAATATTCCGAGAGGCTCCGCGACTGGGGTTGCTGGTAGAGGTGCAGCATCTCGTTCTTGAGATACCTAGGTACGCGAGAGTGGTGGAAATATCGTGTCCGGTGCCGGCGCTGTCCGTGAGTTGAACACTGCATGGCTGACATGCTGCGAGCAGGAGATATATGACGTAGACTAGTCGGTGAAGAGTGTTGAGGTCGTTCGATGTACCCCACAGGCGCATAGATCCTACTGCTTTAACGCCTCCCTTCGTCCGTCCTACAGGCGGCCACTGTACGATACAGGACCCGATTTTGGGGTTGAAAATCGGCCGAGCGCCGCGCACAATGCCGTGAACGGTGAAAGATGGCGTCTGCGTACCTGTTCTAGCGGCTTTCTAGAAGAAATCTGGTGGTGAGATATGACGTCAACCTGCCTAATTGCACACCAAGCCTGATCTGAGGACAAGGATTGGCGGGGAAATCCCGCAGGTGTCAGATCTGAGGCTCAACTCGGCGCCTGCTCGGTCCCGCTCCGGCGCTCGGGCCAACGGTGTGCGACGGAGCGACACAGCGACTCGGAACGCGGCATGCGTTCGGAATGAAGGAGATGCTAGGATGGACAGTCGGGCGATGAACTGAAGAGACGTTAAGCTTATGGAGAAGATTGGAAGGCACGCACGTACCAAAAAGAGGCCCGAAGCATGAGGAGTGACGAAATATTGCGGACGTACAGTTCGAAGACACATCGCTAAGAATTTCCCATACCGTGAATGGAAGGCCGAACGCATTTGTACTAACGGAAAGCGAGTCGGCAGCCCGTAGTCATTTTTTATCTCTTGCCTTATCGAATATCGCACCTTGAGGAACGGCCGGTTCCGGGACGTCTCCATAGCGTGAGATGACAACATTGAACGCCAGCTTTCGTATTCTCGAGATGCTGTTGACGTACGATATGTAACTGTGTAGTTGAATAGAGCGTTGTCTCTGAGCGTAGCTCTTGAAAGAGCAGTGACGGCCGAAGCATTAGGGCTCCCAGCGCCCACCAGATTGCGGAGACTGGACCCTGATCTCCAACCGTGCCGCTATCGCCATTCAGGTTGTCGTTAGTGCCACTTCCGCACTGCGTAGCACACGTGCAATTGAGATGAATAAGACCGTACATGGGGACGGTAGATGTAGCTGCGGGTATCAGCGGCTGGGCGCAAGCCTTCCTCCGCATCGTCCAAGATTGACCATCGTAGAAGCGATAAGCGACGTGGAGCGCATCTGTCCAATGCGGTGACCTTGCTTTTCTCGTGCATCGCCTTTCCACATTAGCATTCGTCAGGATAGGTTAGGCAGACTCTCCCAGATGCTGCACGATATGACGATTCTCGCCTGCTCCCGGTATCCACATGTTCAAGAGCAGTTGTGGTGCGGATTTGCAGCGAGAACTTTATCCGGCAATGCATCCTCTCTGTGCCATTGGATAGCGCCGGCTAAGGTGCCTTACGGTGCAGGCCGGGCAAGTATGTCAGCAGGTTTGACGTGTGGTGCCCATCGCTCGCAAAGTGTTGCCTACCGTTTGGAGCTTGACAAGGCTGGAGTAGCTTGCAGCTTTGGGTAGCTTGGGCGGACATGGCAGCGTCTGGTTGGAAGATGGATAAGATAAGATGCAGGGCAGATTCGCCTCTGCACGTATGAGTCGACTTCTGCAGTAAAGTATACTTGCAGAACTTAGGGTGGGCTGACTTGTAGGGACTGGTGGAAATACTGCAAGGCGCCCTGCGGCGCCATGCAGAAGTGAGGAACTCGCAGCTATAGCACCTTAGCTAACGGTCCAGACGAGTCTCAAACACTTGCGTCATGGCGCGGGCTTCTGCAGATGCTGAGTTACAGCCTGAAACTGCCGCTTTGGGATAGCAGTGAGGTCATGTGAGAGGCGACTGTCACCACGTACTTACAAAACCAGGCATTTTCGCCAGTGCGCTAGAGGATCGCACGCAGCAGACGTGCCGGGAGCTCATGAGAGCCACTATCATCGGAAGTGCGGTTCCGCGTTGGGCGGGGAGCGGTCGTCGATGTCGTTGACTTCAGGAGCGAGTGAGCCCATAGGAGGCCGCCGGCCTCAGTCTGCAGGGAATCAGTCAAACTCGGGCGGCATACCCAGGTGTTGTTGGGAACATGTGAACTGATTGCCAAGCAGATGGTTCGAGATGCGAATGGGTAGGGTGGGCGATAACTAATCGGCAAGGCGGCTTACGTCGGCAGCAGCACGTGCGCCGACGGCATCTCTCCACCACCACCGAATCTGCGGACACCAGCCTCAAACTCACTCCGCACTTCGTCACACCCTTCCGCTGCCAGCTGCCAGACTCCGGCCTACTTCTTTGAGACGCCCGTGTATCCTCCGCCAAAGCCACTGCGAGTGCGCGACCCGATCACGAGCGTCCCCCGTGGCACATCGTATCCAGCCATCGGTGATTGCCAACAGCGGCAGCTCGTGGGCGTCTGGCAACCTCCTCCGCATCGCAATAGACTATTGGAAGGGCGGCGCAGACCTATTTCTGTTGCAGCCACCTCGTTCGCGCTTCGGCCCCAATGCTGCAACCGAAAGAAAGTCGGTGACGGCGCCTGGGATGCTGCGTGCGGCTCCACGAGCGGTTAGTGGCTTCGCCGACGACCGAGTGACCGAGTTTCGGCCCAGCGAACCATCAACACTTGCAAGCCGCGCAAGTGAGCGTGGTTGGATCGTCGCCGTACAGCGGAAGCTGAAAGAACCCTGAATATCTGGATTACTCACCGGAATTGACGACAGTGTCGGGAGCCTTCCAAGGTTGCGGAATGCCTCGTACTCTCGATAATCCATTGTCCCGCCGGAGCCCGCCAGCGATGTCTCAACAGATAACGCGCGACCGTGGCGCCATGGCAGCGAGGGAATTGCCCGTTCTATGATTAAGCACATGCGGCACATCTTGGCAGATACAGCCCTACAGTGCGCTCGTAAAGGCAGTTCCTGTGGCGGGGCGAAGCGCTCGAGAGACTACGTCAGGCGTCGCGAGCCTGACTAACGAGGGGATCAATTTACTAACCGACACTCTGCACCTCGCTCTCGGACGCCCTTTTGGGCCTGGGGTCGAGCATCTGCCAATGGTTTATCAAAGACCCGATGAGGCTTAGCGCACGCCTCCATGCACACCCCCGGTCCACCGCTGCAACGTCGCCGGCCACTCCAGTTCAAGAATAACAGCACCCAAAAGCTTGCCTGCTCCAGCGCCCAGACCTCCGGACAGCGGTGCCGAAAAACGCTGGGCCGTCGACCGTCGACGCGGCATAATGCATGCCTTTTCGCAGAGCCAGCCCTGCACGACGGCGTGCAGGGTCCACTGCCGTTTTGCGCTCACAGGCGGCATGGACAAGGACCGACATCCCTGCTAACGCCGTCGGCGCCCACCTCCAGCAGCTTGACGGTTTAATTCCGATCATGGGAGTCGCGTCTGCCGCACCGTGGTATAAGACCTCAGCTTGCCCTCGATGGTGTAAGCTCACCACCTCCACAACATAAGCGCCTCGAATTCAAATTTACACCTTGGCTCTGCTCTGCAGCATCACCCACAGCTCCAGCACACTACATAGCAAAGAAACAAAGGAACTTCGCCTTGCCCATCGCCTGCGGTCACTGTCTTCGCGTCATCAGCAGCTCACCAATCTTCTCGTCATCACCTCGTATCTTCGCAATGGACTCTCAATCATTCGATTACTGGTTGTCCCAGGGCAATTACATGCCTCCGCACCAGACAACCATATTTGAGCTTCCTCCGGAGCTTTCCAAAGTTCCCAGCCTTAGCGGTTCTCCGGTGAGTCTTCACTGTCGGTGCCTGGAATTCCGAGAGGCCAGCTACTGACGCCAGCAAGGTCTCTTCCACATACGACCAGTTTCCCGCTCCTCTACCTCAAGAATACTACCCGCAAATTTCTGGCGAGCCAATGCACTTTGGATCATATCCTCTTCCCATGACCCCCTCGGACTTCGGTTCGGATCACGACAGCCCATACTGCAGTCCGCGGCCGCCACCACAGGCCGAGCCAGTATTCGGGCAAGCACCTCCAGCCGCAGCACCTGCTGAGCGCCCACATACTACCTCAGGAGTAAGTCTAGAAGATATCGCAAGTGATCCCCCATGCTAACATATACGCAGAGGAGGAGAGCCCAGAACCGCGCAGCGCAGCGCGCATTCCGCGAGCGCAAAGAGAAGCACGCCAGAGACCTCGAAGCCCAGCTCACCGCGCTCACCGACAAGTACAATAAGCTCGAGACATCGCATACGGAACTGAATGCTGCATACGACAAGCTCCGCAAGACAATCGAGCTCCTTACCCAGGATGACGACGCAGAAGGCGAGGAGGAGGACGGCAAGACCATCAGGCGGCGAAGTAGCAATACAGACACGCTCCGAAAACTCTTGGAGATATTGCACGGCGAGTTCAAGGGCGTCACAGTGAAGAGCGAAAGCACATAGGAAGCTCGCCGGGACGCAAGCCGGTAAATTGCTCGCTTCATTTCTTGTCTATAGCTTTACACCTTGAGATTCTCTATCATGTAGCCAGGTGCTGACGGCGTTTATGGAGTTCGCTTTTAAAATTCTTCCATCTTCTCGTCTCTTTAGCGTGGGAGGAATACTGAGAAAGCTGGGACTTTGCTCCCTTCCGGCAGGAGGATTGGAATGAACGAGCCGAAGAAACCCACTGGGTAGGGCACCGGGTTCTTCCAGCTGCTCTTGATTCACTTTGGAGCAAAAGATAGAAACGACCGTTTCATGTTCACGACCTAGATCCATGACTTAGCTAGTACCGTACGTAGTCTCTAATGGCACGAAAAGCCAATCACATCTACTCCATACCATCTCCACCCGTGCATCAATGCTCATCAACCCCTCCTTCCCGTACCCGCGATATCGGGCTCAGGGGTCGTCTCCCTATCACCCTGATAATCCAGCTGAAGAACAGCCCAGTCCAGCTCTCGACCATCCGCATTCCAAATCCTCCCGCACTCATATTCCCGTTGCAGCGGCCTCGCGATCCTGAAGCGGCAACCGCTGGCATCAGCAATGATTCCGCTTCCACCAATCAGTGCTTCGAGCTTACTCCCGCCCTCCGGTGCCGTCGGAGCCCCCAACGTGCTCCCCGCAGCTGGGGCTGGGGGACTTGGGCGACGTAAAACCACGCGCCGGGCGCGGCCACCTCCTGTCTCTCTTTCATTTCCTGGGTTGTAGGCGAGTTGGATGGGTGTGAGAGGTTCCAGACGGAAGGATCATCAGGCTTGATGGGCTGTGATGGGGGAAGCGTTCCTTTGGATCTGCATGCGATAATTGGCCCCCTCCCCTCGTCTACACGTGCGTTACTACCCTATCAACTTCCGCATTCGAGGTGCTGTGACATGTAATTTCGACTCTGCCCCTCCCCCGCCGTTCATTACTGCGGACTGCGCTCCCACGAACGTCCAGGAGCACACTGGCTCCCGCTTCTATATTCGAGTACAGTCCGATCGTTCGTTCCGAGCGCATTGATGCGATTGAGATTCGGGAGAGAGTAGAGGCTCGTGCTGAATGGATGCTTGGAGAACGAAGGCCGGTTATGCCCATTTACATGTCCATCCCGACCGCCTTGGACCCTGCATACTTCTCACCGGCGCGGCACGCGCAGTCACGCGTTCTACCGAGGGTGGGACTGACAGGTCTGTATGATAGGCTGACTCTGAGACTGCTGATGACGGGTGAATGCACCCGTAGGGCTGGATTCCGGGGCTCCAAAAGCTTGGCCGTGAAGCTCTGCTAGACTCGAGAGCGTAGGCGGACCGCCTATCCCAGCCGCCCCCAGGTAGCCAAGCGATGCTCGAAGGGGGCGGCAAGTTTTGGCGACTATGGCCTCTTGGTCCTGCACTCGAAGACATTCGAAGCGCCGGTTCGTATGCATCGAAGACGCATGGAAGGAGCCCAGGATGACTGGCTTGACGCTAGGTATTCACACTGCAGCCCACTCCCCTCCATCGCCCTCCTAGTCCACCTGCAACGCTTCTACATCACCACATCTGCGTCTGACCAAACGCCCGACCGTCTCGCGCGAGAGTAGCAGAAAAGAAAATTTACCAGTGTACCACGGTAGTAGCAGTCGGGATGCTATTCTTATCTGGCTAGTCGCATGGGGCTGGGGTGCTAGAGCCGAATCTGGTGTAGCGGAGGCTTAAAAGCTTGACCGCGCTTCGCTACGTGCGCGCACGGATGAGGTTTAAGTCTAAAAATAAATTTAGAGCCCAGCTACCAAAGATTTGGAAAGAAAAGTCGGTGGGGGTATAGGTACAGTATAGAAATTTTGATCTATGTGCATAAGTGTGGTGGGAGGAGGCGTCCGTACATGGGACCGCGCGAATTGTTGCAGCGCAGTGCCGCTCTACTGTGCTGTTGTTTTTAGAGATGCGGCGTCAATCGCAAGAGCGCGGGCGTCTTTGGTGGGTGCGGCGGAAGTGGTAGTACACGGTTTCAAACAACGCGGAGATGAGTGAATCCAACGTCGTGGAGGCGAAAAGTCGGTGCGTGCGGGTAACGCCCCGTTAGTACCAACTCGCCAAAGAAGCTTAAACCAGGCTCTTGAAATAGATTTAAGCTATACCGAAGAGCGGCTCTGTGGAAGTGAAAGGGTGGAGCAGAAGATGGTCGATGCGATGTTTGACAGGTCGAGATAAGGTAGGATGGGCCATCGAGGCTGAGGGACGGAGATTTGACTATGAGATTCTAGCCGAGCGATGTCCTTAACTCAATATGAAATATTTCCACAGTGATAAACATCGTCTGAGCCTTCCGAAACGCTAGATTGACTCGTGATCGTCTTGCTCCTCTTCGGGGATCCTAGGGGTGCGGGAGCTCTAGCCAATTGAAGAAAATGCAGCAAACCGAGAATAAGGTAGATATTGATACGAGGAAAGATGTGGAAACAGACTGGGAAGAATAAATATTGGATAGAGGCTAACGCTTAATCTAGATGTTACCTGGGTCGAAACGCCGTTGCCATGCAGTCGTGAAAATAAACCCTCCAACCGTCCCCAGACCATGTTATACCCGTCCTTCGATCCCGAAAAACGTTCGCGCAAGCAACATTTTGAAGCGTCTTCCATGTTTGGCCGACCTCTTCCTATTACCGCCGCTTTGCGCCGTGCGATGACTTCGTTCCATCTTAGCAGGCGAGATTCCTGGTATACGCATCGGTGCCCTCGCCCTCCGGCGCGGCCACGAAATCTTCCGGCGTAACCGCGCGATCAAACATTATGCACGCCGTCATGGGATCTCCGCCCGGCGTACCATAATACCCCGCAGGCGTTTTGACATTCTGCGCCCAGAAAGCAGCCTTGCATTCGGTGTGATTGCCATACCCATAGCATTGTTGGAGACACTGCTCCGCCATTTCGGTCTTATTCGATGAAAAAGCAGGGTAGTACGCATTGTAGAGGAGCGAATTTTTGGCGGAGTCGGTGGGAAGGAAGGCGCTGCCGGTCGGCAGAGGGTTCGTGACGGTGCAGGTCGACGGGATGGGTACTATCGCGGGACCGCCTGCTCGTGCTGCGAGGTTCGGGGAGGGCAGAGCGGCGGCGAGCGCGGTAAGCGTGGTAAGGATGGTAATTGTGGAGGTAAGCATGTTGATTGAGTGCCAGGGTGCGATGTGGTAGCGACCGACGATAGGTGAGACGATGGGTGGCTGAAGAGGTCGCGTCGATGAAGCGCTGGGAGATCGTCGTGTATCTGGGGACTAGAAGTAATAGCAGTGAGCTCTATCGAGGATATATATTCGTCGGTGAGGGGCGGGTGACAAGGTCTTCGTAAACCGTCAGCTCATCGCAGGCGTGGAACATATTAATACGTCCCCAGCTCCCGGCTTGTAACCCTTACCATCCAAGCCGTGTGACGCTGCAATCGCTCACTAGCAACCTCGTAAACTCGCACATTCTATCGATTTTCGCCCCAAAGCAGGAAGGGTGATGCCGCAGGGACACCGCAAGGGCGGCGATCATCAGCGGGGATGGCTGGCCTCATCGTCAAGCGCGACGTCATTCGCCTGGTTAGCTGTCGATCGCCCCGTGCTTTATTGGCTGACACGAGGGCCTGGTCGCTCGAGATAGAATGCTTGTTCTGCGATGAACGTTGTGACAGGCGGAGGAGTGCGGTCAGACGAAAGGCGCGATCTCGCCGGTCGTGCCGACTCGGGTAACGCGGGTGTGGCTGGGCACGTGGTGGAACCTTCTCTCCAGGACGACAACGACACTGACGCGCAACCTCAATCTCGACGATGGCGATGTTGCCAGGACGTGTTTGCCCAACTTTCGTGATTCCTTTGAATGGCAGTCTGGAGCGAAAACTGCTGGTGACCGACCGCGCGAGCCACCTCTGCCTGCTCTTGGTTCCTGTCAAGCAATCCTCAGAAGGAACTGGGAGGCCTCAATCCTGGAAGACAGAGATGATGGCACGGAGGAATTGCGATAGCAAGCACGAGATGCAAGAATCCTAGACGATGTAATACGCTACACCGTCGCGAAGCAGACTATGCTCCCGGTTCGGCCGTCAAGCCGGAAAATTCACTCCTACGCGCGGTCCTGGGCCACCTCAGACCAATCCAAGTCCTTGAGCTTCCATCTCCCAAATATTCGGAAACTCATCCGTCCTCTCCCATCGGATGGGCGTACATAACCCGCCAGCAGCACGGTGAATGCATCCCTGGCGGGCATACACCTCAGTGAGTCAACGACTTTCTGGACACTCGCTAGGCTACACTGGAGCATATTTTCGGCCGTCAAGTCCAGATTATAGAACTCGCGAATCACAACTCGGCAGCTCGTAAGACCGGGCATCTTTTTCAAGACCTCCAACGTGTCCTTCCAGTCCTGCGAATCGCAGAGATAGAGACGCGCGATATGCAAGGTCAACGAACGAATGTTCTGGAGATGGCGGTCCGGAATCGAGCGAGCGAAGTTGACGATGTCATATCCAACCTTGAGCTCGAATGTGTTCCCGGTATAGACGAGACCGATGGCTTCCGCGTACCTGTTCCGCGCCGTTAGCTGCATGGAACGCCGCTCAAGAGCTATGTCACGTACATCCGTCTGCAAGCCTTCAGGAGCGGGGGCAACACGTATCGATCTCTTTTCGATTTGACATTCCACCATGTGGATGCCTTGTGGGGACCTTTCGGTCCATGCATCTCCACGCAGGGTAAGTGCCCAATATCGATGCCCAGCTCCCCTTCCCCCAGGATTACACCTTCTTCGTAGAAGGAGTCGCACTCGACAATTGTGAACCGATCCGTGTCGAACTGGATATGCAGGAATGGCTCGTCGCAAAGTGCCATCTCGTATATCCGCATACGAACTTCAAGAGGAAGTTTCGTAAAGAAAGTGGATTGAGATTGGCTACTGGTTCTGGCGTTACGAGAGAACGCGCCGCGTATTCCCGGAGCCTTTCGAACCGGTTCGCTCAACGAGTGTCGCCGACGGTGGACCTTCTCTTGTTTGCGAAACGTAATGTCCATCATTCGGAGCTGCTTTGCAATGTATGCGTCCCGGAGCCCGTTGCCGCATTTGATACTATTCATGTCGCAACAAAGAACGCAACACATCCACAGAAGTAGACAAGGGAAACAGCACAGGACGAGGCTGCCGCGTTTGCACCACTTGGCTGCTTCTGGGTGCTTCCAAGCGAAATACTCGAGCTTTTCTCTGGTCGGAGGGGCGGCTGCCATGATCGGTGTTGCTAGCAAGAGCTCGAACAGTGCGCAGGTGGGGAGAGAGACACGAAAGTTGTCTTTTATAGCTGCCTAACCTTGAGCCCGCTCCTGCACTACGCCGCACGGACGCCTCCAGAGCTTCACCGGTAACTTACACCCCTTGTTGTGCGAAAATTTCACGGTCGAGGATCGTCTAACAGATAATGCCACCAAGGGGAACAGACCTTCATCAGCCCAACACGCCGCGCGCAGTTTATTTATGGATATCCAGCATGATCTAACATATTCTCCAGTCGATTCGATTTTTTGTCCCGCAAAGCTCGACGAGCAAGCCGAAAGAATTCGATACGCAAACCTCGTAGGCCATAGTTCAATCTACTCTAAATCCTTTCCCAATGCCCGCACACTTCAAACGACTCGCCATCCTTCTTACGCTGTCGAGACTAGGGCACGAACTGCACTACGAAGACGTGCTTGTTCGGAAGTTCCCTCAGCGCCACAGCTAGTGCGCGGGGCGTGATATCATGTGGCTCGTGTGCTATAATCCGACATTCCCTCAACCCGGACATTCTTCCCAGGATGCTGAGTGTCTCTTCCCATTCCGCCGATGGCACCCTGGTGCGAGGGGAAACGTACAGGACTAGGTACCTAATTAGGTTGGTATGGCACGGCGGAGCGGACTTGATGAAGTTGGCTAGGTTAAAGCCAACAGCGAGAACGAACGTATTCTCCGCATACACAAGATCGATCGCCTCGGTATAACTTTGAGCGTTAGTCCTGGCTTGTCTCTACTGGATGTCGAACCGAACTTACATGCGCCGACAAGTCCTCAAGAGTAGCAGAAACGTGTATCGGATCCTAGTTTCGGGATCGGGCACGCCGAAAGCAGCACAGTTCCAATAGCGATCATGGACTGCCATGCATTCTACATGTTCGATCACGGACCTACAAACTTCCCATTCTTGGCCCAGGGACCACCTTATCGCTCCAGGGCAATTTGGAATGCAAAACCCATACGCGGAGTCGAACGTGACATGCAAGAACGGCTCATCGTTCAACACGTATCCATAAACCATCTTCCTCACCTCCGAGGGCAGTCTGGAAAAGAAGACGGACTGGAATTGCTGATTACACGTCCTAGGCCGTCGAGCAAAGAAGGCACGTGGTTTCGATGGAACGGTCCCTTCGCTCAACGACTCCCTTCTCTTGTGCTCCTGCTCCCTGCGTTCCCACTTCATGCTCATCATTTTGCGCGACTCTCTTTCGTGTTTTTGGCGGCTGTAGTTGCCGCATCTTCGGCGTCGGGGGAGGCAACATCTGCAAGGACGCAAAGGGAAGAAAAGGAGCTTGAGACTGCGCTTGTAGCGTCTCTTGAACGCGGGATGTTCCCAGAGAAAGTATTCTACTTTACCGGAGAGGGTAGAATGCATGGCGGGAGAAATTTGGCGCTTGTGCTGCTTGAGGGGAAGGAGACTGTTATGTTGGGTGGTTGCCTAGAATGGGACGAGGCGATGCCAGGTCTTCGGACTGCGCCGTGTTGGTGCAGACATAACTTCACCGGATGATTCTCCTAGCTCTTCCGCGTTCTTGGACGTCGCTAGGCTAACCATTCTATTGTAGTCTCACCTGCGCGATGGTCATCCTACCGCGACGCCATGCCGCCGAATCGACGAGCTCTTGCAGCTCCTTACTCCAGGACTGCCGGACCGCGGTATCGGCTCGGTCCGCTGAGAGTTCGCAAATGTAAACGTATACACTCTGTACCTAGGTATGCTTCAGCGCATCTTCTTGAGGGGCCATGAGGATGGACTTGAGGAACCATTCCGCGACACTTTCCCACACCAAATCGGACGTTGTATGCAAAAACGACTTCTCGTTTAGCACTATATCTAGCGGTGATATGATAACGAAGGCAGACTGCGCGCGATTGCGAGGCTGCGGCTAGCGAGAGAAAACGTATCGTGACGTCTCGGCCGGGCGGTGCAGTGATCGGCTCGCTCTTGCTCTTGTGGAAAGCTGACGGGTGGCACTTTCCTTCGTCGCTCTTTCACCTGCCTACCTAGGTAGGCGTGACCAAGCTATCGTGACCGCACTGCTCCACACACTTCCAACCTTGGAAGGTTCGTAATCTCCGGCCATTCCCCGAATTTCACTGAGGCCAGTCTCTTCCTTCCCATCAACCCTCAGACTGCGCTTTTGTCAACAAGACCCACCCTCTGGATATGAAGCCACTCTTCCTCCTTCGTGCGGCCGCACTTGTCATCAGCCCCGTCGCCGCCAACATCACCGAGCTCCCGGACGACCTACCGTGCGGCGTCGCTTTCTCCGTCCGCAACTCGACACGCAATCTCCTCGCCGCTCTCCGAGACCCCACCATTGACCCCGGTGCGCTCGGTGCCGCGGACGTCTTCGGCAGCAATGCGGGACCCGGCCCGAAACCATGGCTACGCGGCTCAAATCTACTAGTCACGATCCCGTACTGCTATCGAGAGCCATATGAAAGGGCATCGCTCGCGTGGCGTGTAGAGGAAGCCATCAAGATCTGGGAGAATGCGCTCGGCGGCCAAGCCTCCAAGGATACCGGCCATGCCGTCGTGTTCAAGGAAACGACCGACCAGGGACGCCCGCTGTATTGCTATGACCTAGGTGCAAGCAACCGATTCAAGTGGAATGACGACATTCCGTACGAGACAGTATCTGTGGAAGCGGTTAGCAGCCCTGTCTTTATCGCCTCGGCTACCATCGGATTCCTGTCTGACCCGCAACAGCCTGAACCGTGGGAGATGTTCATGAGGGTTGGACACTTTGCGTCGAGTGTCGACGTGGCGCATGAGCTTGGCCATGTGCTTGGAATGGCACATGAGCATCAAAGGTTGGACCGTCAGTCCTCTGCCCCCAAGTCAACTCTGAAAAGCAGGCATCTCTAACCTGAGAATAGGCGACAAGTACGTCAAGTACAATTGCTCCAACCTGCGCGACTACTACAGGAGGCTCCACGACGCTACGGCTATGGATCCTTCCATAACACCCGATAAACTCTGCAACGACTTCTACACGGCTTTGAGATACGCCTTCACAGGCACGCAGTTCATTCGCGGCACAAGTCCCGGCGCATGGTCAAGGGGCTGGCCCGTTCATTCTGCCAGTGATGCCTACGACTACGACTCTATCATGCACTACGCAACGCAGGGGGCGTCAAGGATCGGGTGTGCGGCTAACCAGCTAGATAAGTGTGCGCTCACGAAGTACAAGAATGGGCCTGGCAGACCGTGGGAGGTAATGCCTATTCCGAGGAATACGGTGCCTTCCGGTGAAGACTTGTCGTGGGTCAGGAACGTATACCCTTGGAAGGAGTAGGAGTGAGTAAGGTGTGGTTGATGTGCGACTCACGGAGGAGTGGTACTCTCAGCTGGCCTATGAGGATAGGGGATACAAGCAAGCAGTGCAGATGTATCCGGTACTAAGGGCCCATGGAGAGATCGTCTGACGGGTCGCTGAGGGCTTTTCTCAATCCGATGTCCGTTTGCGTGGGTCTACCTGACTTGAATCAGCGCACGCATGTATGCACAACGGCGACCAATATGCCTAGTCATCTGGCCTCCTTTATATATCACGGGCGGGGAGTCTCTCAGTGACAAAAGTACCGTCCCAACGTTGGCCATACCTTCTCCTTTCGTCTGTCTTTCGTCCACAAAATGTCGAAGAAGCCCTTCCCTGGATCCGCCAGGAAACCATACCTTCCACTGAATTACGCGGGAAGAAGCAGCGAAGGTAAGGTATTCCCCTAGCCTGCCACTTGTAATGTTCTCTTGCTCAAGCTCCTGCCTGGCTGCCGCCCGCTTCGGTACAGCATGGCTGCAATCCACGGCCAAACTCTGCACGGCCTACAGGCGACTTCTCACTCGTTCCCAGTCTCCTTCATCATACACATCTTCCTCAAGCTGCACACAGCGCAGACATCGCTCTGCACCATCAGCCTCGTGAACTAGGACGTCAATAATCGCAGGAACGTTTTGATAGACCCGTCGCCACCACGGCACGCGCGCGTCGAAGGCTTCCCAAAAGTAGTTCGGATCGATCTCGGCTCGCTGGGCAATTACACACGTTCCCGTAAGCACGAGGCGTGTGAGTATGCTAGATATTACTACCAAGTCCGTTATTGGAAAGGCCTTGGAGGAGCATCGAAGGGTTGGGCCTGGGGTGGATGAGGCTGACAGGAGGAACTTGGAGGACTTCTATGAGCTTGAGATGGATCAGAACAACGCCAGGGCAAGAGCTGGGGTCGAGTTGACGCTCGATAGGCTGATGGAAATGTACGGGACTATGGAAGAGAAGGTAAGGCAGACGAGTCGGACTGGAAGATTGGAAGGAGGTGATGAGCGTGGGGGAAATGGTTGATTGGAGTGCCGCAGTTAGGTTGGATAGTTGCAAGCAAGCCCCTAATTTCCTTTCTGGAGAACAAAACAAGAGTCCTCATAACACGCGCTGCTAAGCCCTGGAGTGCAGAGCTCACCGACTCCCAATTCGGCTAGCGTCGGCGCGTTGCTTCGGACGAAAATCTCGTCCCGCTATCGGCGGACCCCATTTCCTCCGCTCCCTCATCGCTCCGGGGCCTTTCTCAACCCGACGCAACCCCCAACGCGGATTCTCACCGGTCGCCGCAATCTTCGTCCGCACGCACAACATCATTCCCAGCTCCTAAAATAAGCATCTGGAAGCGCTAGTGCATTTGAGCCTGAACTCCCTGAGGAAGCAAGAGATGCGAGAAGACGCGCCCAGCAGACGCATGAGCAACCATGACGACGAAACCATTCGATTTTAACCCACTGTAGCTGTATACGACGAAAGCGAGGGCGCCCAGCCCGTCCGTCGGTTAGTAGGGCCACGCAATTCCGCTCCGCCCTTCGTCCTCGCAAGAGTCAGAGGGGTGAGGATGGCGGCGGCTGAGCACCTCAGCCCTACCCGCTTTGGGAGGGCCTTGCGAACAAAGCGCTGACTCTTCCATTAATTCGCTTACGGTTCATGCCAACCACGTGTGAAACGCTTGGTGTTACTGTGGATCTAAGGAAAATGGAGGATTTTAAGGCAGACCTTGCGAGCCTGTTAGTGTTGCGGCTAGCGTACGCAGGCCTGGGCTGTGTGAGCTGAAGCGTTGGGATATAAGACAGAGGTGTCATCGTGTAGCTGTGCCGGATCATTCATATCAACATCCCCTTCGACTTCCTTCCCTAAAAGGAGCTGGGCTGGCTATCGTTTACTTTTCTTCTTCGATCTCGACAGTCAACCTTCCAAGATGTCGCCCGGCCCTCAAATTCCCGTCCCCGACAACTGCACGGCCGTGTCCCTCGAGTGCCCCGTCGAAGGCACCGTATATGGCTACTACCCCTCTCTCGGCGCGAACGCCTTCTTCGCCGCCTTCTTTGGCCTCTGCGCCCTTCTCCAGCTCGCCTTCGGCATAAAATACAAAACATGGACCTACATGATCGCGCTCGTGCTCGGCTGCGCGGGCGAATGCGCAGGCTACGTGGGCCGCGTCCTCCTCCACAACAACCCTTACGATGAAACGGGCTTTCAGATCCAGATCGTACTGCTCATCTTCTGCCCAGCGTTTCTGGCGGCGGGCATTTATCTCACGTTGAAGCATGTCGTGCTTAGCTTTGGCGAGGAGTGGAGCAGGCTCAGACCGAGTTGGTATACTTATATCTTCATTGCGTGCGATATAAGCAGTTTGGTGCTGCAGAGTGTGGGTGGGGGAGTTGCGGCAACCGCAGATGATTCGGATAGGAAGGCGTTGGATGCTGGCACGGACATAATGATTGCGGGTATTATTTGGCAGGTAATTGGTAAGATCACATCTCCCCTCCCGAAGCAAGAGCACCCGGCTAACAGGATTTTAGTTCTCGTCGTCTTTGCCGCCTTCGCCACCGAATACGCTATCCGCACCTACCGCCGCCGCGACCAGCTCTCCGCCTCCGCCTCCAGCCTTTTGTCCAGCATGCGCTTCCGCCTCTTCGCCGCCTCCGTTATCGTAGCTTACATCGGCATCCTCATTCGATGCGTCTACCGTATCCCCGAGCTGGTGGAGGGCTGGGGCAGCGACATGATGCGGCAAGAAGGAGAGTTTATCGCTCTCGAAGGCGTCATGATTGTCATCACAGTAGCGGCGCAAACTATCTTCCATCCCGGGTACTGCTTCCCGGCTCTGGCGAGTACATTCGGGAAGAAAGGGCAAAAGAGCATTTCGGAAAGCGATGTGGAGATGATGGAGCCCCGCTCTTGAAGAGACATCTGGGTTCGCAACTCTCCTCAGGGGGGGAATTAGTGTAGGATATTCGATTGCGTCCGCCCCGAAGGTAGCTTTTAGCGTGTGGATGTTGGCAAAGAGGTGTTAAACTCTTTTCTCGTTTGCGTTTCATTGGCTGTCTTGGCCCGAGGGTGTGCAAGCCATTCTATGTTCTGGGCTTGTTGAATACCCGTTGGATACATCTGTGGTTAGTTCGCTATATTGAATTGTTTAGAAAGGGCAACAGCATCCTTATCGCCACCGTAACGAGGGAGCACACGCGCAAAGGAGTTTGGAATTTCATGACCTAAGGACGTGCTTCTCGCGTATGCTAGATAGATTAATCTATGAATAAAAATAGCGATTTAACTTGGCTATGCTTGCACTGCATCGTCCGATATCTTCTGCGCCGACATGCCGTAACAAATACACGGCACGGAGAGTGAGCCATCAACACCCCAATAAACGGGTGCATAACCGACAAGCGTCGCAATTCTATAGCGCCAGATTTCCAAGGCCGTTAACCGAAAGCCTAGCAGTCATCGATAAGAATCTCTAATCTAAGCACGCACACGCAAGAAATCGCTCCAGTGCTGGAATAGATATCTAAAGGGACTTTCAATTCTCGCCAAAGTATATACAAGAAGAAGTATCCAAAACCCCCCAACAACGCTACAAAACCATTAAGCTTAAGAAAAAAATGCCAGTGTAAGTAGTTAGTTATACAACAAATGGGCCTCATGCGCGGAGGCGGGAGCGGTGGTCGCTCTATGAAGGTATCAAATGCAATGTCGGTCGTGTCAGCCTCGTACGTAAACGCCCGTCTGCCTCCTCCTTCTACTGAAGACGATATACAAATCCGCTGAGCCCTAGTCTAAAAATGCAAGGAGAAGTGAAATGTGAATGTGGTTGAAGAAGTGTGCGGTGAACGCGTCGTACTTGTTTAGTACACGGTCTGCTTTGCGCGGAGCTGCGGACCGTATTTCTTCAAGATAAAGGGGATAGGAATCATGGCTATGCAGAGGAAGGCGAGTAGCATGGAGCCCCTGAGTCATGTTAGCTACCTAAAGCGGGAAGTGGGAGAGGCAGGATGGCTTACCAATCATAGCCCAGATTCCTATACATCTCGAACCCAAAGAAACAGAAAAGGAACGTGATCGGACACCGCGCCACAATAACGGCAGCAAGCGCGCTAGCCGAGTACCGCCCAAAGCAGTCAACAAGGTATGACTGGATGCACACATAGCCCATCAGCATGCCGATGCCGAAGAAGAAGGCGCCGATGAGCGGCACAACCCAGTGCGATCTGCCCGCGCTCCATGCAAAGATTATGAGGCCGAAGGGGACGACCAGCATGCCGAGTTGCAGGAACGGGATGCGCATTTCGGGCGTGGGGACGGCGTTGCCGGTCTTGCGTTGCTGGCGGGCGAGCGCGGCGGCGAAGGAGCGATTCATGAATTTGGCGGTTAGGACCATGCCGACGAAGGCGCCGGAGCCGGCGCCGAGGTATGCGAGGCCGGTCAGGCCGGATTGGAATTGGTAGGAGTAGAGGCCGTAGAGGGGCGTGGGTCCGTAGAGGAGGAGGATTGTGATGAGGTGGAGGTAGAGAATGCCGTAAATGCTAGAACGGGGTTAGTGGAAGTGAGTCAGTGACATGGGAAGTACTTACAGAGACTGGTAGATGGCCATGAAAGCTAGGATAGGCGACGTGAACAGCATTCTTACAGGCCGTCCGAGTGAATGTGCGATGATGCGTTTGGCGCCTCCTGCGGGCTTTACGGTTTCGGTCTGGTATTCGACGTCGGGGTTCGCTTTCCTCAGCTTGGATGCCTTGAGTTCGAGCAGGTATGGTGCGTAGGTCTCGCGGAGGAAGAAGATGCCAGCAAAGGTCACAGTGCCCGCGGCGATGGCCACCGTCCAGAGCAACCACCGCCAGCCCGTTGTGTGGTAGACGATGAAGCCGCCGATGACCCCACCCAGCACCGGTCCAAACACAGGCCCAAAGGAAGCAAGAGCCTGCGCCTTTCCTCGCTCCGCAACAGTGAACATATCGCCCACACTACCAGCGCTGAGACTGGGCCCGACAGACCCAGCGATTCCACTGAGGAACCGCAGCGTCGATAGCGCGGCAATGTTCGGCGACAGAGCGCACCCAACGTTGAGCAGAGTAAAGCAGGCGAAGCTTGACAGATAGATAAGTCTTCTGCCGTACAGTTCCGAGAAGGGCGCCAACACCAGCGGTCCACTCCCAATACCCAGCACGTAGAGCGCTGTTGGGAGGGAGGGCAGCTTGGGATTCCTCAGTTCGAATTCCTTCGCAATCTCGCCGGCACCAATGGCCAGGATGGTCGAGGCTATCGGGGAGAGCGTGGCTTGCATCACAATGAGCAAGACGTTGAACCATTTTCGCGACGTGGCCCAGTTGAGCGGGTTGAGAGGGTCTTGTTCGTTTTCCCAGGTCTATGGAAGCGTTAGCACTTATAACTACTGCGTAGGAAGGGCTAGGAGAAGGGGGGAATGAACCTACGACTATAACTGTTTGAGAGTTCGGAAGGCTTTCGACGGAGCTCTGGTCTGATTCGGGTAGCTGTTTGTTTTCCTGGAACTCCAAGGTTTCGAACGTCTTCAGAGTCTCCTGTGAGGGTGCTTCACTTGGAGACTTGGAGTGGGCGATGCTCATCCTATCTAGCGAGGGAAGATCGATGCTCTTCTCGTCTCGTTGTCTGGGGAAGAGTACAGTACTTGTGGTCCGGTCCAGTCCCTCATCCCAGACACCCAGACCTGATATATCTGCTCGACGAACCAGGCTCCACAATCACGGAGCTGAGACAGCGCCTCACGGAGTGCTTCTGGCTAGTGTTGCGAGAGCTGGTAGGTAGGATGAGATTAGGAGCGTGAACTCCGTTCTCTGAATCATCTTGCCTGTGATAGACTGATCTCAGGTCCGCCCAGTGTGGTAGGGCTGGTCTTGGGTACGTGCTCTCCGTAAACGATATCATTTCTTCTCTGACAAAAGGTATTGCTCAGCTTCCGTGTAGGGAAGTAGGGGTGGGCTCAGGTGCGTGCAGTCCGATTGTCCGACGAGTTATCTTGGTGACGAACGAATGACGGGACGTCCTGAACAAACGGACGAAACAAACCAAGTGTGGAAGTCCGATAGCACGAGGTAGCAAGGTTGCAATGGCAGCTTATCCCAGGTTGGAACCTGTGGCTGGTAATTGTAGTCGGCTCCAGTAAAGCGCCGTCCCTCCGTAACCTCCCGCCTCTTCCGTGTGAAAGATGGTTGGACAACCCATCCTAATGCGGCGAAAATCGATGAATAGATACCGTGGAGTCCGTATGATAGGCATGACAAAAACAAATCGGTGCCGCGAAGTGTGGCTGGTTTCCACGTTGCCAAGGATAGGCTCAGGAACGTGCGCTCCCCCACTGTGCCCAGGTGAACTAGTTTGCACGTGACAGATGCTCCCCGTGCGACCCCAAGACAGGCCCAGAGGCAGCTGTGCGAAGTCCGTAGACCAGCGTGGGCAGAGGCTGATAAAGCCGGGTGAATGTCGAAATGCGAGTGAGGTCGCGTGGCGTGTAGGAGCGAGGCGTGCTGGACCTGCGTCGCAGAATAAGCCGCAGGAGCCAGCAATGAATGCCAAGTGCCGAGCGATAAGGTCCGAGACCCGCCAGGCACGAACCCTAACCTTACCCACACCCCTCTTATTTGGGATCCCACGTGCGAACGGAATGCCATTGGAATTGCGCCACGGCCGTGAGACTTCCAGAATTGTTCGTTGCATAGCGACTTGTCGCTCGGACGAACTGGGCCCGACCCCACGCCTCCCTCACGCCTGCCCCCATCCTCCCATCGTCGCTGTGGGGACCTCCGGACTTCGTCTTTCAGCCGCCTCGAGGCCCACGCGCAATTCACAGTCACTTTTCGCGATCTACGCAGGTCTTCTCACGAGAGTCGACTAATCGGCAGCGTGGTCGGCATGGCCGTCTCCCATCGCCATGCAGCGGGTGCCTGCGGGCGTCTCGCCATCTTCACATGTTGCCATCGATTCCGATAAGACATGCTGAATGTACGATGGGTCTTCATTGACCAGGTCTGAGGGTACATCGAAAGGTATCATTGTGGCGCCATGCTGAGCTGGATTGTGGTGTGTTTCGAGCAGGAGATTCACAGTGTGCGTGACGCTGCTGGATCTCTGTCCTGGCGGAGAGTCGCAAACACCATGCTTCCGAGATCTGAAACGGTTTCAAACTCTTCCTGGCCTTTTCACAACCTGGCCACACTTACTCGAATTTGGAATGGCGGTTCGAGCATCCCGGCAGCCCTGCGAAGCCCCAGCCACCTGCGGAGAAGCTACCAAGCTAAAGTTACCCGACGCACGTTTTTCCTACACCCCTAGTGTAACCGCGCCACGATGATACCAGCAATCGGCCTGCGCGTCATCTGGAAATTCCCGGTCCCGCATTTAGGAGCTCGGTATTTCCATTTTGGGGTGGCCGAGTAGATCACAGGCATTCCTGAGGGCGGAGTTTGTATCACCGGTCAGTTCCCCGGGCCAGAGACCACAGCAAAGCTGATTGGGCCAGGGATTCTACATCTCGCTACACTCCCAGGACTATACCATGAAGGGGTACCAAGCGATCTGTAGTCCAGGGCGGAGTAGATCTGAGATGCGACCCCCCTCTAATGGCCAATGGCAGCATCAATTTGTCGCGCGACGGTCCCCACTCCACGGTCATGGCTTCCCATCCAGCCTTCCTTCAAGGGGACGATGCCTGACATGGCCATGCTAGGTTACAATCTCCGTCCATCTTAGTGATCGCACGCTTCGGATCTTGGTATTCAGCTACACCAGAGCAAGCAACTTTGGTGCTTCGCCGAAAGCGTATCCACCTACGTGCTTCCATATAAATGGATTGATCGTCTACGCCCCAGAGCCTCACCACACAGCTTCAATCATCAGCAATCACTTCCAACCCGGCTTCGATCTTTCCTCGCATCGCATCTCCTTGGCCTTTGTTTGTATATATCCCATTCTCTTCTCTCATCTTTAGCACCACTTCCATTCCATCACTTCCACAGCAACAATGCCTCAAGTTACTTTCGCTCCTTCCACCAAGGGCTCCATGTCCCACGGTGCGAAGATTAAGGTCAACCGCAATGCGGCCGACAAGATCGTCTTCTACTTCAACACCTTCGCCAAGCTCATGACGGGCTTCCTCCTCTACCTCTTCCAGCTCGTCTGCTCCGTCCCCATGCCCAAGTGGGACAAGCTCATGCTCTGGGATATGCGAACCTTCCGCTTCTACTCGGTCAAGATCGAGCACAATGCTGTCGATGCGATGCAGTTCCGCAAAATTTCTCCTCTCCCCATGACCGCCCCCATCGTCGACCATATGACGAACGGTCTCACTGTCCTCGACCAGGGCTACAAGAACACTGCCGCCGTCCTCTCTGAGATCACCCACATCGATGGCAATAAGGGAAAGCTCCAGTACCGCGGCTACCCCGTCGGCTACCTCTTCGAGAACCACGACTACGAGGAAGTCTGCCACCTCCTGATCTGGGGCAACCTCCCGACTCCCGAGCAGAAGCGCCAGTTCCGCGCCAACATGGCTAAGGAGATGGTTCCTGACCCGTCTGTCAATCGCGCTGTTCGCGCTTTCGCTCCTGAGGCCCCTGCCTTCCTGATCATCTCTGCCGGTCTGGCCGCCTGGGCTGCCTCCGACCCGAGCAAGATCCCCGTTCATGCTGGTGACCGCATCTACCTCGGCAAGACCAAGGAGGTCGATGCTGGTGTTTACCGCTCGCTCGCCGCGCTCATGACCGTCACCGCCATGACCTCGTGCCACCAGCAGAAGAAGACCTTCATCGCGCAGGCAGACCCCAGCCTCTCGCCCATCGACAACATGCTCATCATGATGGGCAAGGTCGACCGCTATGGCAATGCCGACAAGAAGTTCAGCAAGGCTATCAACAAGCTCTGGATCCTCTTCGCTGACCACGAGATGACCAACTCCACTGCCGCCTATCTGCATGCCGCCTCGTCGCTCTCTGACCCGCTCTCCTCCATGGTCACTGGTATCTCCGCCTGTGCTGGTCCCCTCCACGCCGGTGCCATCGACCTCGCCTACAAGCGCTTCGCCGAGATCCGCGCCACCGAGGGCGGCGTCAAGAAGCACATGGAGGACGTCAAGGCCAAGAAGTTCCGCCTCATGGGTGTCGGCCACCGCGTCTACCGCACTGTTGACCCGCGCGTCGGCTACCTCCGCGACATGATGTCGCAGTTCCAGAACGCCGTCAATGATAACCCGCTCCTCGAGGTCGCCAAGGAGATTGAGAATGCGGTGTTCAACGACGAGTACTTCACTTCCAGGAAGCTCAGCATCAACGCTGATCTCTATGGCTCTTTCGTCTACGCTGCTCTGTAAGTCCCATTCCTAACACAACGCGAGGCAACTGGGTAGCTAATAATGAACAGTGGTTTCGACGTCCGCATCTTCACTCCCCTCGCCATCACCGCCCGCTCTGCTGGCATCCTCGCCCACTGGCGCGAATCCATGCACCAGCCGCCCTGCCTCTGGCGCCCGCGCCAGGTCTACACCGGCCGCGTCTCCGAGGACGCATGAATCCTGCACATGGCGGCCCAGAAATGGGAGCGCGGCCGGTGGTTCTGGCGACGACGCGCAATGCAGTCGGTGCTCGCTAGACGACTCGTAGACGGAAGGGGTTGGAGTTGGGGCTGGGGCTTGTAGAGCAGCATTGTTGCCTTCACGACTTCTCACTGACTCTCATTCATTCTCTCTTTTTTTACTTTTACATTCTCTATATGATAATAGGGTTGGGTAGATGATTCGGATTCGGCTGGCGCGACGCATATAGATGGATGGACAGAAGCATTTGGAAAGCATTTGTAAATAGGGTGTCGATCTCATAATCTAAGCATACTCATATTCATCACTCTACACCCTCAAGAATCTACAAACACCATTCGCGCGATCGTCCCAGCCAATCAGACCATTTCCCGACTTTCCATTCCCGGCGCTAGGGCTTCCTCCCCCGGAACCTTACAACCTTAACTTAAACCTTCTACAACACCGATAGACCACTGCTACGCCGTCCGATCGGCGTTAAGCTTCCTGCACCACAATGCATGCAGCTATCCTCATCCCCAATCCAACCCCGCCGGGCCGGTGTACCTAGCCCTAACCTAAGAGGCCTCCTCGCCTACCACCATCACCACCACCTTCCCTCCACCATCCCACGTAAAATCCACGAGAGAAAAAAAAAAGCGCTCATTCCAATACTCCAGCCGCATGGTCCCAGCGTACCCGTGCTTCCGATCTGCCTGCCTATTTCAAACATCTCGGCCGCATTTCAAAGACTGAGGCTAGTGTTCTGGAAGCATACCCGGCGTACTTCGCTCCGTCGGCCGAGTCGTAAGTACAGTGCATGCCCAGTGGCCAGTGCGTAGGCGGGAGGTTTGGTCTTAGACTCCGGAGATTTCTTGTATGTACCGTAAGACCGTCAATGTAGGGTGAGGATGGGATGGTGTCAGCTTGGGCTTACCCGATCACGTGGGGCGTTGGGGGCCACGTAGGGAACTTCGGAAGGTAGGTAGGGACCCTAGGGACGCTTTAGGTCCAAAGCTCCATTTCCATTCCTTTTTTGAATTTTTTATGATTGCCGCTTCGTTCAGATTGGAGACGTGATGAGGCTGGGTTTTCTTTAAGACCCCCCGTTCCAAGCCGCACGCCCACTATCCCGTACCTAAGCCCTTGTAGCTGCTCTGTACTCCTCCACTACGCCCGGAATTAACGTGTTCTTCTTCCTCTTCGCCTCCTTTAACGTTACTAAATAGGGGGAGTAGCAGGAAAATGCCCGCGGGCGAGAGATCACGCCGTTACCTTAGTCGAGAGTTTGTTCTTGCGCGCCAAAACCAGGGGCCGATTCTATTATTACGAACGAACAGTACTCAGCTTTCGAAACAAGAACCATAAACCATCGCACAAAGAAACAGAAACAACAGCATAACAAGCAGACAGACATTTCAAAGCAGCGCCGACGCCCACACGCCTCAATCATCCACATCTCATCGTACAAACGACAAACAACATCACTCGCGAACCTCCCTCACGCTCACCCGCTCACCAGCAATGCCCCTCCCTCCCGTTCGTGCCACACTTGCAAACCCCATCCGTGTCCGGGAACGCGCCATGATCCCTGTAGCAGCAGCGCTCGTAGAAGCCGCAGAAGTCGCAGGAGCCGCAGTCGGCGTAGGTCCGACGAATTCCTGTTGTAAAATGGGGGGGGTTAGTATGAGATGGATAAGAGGAAGGGTGATTCGGGAGGCTAAATAGGGGGAAGGGGTTGACGTACGCAGCGTTCCCTGGGTCTCTCCCGCGTCCGGTTCCGTTGGATCGATATCAGCGGTGCCGGTGTCGTCTCCAACGTAGATGTTTTAGGTGAGTAGAATAGAGGAGCTGAATGCGACGAGGGCTAAGAGGGAGAGGAGGATAGAGAGTTTCATAGCGGTAGGTGAGTGTATGAGGAAGGGGAGTAGTTTAAAGGGTAGGCTAGGCTGCGCTGTCTGGCTCGCTCGCTCGCTCGCTCGAAGTATGCTGTCGCTTGCTTGCTGGTGCTAAAGCATAATTTGCGCGGACCATAATTGCCCTTAAATATCAGTTATCTTTTAGGTTCTTCGCTCCTTCGCATCGAACCCCCAGCGGCGATGCCCCATTGACTAGGTCATTCGCACCTTTCAAACCAGCTATGCACAAACACAACGTTAACCTCCCGTAAGCCGTGGATGCAGACGCGTGTCACAGTCTCGGTTTGCGGAACGCCGTCGGCTTCCCCGAAGCCAGTCTGTTTTCAGTGGCACGACCTAGATAGATACCAGCGGCCTACCCTTTTATCATGCACTGAGCTTATATCGAACGAGGAAATACTCTAATAAAACCCGTGTACATTCCATACTCGATCGAGTAAACGATGTTTAGCTATCAAGTAACCTTCTACGCATTGCGGAACGTACAAAGAGTAATTTCGGCAAATCGACACGATGGCGATGAGAGTCGTGAGACTCAGTACAGTACAGTACGTACTCGGGGTAGCAAGGACAAATGGATGAGAATAGGACAGTTATGGGCATGCGACGAACAGAGAGGAGAGCGATAGTGCGCTTGGTGTTGCATGTTGTGCGGAATGTAGAGAATGGGCCGTATAGTTCACGCTATTTAGTTATTTCTTTAGTAGTCGAGTGAAATGCAGCTTACACACTTTGACTATGTCATAGAGGCGGGGTGATGAAAGAGAGGACAGATAAGTTCAGCTGCGGTTTTTGGCAATGACTTCTACGAAGTAACGTCCGAACTGCTGAGCCAGGTCATTCATCACTACATCTCTACCAATCCGATGACTACGTGGGAAAAGGGAAGCCAGGGAAACACATACATACCAGGGCAGATCCAGTATAAGGTAGGAACGCCTTTATTTTAGAAAGGGCGTGGGAACTATCGAGTTGGTACATGTACACGGAACACTTCCCGGACACCGCCTCCATGCGTTCGGTATACTTCCGAAATCCAACAACCACCCTACCATCACTCCTCTCCGTCCCCCCAAACGCCCACCTCCTGTGCCACAGCGTCTAGATCAATCATCCCCTCTCTCCTCTCCACCATATCCTCATCTTCGTCGCTCTCCTCGTCCCTCCTCGCCTCCTCTTTATTCATCTCGCCCCAGCCCGCATCTTCTGTCTCTTCGTCTTGCTGATACGACGGCGAAATAGGGACGAAGTCATCCATAAGGTTCTGTGGCATGCCAGGCAGATACTGACGCGGCGCGTCAGAAGAGGCAGGCGGAGGCGTGAGGGGCATCATCGCCATTTCGGGAGGGTGGGAGAGGTCCGGTTCTTGGTCGATGAGGTTCGGTGGCGTCGATGGGGGCTCCTCGCGCTCAGTGGGTGGTGCCGGGTGTTCAGGCTCCGTCTTAGGGTTGGGCGCGTCTTTAGATAGAGGCCGGTCTCCGCGCTTGCTCTTTGACTTAGGATGTGGCTCGGAGGTAGCTGGAGGCGATCCTTCAAGAGGTTGAGTTGGGGGTAGATTCGCATGATGTTCTGTCTGATGCTGCTGGGAGAAAGGGAAGATGGAGAAGAGAGTCGAGCTTAGACTGTGCCTGTTATGGGGTGCTGGGCGCTCCGGTTCCTTCCGCTTGTCCTCCTTCTTTGCCGTATTCGGCGGCGGAAGGGATGCAGAGTGAGAGTGCGAAGCTTGAGTTTTCGCGGGCTGAGCGGGACTAGGCGGTTTCGCTACCAAGGTGTTAGGTGGAAGCTCGCCCTGGCACATCTCGCAAGACGTGAGATCAGGATGGTTCAGAAACGTGCAGCGCTGACACTGTTTCTTCTGCTGCGGCGAGGGTGGATGCACATCCTCATACGCATTCTGAGTCTGCGTCTGCGGCTGCAAAGGTCGTCTCTGCGCAGGATCGCCGATACCAGGCATGCCGTACCCAGGACTATACTTCTGTGCGGCCTTCGAGCCCTGTCGCCTAGGTGCAGACGTATTCGGGTTGGATGGTCGCCACTGCGTAGACTGCTGTGCCGTTGGGCCCGGCGTTGGATCAATCGATATCACCACCGTAACGTCTCTCTTGCTCCCGCATTTCATACACTGGCACTGCCGTACCACACTCCTCGTATGCGTATCAACGATCTCGCCAGGGGCGTCAAACCGGATATCGAACCGATCTGGCTCCCCAAAAGAACTCGTCTCTTTCTGCTTCCAAGCTTTCGCATTCGAGTATCCGGCGCCCTTCGCGATAATCGGCATAATGGGGTCCACAGTCCCAAACACAAGATGGTCCACAAACGGAACCAACATTAGCGTCCCACTACTCTTGATCCTCTGGTCGACCTCCGGACGGAGCGAGAAGTCATCCACAGCATGCAGATGCCGAAAGTACTTCGCAAACATATCGCCATACCACTTCCGCACCTGGACACCTTGCTGCAGCAGCTCTTGCGGAATATTACGCGGCGCGGGACTCGGCCACAGCGCATCAATAAGATGCTTCTCCTTCAACGCCTTCCGCACCATCAAATCCAGCCTGCAACTCTCATACAACTTCTTCTCCAGTCGCTCGTGCACCTCGTACTTCGCAAACCGCACCACGATTCCCCTGACAAACCCGGCATCCAGGTTCCACTTCCGGGTGAAGAAGTCTAGCGACTCAAGATCCTTTTGCGCCTGCGCGTTCGCGGGGCGGAAACTGAGGGGAGATAGTTCGTGGCCCATGGTTACCCATCGTTGAGGCTGCCTCGGCTCGGCTGTCGCTGTTGACCACAGCGAGCGTATAGGTGCGTATTCGGCTTTAAAGTAGTTGTACACAAAATCCAGAAAATCCACCTCGTTGAGAGGAAGCATGGCGTGGCCGCGCGGTATATCCATTTTCTTTCTCTCGGTGGCGAGGCTTGTCGACCGTCCAAAGCCGCAGTCTCGGTGTGACCTATCAAGCAAGTCGCGTGTAGTCTTCAAAGAAAGATGAGGGACAATCGTGATGCAGGAAACGAGTAGTGAAAAGTGTCTACCTAGCTTTTTCCCTCCAGCGGGGCCTATGTGAATAAAGCTGCTGCCTGGGGCAGGTCGAAGCGACCTACGTGTGCGGACGACGTCGGATTTTATCAAATGACGAAGCCTATCGACTGCATGCGCCACATCCTCGTGATCCGCGGTTCGCCTGGAAAAGGTTGCTGTGTTTGCCCAATAGTGAAAGGTGACGAACTTTCTTGTTCGTGAGATTAACGTCATCTGATGTGGCAGCGTGGCGCAGCTCCAATACGAAGCTGGCGGTGCATTAGTCACCAGCAGATGCAACCGACACTACTGCCCAGGTGCATTTCAGCACGGGTTTGTATCTCAAAGCGAAGGAAGCATATAATTCGACAGGCGGAGCACAGCGCAAAAGGAACAACGGGAGTGTGATGTTGTAGCTCGATTTTGGAGCGGAGAAAAATGACATTGACGTTACCATCTCACGCCTCAGCTATAGTACAGTATTCATCCTCTGCGTCTTACGCTCCGCCAATTACACCTCCGTATCCACCTCATACATGATGGCAGGTCATTTGGTTCTCCGCCCGTATCCTCCTCCAAGGTATATCGCCAATCATAATAAAGACATACCCAAGAAAAGGTTGAAAGATCGAGTAAAGGTCGTAGAGGGTAGTAAAACAGGTCGGGTCCAGGGAAGAGAAGAGAAGCGAAGAGGTATGGGTACAAGATGTCGACACGCTGCAAGGAAAATTTACACGTCTAAAGACCCAACCCAAGACCGGAATGCAAGACGCCTGCTTTTGTGCCGCGGAATGACCAAATGAAACGACGAAACAATGCTTCAGCGATTAGAGCATTTACTGCTTCTTCTCACCCTCACCCTCAGGCGGCTGCTGTTGCTGCTCACTCGAGGCGTTCTCTGAGCGTGCCTTGTGCATCTGATCGAACAAGGTCAAGCTTGCATTCTGGAGCTCGTCGGTCTTCTCCTTGATCTCCTCAGCGGTGGCAGTGCCCTCGCCAGACTGGCTCTGGGAAATGAACTCGCGGAGGGAGGCGATCTTCTCCTTGATCTTCTCGGCCTCAGACTTGTCAAGACGGTCCTCAAACTCCTTAAGGGCCTTCTCCGTGTCGTTCACAACGCTGTCGGCGCGGTTGGCAGACTCAATAGCGGCCTTGCGCTCCTTGTCCTGAGCTCCGTAGCGCTCAGCATCATCAACCATGGACTGGATCTCAGATTCTGAGAGACCAGAGCCGGAGGCAATGGTGATGGACTGGTCCTTGTTGGTGGACTTATCCTTGGCGTGGACGTGCACGATCGAATCGGCATCAATGTCGAAGGTGACCTCGATCTGGGGAACACCACGGTGGGCCGGGGGAATGCCGACAAGCTGGAAGTTACCCAACAGCTTGTTGTCGCGGACGAGCTCACGCTCACCCTGGTAGACCTTGATCTCGACGGCGCTCTGGAAGTCGGCAGCGGTGGAGAAGACCTGCGACTTCTTGGTCGGTATGGTGGTATTGCGGTTAATCAGGCGGGTGAACACACCACCCAAGGTCTCAATACCAAGCGAGAGAGGAGTAACATCGAGAAGCAGGAGGTCGGTAACCTCACCAGCCAAGACAGCACCCTGGATGGCGGCACCGATAGCGACAGCCTCGTCGGGGTTAACCGACTTTGCGGGGTCACGGCCAAAGATGCTCTTGACGGACTCGCCGACCTTGGGCATACGGGTCATACCACCGACAAGAATGACCTCCTGGATATCCTTGGCCTGAAGGTTGGCGTCCTTCAGAGCCTTGCGCACGGGCTCAACGGTCTTGGTAATTAAGGGATCAACCAGCTTCTCGAGCTGAGCGCGGCTCATCTTGTGGTTGATGTGCTTAGGTCCAGAAGCATCGGCGGTGATGAAGGGCAGGTTGATCTCGGTTTGGGAGGAGGAAGAAAGCTCAATCTTGGCCTTCTCGGCAGCCTCGCGGATACGCTGGATAGCCATACGGTCGCCGCTGAGATCGATGCCCTGCTCCTTCTTGAACTGCTGAACGAGGTGGCGGACGAGGGTGATATCGAAGTCCTCACCACCAAGATGGGTGTCACCGTTGGTGGATTTGACCTCAAACACGCCATTCTGGATTTCGAGGATGGAGATATCGAAAGTACCACCTCCAAGATCATAGACGGCGATGACCTTATCCGTCGCCTTGTCGAGACCGTACGCAAGCGCAGCGGCGGTGGGCTCGTTGACAACGCGGAGGACATTCAGACCGGCAATCTGACCAGCATCCTTGGTAGCCTGACGCTGGGAGTCGTTGAAGTAGGCAGGGACGGTGACAACGGCGTTCTTGACGCTCTTGCCCATGTAGGCCTCGGCGGTCTCCTTCATCTTGCCGAGAACGAAACCGCCAATCTGCGAGGGCGAGTACTTCTGGCCCTGGGCCTCGAGCCACGCATCACCGTTACTGTGCTGAACGATCTTGTACGGCACCTGCTGGATATCGCGCTGCACCTCGGGGTCGGTATACTTGCGGCCAATGAGACGCTTTGTGGCGAAGAGCGTGTTCTCGGGGTTGACGACGGCCTGTCGCTTGGCGGCGATACCGACGAGACGCTCACCCTCCTTGGTGAAGCCGACGACGGATGGCGTTGTTCGCGTACCTGTAGCGCTGTTAGAGACTGCTGCAGCGAGGGAGGCGACGGCAATGGTGATGTACCTTCAGCGTTCTCGATGATGCGCGGCACCTTGCCCTCCATCAGGGCGACGGCGGAGTTGGTGGTACCCAGGTCGATACCGATGACGGAGCCCTTGACCTTCTCGTCCGAGCCCTCTGCATATCCTCTCACGAATGATGACCCGAAGGATGGTCTGAAAGAGGTGGGTTGCATGCGTCGGACGGCGCCAGTCGCCCGCGGCAAAAACTGCAGATGAGGTCAGTGTCTCTCCCAGGAGCTCCGGAGCACGCGCGGACTTACGGTTCGCGATAACCTCGAGGACAGCATGATTGCGAATGTGTAGGGAGCAAGGTGTTGCTGGAGGTGGGTACAGGGCAACCAGAGGGCACGAGATGAGGAGGGATTGATGTGGGAGTGATGACTTTATGATGGGAGGATGGATGGAGCTCGGACAGGAGAGAAAGATTTCAGTCGAACGAAAGTTCTAGCGGCCTTGGCAGACTCTGCTCCGACTCGCCGCCGAGGTTCCGCGCGGAGGCCTGTGCTCGCCGCCGGAGTGACGGGAGGCAATTGACGCACGTTTCGATGGACGATTGAGGGATCCGGAACCCCTTCAGGGAGTTTTGCTACCTAGGTAGAATACTTGGTGGTGTGCGGTTCGCGACGACATGGCAGGCTTGGCGCGCCGGCATGGGGCTGCTCACGTGTTGTGGGGAGAGCTCCAGCCCTTCAGGCGCCACAGCGTACGACGGGCATAGTTGCGCGTGAGCTCGTCAAAGACCGAGTGCATCCCCAACAGCCGCTCACCTCCGCATGCTCCAGACGACTACAGCCTTCATCGCCATCTCTGTTGTGCTGGCGCTGCCCCTTGCCTGTCTTCAACGCCTCCCGCGTCTGGCTGGCCGCGTGTCTGACGTATTGCCTCGCGCTGCTGTTCGTCCAGTTTACATAAACCACGTCCTGCCTGCCTACGCCTCCCGGCAGATCATGCCGCCATCACCCACCTGATCCCAAAGCATGGCCGTCGACGACTTCTTGTTTGTCCCCCCTCGCGCGTTCCCGTCGGCTGCAAACTAACTGGCGCAGGAGTCGAGAGACGGACGCCTTTGTGTTGCCTTCCAAGTCCTACTATCCCCTCAAGATCCCTATAGCGTGAGCCATCGCCTGGGTTAGTGCAAGTGGGAGCTGGATGCTAACCCGCGCAGGCACTACCAGCTGCGACACTTCATCAGCTCGCCGGAGCCCGATATTCTCTACTACGCCAGCGGCTGCGACATCTACTGCCTGAATGCGGCCACGCATACACAGGCGCACCTAACCACGCTCCCGTGGGAAGCGCGCTGTACAGCGTCGGGCTATGGCTATGTGTGCGTGGGCGGCGCCGACGATGGCAACTTTGCTGCCATCAAGGTGACCGGCTTTCCTCCCGCTGACCCGGCCGACGTCGATGCCTTGCTGCCTCTCGAACTCGCCAGCCGATCCACCCTACCACGCCCGCCCATGCTGGGCGCCGCCGACCGCGTCAAATTTGAAAAGATTGGCGACGACATTGTCAACTCAATATCAATACACAAGTTCCCTGCTGAGGGAGAAGGTCGAGATGAGGTTGTGGCCGTCCTCACGAACAACGACAAGACCGTGCGCATATACTCTCTCACACAGAACCTGGAGGTGACTTCCCTGGATCTGCCCTTTCCCATGAACCATGCGACCATATCTCCGGACGGGCAGCTCTTGGTTGCGGTTGGTGACCAGCACAACGGCTTCTTCTTCGAACGCGCCAAGTCCAAGAAGCCGAGCTCCATGAAGACCCCAGAAGGCCGATTACAGTCGATCCCGCCAGAGTGGAAACTATTTCAAGAGGTGTGCTTGTATGTGCCTTCAGGGTCACCCATCGAAGGGTACTTCACAACGGCATGGTCGCCTTCAGGGCGTCTATGCGCTGTAGGATCGGAATGTGGCTACATTACGGTTTTTGATGTGGAACTGCTGAAGAGATGCGAATACGGAGAAGACGCCATCGTGCAACTAATCAGCTCTACCAGACCTGACACCGCCATAGGCCCTGGCGCGGTAAGGACTATGCAATTCTCACCTGCACCGTGGGACTTCCTCATATGGAGCGAGGACCAAGCGCGGGTCTGCGTGGCCGATGTCAGGTCGGGGCTCAAAGTCAAGCAGGTACTCTCTCTGGACCCGAAAGAGGAGGGCATAGAGAGGGTGGAAATCGCCGACTTCGACGTGGAATTAAGCCCGGAGATGCATGACCTGCGCCGGGAAGCTGACTTCATTCGGAGGTATCGCCGTGCTCTTGACTCGGAAGGAACTGCTGCTGCCGTCAACTTCGCCACCGACTACATCGAGGCTTCATCGGAACGACGAAGGCTTCATAGACAGCTTGGTGTAGTTGAGTCTGACGATGACCCACATGGCCTAACTGCTCACGAAAGACAAGTTCTCGAGGCTTTGCGGACAACAAGGCAACGAGACGAAGCGCGCGAGCAGGGAACTGCACCCCGAAGTTTAAACTACATGGCTTCGGGGCCCGGAGAGGCCAGACGGTACGGTGGCAGCTTGATCTTTTTCCTTCCAGGTCAGGAGGATGCTGACGATAGTAATAGGGAAAGGGAAGCCGCGGCGCGGCGCAACATGGCCGATACCTTCACCGAATTTATGTCAGAGAGTGCTCGGCAGCTCAACCAACTGCACCAGCGCACTGCTCCCCGCCGGCAGGCTTCTGTGATCGTCTCCATTGACGACAATGGGATCACGGGTACTCCTCAAGCCAACATCACGGGTACGGCGACTACCAGGTCGCCCAACCCGATTCCAGCCCACGCCCGGCGTGACAACAGCGAGATCATAGCATCTACGGACGACGCCTGGCGCACTATCGAGGAAGCTCTTGCGCGCAACGCTCGGGCCGCAGACAACGTGCGTAGTTCTGCTGCACCCGAACTTCGCACCGAGCTTCGTCGCCTCCGACAGCTCACGCAGATGCGGGAGCGGCTCCGCAATGCACGCGAGGCACAACCCCTCGAATCCTATGGCCTTGGTGGGCTGGGATACCGGCGGTCCAGTCGCAACTTTCTCGACCCCGCGCTTGGGCTGCGAACTGCTGGCCTTGCGATGAGCCAGGACGGGCGCAAGCTCTACTGCGGGACGGAGGAAGGCATATTCGAGTTTCATATCAACCTGCATGAGCGGAAAGGGTTCCCGGCGATCAAGCCCCGGTAAGGGAGAGGAGGGGGGGAGGGTAAGGGTATTCGCAATTTTGGCATCGGAGTCCTTTGGCTACTGCGGATTGTGTATTTGTTGTTCAACCTGACTTTTGGCTCTGGTAATTTATGGACGACACGGCAGTTGCACCGGGTATGGGTCATTACTAGCAAGCATTGGCGCAGAGGACGGAGGGTCGAGGGTCGATGTTCTTTGTATGTTCTTCCTTGGTAGCTGTTGGATGTCGGGATTAGTATGAATACCCTGGTATACTAGGCAGCCAAAAGCGCTTTCCTCTCTTCCGAAATCGAAACATGCTCCGTATTTGCTACCTAGGTACAGAATCTGGGGGTGAATCTGCCGGAGCGAGCCCGGAGGCGTGCTCAGCCGAGCGAACCAGGACCGGGAGCGATGGCGCAATAATGGGGAGCGGTGACTCCCCACGTCGGCGCAAAAGCCGCGCATGTACCTTGCAGATGTCGCTCAACTCATGACCAGCACACATCTTCCCTTTCCTCCCTTTTATACCCTGTTTGCTTGCACGTTTTAGACTCGCTGGGATTGCTCGACTTCAACAGAGCGCTTAGCATTGGATTTGCCTCAACGTGCAGATTCGTCACACCCCGCCTCTCGCCTTCGGGGACTCGGAACGCGAACACACCACGACGCCAATGTCTGAACCGGGGAGCTCCAAGGCGAAGGCCAACGGTGCTGGGAAGGCCTTCACAGCGCGCGATATCGACGGGCATGATCTCCCCCCTTCGCCGGCACCGAGCACGCCTCGTAGTGGGAGGAAGTATGCCCTCATGACGGAGCTGGTATTCACCGAAGGCAGCGACCAGTACAATGCCAGCTCCGTGCCTATATACCAGGTATAGCTCTCTCCTCCTTAGGGCCGTGGGGATGGCTCCAGGATGGCTCCAGGATGGCTCCAGGATGGCTCCAGGCCTCAAGAGGAAGAAAGCTAACGTGCGCGCAGTCGGCAACCTTCAAGCAGAGCTCTGCCACGGGCGGCGGTGGAGAATACGACTACACACGCTCCGGAAACCCCACGCGAACGCACCTCGAGCGACACCTCGCAAAGATCATGAACGCGAACCGCGCGCTCGTCGTCTCCTCCGGCATGGGCGCCCTCGACGTCATCACCCGACTGCTGCGACCGGGCGACGAGGTAGTAACCGGAGACGACCTATATGGCGGGACAAACAGGCTGCTGAAGTATTTGTCTTCACACGGAGGCATAATCGTACACCATGTCGACACCACCAACCCCGAGGCGGTGCGCGGCGTGGTCAGCAGCAAGACCGCCATGGTGCTGCTGGAGACGCCCACAAACCCGCTCATCAAGATCGTCGACATCCCCTCCATCGCCACCATCGCTCACACCGCAAGCCCGTCTGCGCTGGTCGCCGTCGACAACACCATGCTCTCGCCGCTGCTCCAGAACCCGCTCGATCTCGGCGCCGACATCGTATACGAGTCCGGCACAAAGTACCTCTCCGGCCACCACGACCTCATGGCCGGCGTCATCGCCATCAACGACCCCGCCCTCGGCGACAGACTCTACTTTACAATCAACGCCTCCGGCTGCGGCCTCTCCCCCTTCGACTCGTGGCTCCTGCTCCGCGGCATCAAAACCCTCGGCGTGCGCATGGAGAAGCAACAAGCGAACGCCCAGCGCATCGCCGAATACCTCGAATCGCACGGCTTCAAGGTTCGCTACCCAGGTCTGAAATCGCACCCGCAGTACGATCTGCATTGGAGCATGGCCCGCGGTGCGGGCGCCGTGCTCTCCTTCGAGACGGGAGACGTGCATGTTTCGGAACGGATCGTGGAGAGCGCGAGGCTGTGGGCCATCTCTGTGAGCTTTGGCTGTGTGAACTCGTTGATCAGCATGCCCTGCCGTATGAGCCATGCTAGCATTGATGAGAAGACGAGGAGGGAGAGGAACATGCCCGAGGACATTATCAGGTTGTGTGTGGGAATTGAGGATCCGGAGGATTTGATTGATGATTTGAGGACTGCTGTAAGTTCAACTTTGCGACATGGAATATTGGGGATCTCTTGTCCTGACATTTTGTAGCTTGTACAAGCTGGCGCTGTCAACATCACGCCTGAAGGCTTCCACGCTCTAGGAGACGCGGCCTCATCCGGCGAGAACTCGAACGCCGTTCCCACCCCTTCGGAGTAAACGCCACACCACACTCCATCCTTGTCCTCCTCCCCCTCGCCCTCACGGCCCCACTTCTTCCCAAGTCACCTCTGCCATGCTAGGCCACAAGCATGGTAACGTGATACCCCACTTCCTTTTGTCAGTCAGGGACAGGCGTGTATGCTTCGCTTCGCAACTCTCTCTGACCCAGTCACCTCTGTCACTGTACCCTCGCTCATCGAGAGCCAGTGTTAACGTGATACTTGTCTGATTACCGTTGTAGAAGAAAAGAGCGGGAGTTCTGGCTTCTAAAAGAGATCTCCTAGCTAGCTTTCATCAAAAAAGGAATTTCAACTGAGAAATGCTGTGTCCAATTCGGTTGGTGAAATGACGCTATAACGATTCTCGCTTTGATCCACCGTGGGCTTGCTTGTCACCTTAGCAGTAGTGTTAAGAATTACAGCGAGCCCCAGGCTGGCGCGCAGTAATGTGAAACTCTTCCCTCCTAGCTCAGCGCTGTACAGCACGCTAGACAGCACAGCATAGCAGGGATAGCAGGACGAGAAACAACGCGGATTGAGTGTCACAAGTGCAGTGCAGTGTGTAATGAGATATCCCATTAATCGAGAAGCTTTTACGAACCCAAGTCTAGAGAGCAAAGTAGGTAGGTAGGTAGGTAGGTCGTCCTGTAACGGCATCGCCAAATGCGGCCGGGCAAATAAGAGTCGTAAGAAGCAGAAGAGTCCGAACACCTCATAGCTATGCAGAAAAGCCTCCACGAGGCGGGAGTGCAAGAGACGGACAGAAAAGACATACTAAGGAGGGTTACCAACGCCGAGTCCGACCAACACCCAGCTAATGTAAAGAAAACAGATTTGGTCGTTCTGGTACATAGAGTACAGATGCATCATGGCAACGGGTCGCAGAGCGCAAGACGCTCTACTACGCGTCATGCTGTTGCTGCAAAACGCCATGGTGCTTCTCGCCCTCCTGACTCTGCCGCGCAACCTGCATACTCTTCCGAACCTGCATATCCGCCTTCGTCTTTGTCATCAGCGCATCGCGAATATCCTGCTTGCCCCTCCTCATCCAGTCGTCAAAGCTCTTCTGGCTCAGCGGCCACAGCACCTGGTTCTGCGCGCTACGCATGAAGCTGCTGGGCCCGCCGACCTTGGGCGCCGGGTTGCTCATCGTGTAGTCGAGGTCGCACTCGAGCTCCTCGCAGTAGGCCTCGAGCGGTAGGTCGTTGACGTCCATGCCGAACGGGTTCTCGATCTCGCGGCCGATGGCGGCGATGCCTAGGATGATGTACGCCGCGAAGATGCAGCCGGGGATTGTCACCCAGCGCAGGTCGTCCCAGAGCTGGAAGGGCAGCATCATCACGTAGACCCAGGTTATCTGCGAGATGGCGATGGAGTAGGCGATGGGGAGCGGGGTTTGCAGGACGCGCTCGACGCCGACGAGGACTTCGTTGAGTTGCACGACGGAGGTGACTTTACCGCTACCGTTAGCACATGCGTTCAAACTCCAGGTTTAAAAGGCATCAGAGGGAGAGCGTCGACTCACTAGCTTGATTCTGGTACAGACCGCACTTGAGCGTCTCGTTGTCGATGAGGCTCTGCACGTATGCGGAAAGGTGGTTCAAGATCTCGAGCGGCAGATTACCGAGCGGCTTCTTGGAGCGCTTGATCCTCTTGCGCGGATTCGACTCGGCGAAGGTGACGCCCAGGTACTCGCCGACGGCCTTCATCTTTCCGTAGTCGCGTGGAGGCGGGATCTCAGGCTCGGCGGCTTTGGCGAACGTTTCGAGGTACTGCACGCGCTCTTTCAGGTCGTAGTAGTCGATGCCGGGCTCGAAGCGCAGCTTGTGCATGACGGCGCGGGCGTAGGCGACGATGAGGTTGAGTGCCGTTCTAGACGTTACTGTTAGTCGTGGTTCCCCTGTATATATCAGACTGAGGTAAAGAAACGCAAACGCACACTTTCGCCAGCAAATCCTCCTTCCCGAGCTCGCCCTCACGCTCGCCCGCATGGATCCAAACCGTGCGGGCCAAATTCTGGCCCACGAAGAGCAACTGCGACCAGTACCTGCGGCCCTCGGTATACCGCTCGTACGCGCTGCTCGTGCGGAACGAGATGGCGAGACCAACGACGAAACCGAGGACGGTGAGCAGCATGTTGCTGACCTTGAGCTGGTAGACGAATTCGGAGAGGATGGTGATGGCGGTGGACCAGGCGGCCACGACGGCTAGGGGGAGGATCATCTTGGGCAGAACGGAGCCGTGCATGCGCAGGAAGAAGGGCCATTTGCTGTGCTTGGACATGTCGCGGGGACCGACCTGGGCATCTTGTTAACCTTGCCGCCGTGGGGAGCTGGGATTTTGGGAGGGGGATGCGTACAAAGTAGTCCCCAGCGTCCAAAGTCCCGTCAGTCGGCTTCCGCGAAGGCGGCAGGTACGTCGTCTTCCTCGCACGCCACGAACGCGGCGACATGGGCGCCTCGTGGACGCTGCCATTGCTGCTGTCAGGCACCTCGATGGCCGAGGGCCTGAGAGTCTTGCTGCCGTCGGTAGAGGTAGATGGCATCCTTTCACAATGGCTCGTTTTCGCTCCCTCTTGCTGATCGAAATGTAGGGCAACTGTCCAGCAGCTGGAAAGAAGATCAAGATCCGAAGATTCCCAATCGAAGGAAGATAAAAAGCGGGGACAGGAGAAGTCAGATCGCGGACTTATAAAGGAAGGGAGTGGCAAAGAACAAAGGAGGGGGAAACGCGCAGCCGCTCAAAAAAGTGGTCAATTGCAAGGGGAACGGGCATCTGAGGAAGATATACGGTACTGGGCAAAGATTTTCCCAAATGGGGGCCCAGACGAGCCAGGCAAAGCTGAAGTTGCATGCATCCCCGAAGCACGCACCAGCATGTCAGACACACGCATGCCAGGTGGGCTAACTGAAAAATGGCGCTCTGTGCACAAACGGGTGTGTACGGGGCGGCCCCTGCGTCTGCCTGCCCCTGAAGGAGGCGTCGCAGGCGTCCAATTGCGGCGGGCATCGTTCGACGGGGTGTGCGTGGTGAGGCAGCAAGGAGGGCGTGTTTCATAAAACAACAGTCGCTAGCCTCAAAGTCGCGGTGCCAAGCCCGCGGCACTACTGCAGCTGCACCCTGCAGGAGCCAGAAGCCAGCAGAGAAGGCCTTTTTTTAGCCCCCAACGCCTACAGCGTATGTAATATGTACTGTGCCCATTGTTCTGTTTGAGACGAGCAGCGCCTGCGGGCTTTATCGATTGTGCTGCGGTACGCTTAATAATCTGTACTGGAGGGGGCGAGAATGGGTCTGGTGAACGGTGAGGAGGAATGAATGCACATGCGCCATGCGCATGAACAGATCAGCGACGGAATGTGCACAGTGCTGTGTGTAGATCGGAGGTTCTAGACAAGCGGAGCACAGAGCATGAAAAAAGGGCGAAGCGGTGTCGTGTGCGTTGCCGAGCACTGGGCCGAGCCGTCAACGGCAACCCCTGAATGCTCTGGCAAATGGGAGCGCACGCGGCGACAGACGTCGGTGTTCCTCTCATCAAAGTGTCGGGAACCATCAATTTTCGACGCGTCAGTTAATAAGCTCCTCGGGATGCCGAATGCTACATACCTATCTCACGAGAGACTTTGCCCTCTAGAGCGTAGAGACTGGTGACTACGGTAACGCAAGCCTTTCGAACTAGAAGTACACTTGGCTGCATACTGCATCTTCCGTACTGTAATGCTCACTCACCACCCAACCCTCGCAGCAATCCGCCGCCGCTCAGCCTGCCCTCTTTCCAATTCGAGCCGCAATTCGCGCACCCGCCACGTCTCCTCGTTGACACACACCCTCACTCTCTTGATCCGCTCGAGCAGCACCTGATAGAAGCTGCCTTTGAAGTCTTCGCCCGCCCATATCCGCTGCCACACGTCGACCAGCTCGCGCGCCACCGTGCGCGGATGCACGAGCCCGTCCCGGACGCCGTCGGCGGGGAAGTCCTCGTCGAGGTATTTCTCCTTTGGGACGTTCGGCGGGGTGACGACGTTGAGGACGAGTTCTTCGATGGTGAGCTCGTGCGCCGTGTCCTTGCAGCTGGCGAAATCGGGCCCTTTCTCGAAGATGCGCTTCAGCGCTGCGCAGATGGCCCAGGAGGTGCGGTCTGGCGGACTGCTGTTGCGGAGCCATTTCGCCGAGCGGTCGCCCACGAGGCGGATGTCGACCCAGAGTTGGTGGATCGCCGTTGAGGAGCTTCGACTTCGACATGCGAGGCACCCGATGCGGTGCGAGCAGGTGAGATATCTGTCCATGACCCGATCCACCCAGCCCGGCATCCTCAGTTTCCCGTCGTGAAAGCTCCTCCTCGTTTTCACCAGCGGCATCGCAAGCCAGGTGAAGTAATGGAAGCTCTCGTCCTCGGCGATGCAGTCCAGCCTCACAGCCATCAGTCCCTTCCTCTTCGCCCGTTCAATCGCCTCCCCCATCTCCGCGTAGATCTGGCGATTGCACACTAGTAGATTCGCACAGGTGCTCGGCGTCTGCTCCAGCGAGTACGCGCACCCATACTCCCCTCGCACACTACTCTGCGGCTCGAAGATCCGTCTGAAGCGGAACAACCACTGCGCCTCGCCCAGCGTGGGCCGTGGCCTCTCGTGCGTGATCACCGCCATGTACACCATATCTCTCAGTTCCCTGGGCAAATCGAAGAATTGCGCCATCTCTTCTTCCCCCGTTCTGGCTCGATTGGAGCAAATCCGATGCGCACGCGGGTCCACGGGTAGATATCGGCCGCTGACGAACGAGGAAAAGGTCGCGCGACCAAAGCAATCCTTTCGTCAAATAATCTGGCTCGTCCAGGATAGCGCCCCGGCAGGATATGCAGGTACGCCCGCTTCTAGTCTAACAGGCCGGTTTGCGTTGTCGCGCTGCGCTGTCCCGTCTGCTGTTTCAGATGTGCCGATGCGTAAGAGATTTGTTTCGTCCCAGGCACAGCAGCCAGGAACACGTCGGTTTCGGTAGGTCCGCAGGGCAGGCCAGCTCGGGCCATATAGGGTAAAAAGCCAACCAGCCCAAGCACGTCTGCTGATCGCCGGAAATCCCAAAAGATCACGGGCGTCAAAGAGGCGGAAAGGCGAGGCGGAAAGGCGAGGCGGAAAGGCGAGGCGGAAAGGCGAGGCGGAAAGGCGAGGCGGAAGGAGAGCTGCACCCAGCCGTTGGCAACCCAGCCCAGGAGATGCACGCGCTTTTATCCAGAGCTCTCGATCGGAGCCCGGCGTTTGCGCGCGCGCTCCCAAGCACACCACGCGAGGCGAAGCATGACATGACAATCCACAGGGGACGGACTTGACAGTTCTTGTCGTGTGGTGACGACACTGCACAGCGATCCGAAGACGCCCGACGCTCGCTAAGCCCTCCCCATGTCCCAGCCCAGCCTAAATCCCCCCATCGCATCAGCGAAACAACTACAAAGCCGCCCATCTCCCGGCCTATCTCATCCATACCCGCTTTCTCCCCGCGCGCGGGGATTAGTATTCCCAGCGGAGAATAAGCGCCAAGGAGGATTCCTGCTTGCTGACTTTCGTAGTGCATTCTGCACCTTCTTCTTGGAGGACTCTTGGGATACGGAGCGAGTGAGTGATACGGCAGAGGGGGACCCGTCGTTGTGGTGGGGCTCGCCATCCAGCCATGGGGCATTGCTGCGCGACCGACCGACGAAATGCATCCATCTGCCCTGCTTGATATTGAGGCGTGGGTGATGTGTAGTCTCTGTCCCTGGAGGATTGGTAAGCTTTCTCCAGACCAATGCATGTGTATAGGTTCGGCCGAAGAAGCTGTCAAGCGCGCGTTGAGTGCGCGTGGAGTGCGGTGCTTCTTGCCCTGGTATTCTTTTTTATAGTGCCATGTAGCTTCACATGCCTACTCGTCGAGAGAGAGGGAGAGCATTAACATATCGATTTGCATGCCCGTCTGTTGCGCCGGCCTTCCACAAAGGGATGATGTGTCAGCCTCCTACAGATGGATAGCGACGATCTTATTGACATGCACGTCTAGTCATCATCGCACCAGGACGTGGCTGGGAAATAGATCCAGCCGAGTGGGACGAGAAGAACCAAACAAAACATTTGAAGCGAAAACTCTAGGGTATTAGAAACGCATATGCATTGCCTGCCTAAAGGCTATTCAGACCGATACGTCGCACGCATTATAGCTCGCACAACGGCCGTTGTCGAATGAAATCCACACCCGCTTTTGTCGTCCCTGGTCCCTCCCAATGACAGCCTTGATCATCCCGCAGTATATACATATGCTCTTTCGAAGGCCCAAAGACCCATCCCCACGTCAAATCGAGTCGAAGCTTAGACAGTCTTCTCGCGTTCGGAAGCACCCTTGATGAAGCCAGAGAGGTCGCCAACTACCCATACGTCAGTGATCGTGGTCTAGATCAGCAGGAAAGAGACTCTTACCGGGCACGCTAAAGGGAAAGTCCAAGCTCGCCAGCATGATGGCAATGAAGATCCACCACCCAAAGATACAAGTACTGAACGCGAAGGCGCCACCAGCCGTCTGCAGTCTCGTTGCCAGGGCCGTGTTGCCGGTGTTGAGCGCATAGTATGCGCCAGCGAGAAGGCCGAAAGCGATGACGAGGGTGAAGAAGATCATGAAGAAGCAGAAGTTTGTGCGCAAGGAGCAGATGAGATAGACGAAGCACATGACAGCCATGGCGATGAAGAAAAATGCTGTTGCGTGTGTCAGCTAAGTATTCAAGGATAGCGAAAAGCAGCAATGACACCAGGGAGCCAAAGTCCCGCTACTTACCGAAGCTGGAGCGGAACCCAACGGTGTTCAGGCCATCCGCTGGGTTATCGGTCGTGGAATACGCGCCGTAAGCATTGTAAAAGGGTTGTAGAGTCCCCGCAAAGCCGAGCCAGAAGGCGCCGAAAGAGCCAAAGACTACAAAGGGGAAGGTGTTGCCGATGATCCACTGTGTTGTAGTGTCAGCACTGATCGGCATCCATGTATCGGTGATGACGGAGAGAAGAGGGGGACATACTTCACCGAGAGCGCCGAGGATCATGAGCAAGCCGCCAAAGAAGAAATACGTCGCAGTGCCCGCTGCACCATTGCCTCCAGCGCCTCGCCACCCCATGAGATCCATGCTAAGAGGCGTGAGAGAGAGCAGGAAGCCGATGAGTGCCCTGTCGGGGTTAGAGAGCGTCTCCATGGACGCGACGTGAGGCCTAGGGGACGTACAAGGGCGTTGGGTTGCCGACAGTTTTCCGCAGGTCGCCATGCACCCTATTCTGAGGGGAAAGATAGAGCTTCTCGAATAGCTCAGGCGAGATGGATATGCTGCCTGCGGTCCGAATCTTCCTCAGAGCGGCATCAGAGTCATGGCCCGCGTCCAAATGGGTATGATAGCCTGCAAACGTTGTTACCACAGATGTATAACGCGGGGTGAATAGCGAAGACAATTACCATTCTGACTGAAGTCTTTCTCTAATGGTGCATCGCCCGTATGGGGTGTAGGTGCGGTGAGGTTCTCGTTATTTTGGGTTACTTGGTGAGCCATGGTACCGGTGGGGGATAAGACAACAAGAAATGGAGGCCTGCAGAGCAACAAAGAGAAGTAAGGGAGATTTATTAAAGACCCGCAGCCGTATTACCAGACCTGTGGAACCCACGTAGAAGCGCTGAAGTTTCGCAAAAGGTGGGAAGCCGGGGGTGGCGGGTCCTGAGCTCTTTCAAATAGTGAGGGATGCACCTCATAGCGGCTCCGCACTGACGCTGTTCGCACACGTCCATCACTAGCCTGGAATTGGCATCCTGGCCATACTTGGAGCGATCAGCCTAGACCATTTCTCCTTTGAAGGAGCGGGCAATAATGCTAGGATGAGGAGTAAACCTGATGCCCTAGCCTGCGTCTGGGAGGAGCTGTGGTCCGAATGGCTCCACTTTGTCGGACGAGCGAAGGTTGGACCAAATCAGATTTAGTGTTTCAGCTTCCTCGTTTCCTGGATATTCCTCAGGTCCGCTGCCCTGGCTTAGGGAAGGACCGGAGAACGCCCGTCAACGGCGGGTAAGGATCGCTCGTATGGCATGTCTCCCAAGACGTTGGAATCGCCGGTCTCGCACCGCAGCTCGACGTACAGCTCATCCATGAAGCAGAGGGGTGGAGATGGACGATGAGCGGACGGAACACGCCTGGCATGGCCAGTGGAGCGGTGCATGATCTCATGCTTGCTTGCCATTGGAGGCGCGAGCCGGCTCTGCGGAGAGGAGTGGAGATGAAGACACGCGTGGTACGTCTGGGGGTTGTGCGGAGAGAGGCTAGACTGAGTAGGTGCAGGGAAGTGAGGAGCTAGAGGGAGATCCATCCTTGGTCTTACGGGGGAGACTTTGCGGGGAAGTTAGCGTGCCTCTTAACTCCGCTATGCTCGACTCTATGCAAGCGTTATTCCCAGACATCATGTTGGCCAGGGCGCCGAGGCCTGCAGCCTTTTCTGGCATCTATTATTGCTGAGAGATTCCGTCTCGAGCTCCCAAGAAGCTTGTTGATTCATGGCGGTCTTGTGCGGTCAAGCGAGTCGTACACGAGGACTCGCATGATGTAACTGGAGATGCGGCTCAGCACAGCAGAACCGGGGCCGTCGTGCATGGGGGCATCGCGCTTTCGGACGCCGAGGCGTGGGTGGTTGGTCTCTCGGTCCAAGGGTTGTTGCTAGCTGCGGTGGTGTGAGTGTGGGTTGGCGAGTCGAGTTGTTGCGTTCATCCGATGGCGCTTCGGATGAGGGAAAAGACGCCGTTCCGCAGCGCGCTATTCCCGACTGGGTACGGCCATGGCGAGATTGGCAGCTGCCATTCGCCAACTCCTTAAACTCTGAAGGTTTGTCAGGCAGGGCCGCTCGCCAAAGGGTACGTACTGGGCGCTCGTGGGATGCACCGCATACGGGGTGCACGGAGGAGCATGGATCCGAGTTTCCTCGCTCGTCGGCGGAGTGGAAAGGCTCCATGAGGATCACCACTCTCCGCAAAGCTTCGTGAGCTTGTCAAGGCAGAGGGCTTGTAGATAGAAGGTATGGCTTTTATGCTAGTCATGCCCTTGATGTTCCCAAGCTCCCCTTATATGGACTGTCATGTTCAGTAATATCTTAGCCCCCCGAGGCTGCTTACCGCACGACCTCGCGGATTGTAAGAAAGCCCTTTAACCACGGCCTGGCCCTTCTTCCCACGACCAGGCGCAGATCACGGCCGCCGACTTCGCTGCTCCCTCCACGACCACATCCGCTCGCAGTCTCTGCCTCGGCCCACGCGTCCTCCCTTCTCCATTCTCCCTCAACGAACAAAACAACAGCTTCGAAGGAGACCCTCACTCCACCCGCAACCTCCCTTGCTCGGTGATGTTCCCTCGAGCGTCCGTCTCCGGCCGCGATTCTACGATATGCTGCATCGCTACGAGCGGCAATCCACCCACTGTTCAGGCAGGCCCGTCCTCTGAAAAGACGAATGCAGATTGTCATCAGCCCATCGAAGCGTGTCGCGGTTGCGGCACACCGAGGGATGACTAGGGGACGCTGTTATCGTGAAAAATCGGCGAGTACCCAACAAGCACCACCCCTCCCAGGCGCCTCGGTGATGCCGAATATCCTCCTTCCGACGCGGAGAGACAGGTGTCTATCGATCGAACACGCGTCTCACCGTACTCCGCTCCAATCATGTAGACATCGCAATCAGGAGACCATATGAGACGAGACGAGGCATCACAAGAAAGAAATAAGAGAGTAGTGCATTGACGCAGAAAGAGTCGTATAGGCCCAAAGGACTGCAGGTCATACCTAAGGTCCCACTCACTGTCACCCTTGGGCTCAGTGCCTTCTCCCAGCAGTTGCTGCCCTTCACCGTGGATAGATGGATCTCCCTGCCCAACATTGCGTTTATGCCATCCTGTTATTGCATAGCCGGAGAACCCGCGCAGGCGCAAGTCTTCGCACTGCTACACGCACCCACAAAACCCAGTGAGTGGGCAGGTGCTCAGCCAGGCGTGAATTTCGGGGGCCCACCGTGGTGCTCGCCGTCTGTTGATGTCAGCTAGGGAGGGTAGGAACTTTGCAGGGTTAAGGGCCACGCACAGTAGCATCAGGATTATCTCCACCACCTGTCCTGAATAGCGTACACTCCTTGACCCTATGATCTGTTCCGAGCCTGGCCGCATAGTCGACGCTGGTGCAGCCTGGTTCGGCCGAGCATGACTTCATGCAGCCTTTGAAGCTCCCGTCCGTGGCTTTCCGAATCTTAGTCGAAGCACTGTACCCAGCGATACTGCGCGCCTGGTAGTGAACCTTGAAGAAGGTGCCATCTGCGGCTGTATAGGTCTTAACCACGGTCTTGCCGAGCAGACACAGCCCGACGAGGATCACCTCAGTTATACCGCCACAAAGCTTCCCATCTGTGTGCGCCAGCAGTCCATATGACATGCATCTTCGGCAGGCAATCGATTGCGTAAGAAGCCAGAAAAGCCACATCCCGAGGAAACTCCCTCCTCATAGGTCTTCTCAACGTCGTCGAGAAACAGCATCCTACAGTCACTGTAAGAAACACTGCGGCGACAACGGCGCTGAACATCCTTCCTTGGAGGTAGGCTCAAGCTCTGAGTGTCCCCGTCTGTCACTTCGAGAGAGAGCGGTGAGCGAGCTTGCCAGGTTGCCACCGACCCAATTTCTAAAAAGGTCGGTATCACGTCGATCGCATTCAATGTAGAGGTTGTACGAGTCTCCGAGACCCGTTTAAGCTTACGGCTAGCCCCGCGTTGTACAAGATCAGCCCGTTTCAAGAGCTTTGAGATCGCCATATACGCCTATGCAAAGCCGTACCAAGAACGGGGGGTGAGACCATGTACAGAGCGAACTGTGGTAAGCGCTCGTGGGTTGGCCACCGCAGGGTTTGCTGCAGAGGACCGAGAATCGAATATCCCCTTTTCTTGACGGATCGCGGACTCTTTTGTCGCTTCTAATTATGCGCAGTAGTCGGAATCACATGATACTAGGTGATTGGTACGGTTGGTGACTTTTCAGGCCCTGCGGCGCCCATATAGGGAATTGAATGTTGCGGAAGGGAACACCTGCAGCCCCGGAATAAACTCAGCAACGCGCCACATGACTTTGCCTACCATCGAGTCCTGCAGAGAAGATCAGCAACACTACACATAAGCTCATAACGAAAATCTTATCCTAGTCTGCGTATGCCGCCGCAGCGCGTTTTCCTCAATGTAGCGTTGTGTGGTATGGAAGTCAGTCCCTGGGCTACCGGTGTACCTAGGTAGAGAATCGAACAACGGTTCGTGTACGGAACGTCTAATTGAAGAGTGAAACGAAAAGAAAGACACAGAGTACCTAGGTACGAGTAGAAGGGGGCGGAGGACTGTGACTGTGCTAAGAATCCCGCGCCGAGTACCCCCGGTCGTGCTTTCCATTCGAGCGTGTCCGTCAACGTCATCAGTGCGCGTGTCGCTCAGCAGAATTTCGGAACATGCTTCTACAACATCTTTCTAAGCATGCTTGGACAGAGATTGGAGAGGAGCAGGAGAGGGAACGTGTGTGGCTATGGATTGGTAGAGGTATACAAATTGGTGAGCACAGGCTATTGGCAGTCCGGTACTTGACCATGTAGCTGGACTATGCTGACGTGACTGCAACAGGCCGCTGCCGGGGGGTTGAGCGGCGGTATCCCTTTCTTGGGAATCGCTATCACAGAGCGGATGGTGTCCTTAGGGCGCGCTATCGCTGAGCGGAGATGTGTGAAGCCGGCCGTGTTGCGTCTGGAGATGGCTTCGCAGCGGGAATAGGCTGAGTGGAGAGGGCCTGCCTTCTCTCTCCTTCTACCTCTCCTTCTCGGCATCTTTCGCCATCTCCTTCGCCAGCCAATCGGCCTCTTTCATCATCTCCTCCTCAGTCCTCGGCTTCCGATTCTCGTCGGCGTCGACGGCCGGGAACTTTCCCCTCTGCTCGAAGCTGTTGAGCTGCGCGCGCGCATCGCGTTCCTGGAATTGCCTCCCGAGGTCTCCATCTTCGCCCTCCATCATCGCGTAGATGGCGTCCGGGTTCGACAGGTCATCCTTCTTCCGGGGAATGATGTGGGCGTGCACATGCGGCACACTCTGTCCAGCGTCTATGCCATCCTGTATCGCTATGTTGAGCGCCGAAGCCTCGAACAAGCGCTCAATGGTCCGCGAGACACGCTGCACCGTCATGAACAGGTCCTGGACCTCAGCGGCCGAGAGGTCGTTGAAGCGGGGGACGATGCGGCGGGGCGTGACGAGGACATGGCCCGGCAGGAGCGGCTTCAGATTGACAAGAGCGTACGACAGCGGGGTGAGGTGGAAGACCTGTCGCAGCGTCAACTTGCAAATCTCTGCCCGCTCACGTCATAGCCGCGCGCTGTAGTCGTCGCACGGCAGTCTGACCGACGTTGACGCACCTGGCTGGTTACCACGAAGGTCCCGAATTTGATCACATCCTTTGTTAGCGGCGGCATGCTCCAATGCGGCCGTGAGGATCTTCGTGCCTGCGCGGGCCTTCGTGGGATGTCGATGGAGAGGGAGCGGTCGGTGATCGATCCACTGTCGACTGGAGAGCTTCGGCTCCCGCAGACAGCATCGGGGCCAGGCCGGCGCCGCTGCCCGCGGCATCTTTAGGCGAGGCAGGCTCCCAGGCCAGAACAGGCTTCGAGCCGTCAGCTGAACAGCGCAACTCGACCCCAGCACAACAACGCGTGCAGCGACTCTGCAAATTTATTCGCGTGAACCCTCCACCTCCATCGTGGGGTGTGCATGCAGCTGTGGGGGACGGCCTGGTTGCGCAATCTATCCTCCCCGCGAACCGTATAAATCCATTGTCCACCGGCCAGGCGTGGGCAAGTCCGTCTTTCACCACTCCCAAGCCGCCTTCATCTGATCGCCCGCCGTTTTTGCTCTTTTGTTGTGGACCCCGAGTGGAGCCTCATTGCTTTCTCATCTTCCAAGAGCTTGGCTGTCGAGGCTCGCGCAGCCGTCTGCGAGTAATAGCCCGCCTCCCCACCTCTCCGAGACGCTCACGAAAGACTGCGCCTTGCCGTAGGCAGCTGCACATCGCACCCCCACTGTTCCCTTCATCGCCTCAAGAAGTGCGGCTCTTGGCTGGCAGAAAGTGTCTGAACAAGCGTTTCGTTTCGACCTTCTCGAAACGTATTTATAACGAGGAAAGCTTCTGCTCGTCCATACCTTTCCGCCCACACCCGGCTCACCTGCCGATTTCTCGCCAGAGGACGAGAGTTTTAAAAGACAGGAACGCCCTCTATACACACCGGCATCACTCGACTCCCTGGTAGCGGACTACCGCGCTCCCTCGAGCCTCGCGACCTGAATTCGACGGATCCGATTGACCTCCCGCCTCTACATACACTCTTCGCAACAAACGCTCCACCGCAATGGACATCACCCAGTCCTCCCGCCTCCACTTCCACATGCCCTCTCCAACCGCCGAGGAGAAAATATCCCTCGCCGCCAGCAGCACAGTCTACACATACCACTGCCTCTGCACGCACCTGCTCCTCGCCACAACCACTCCTCTTCCCTCCCTACCAACGCGCGAACACTCCTGCGACAAAGCCCATATAATGCCGCTGCCCCCGCCACCCACCGCGTCCACCAGGGCTGCGAAGGCCGAGCTGCCTCGATCGGATCACTATGGACTGCTCCTGTCCACGCGGCTAGACGCTAAGCCCGAGATGATAACGAGCGATGAGGGCTTCGAGAAGCGGTACCTTCAGCGGTGTGGACGGTGCAATCTCGTGGTTGGATACCAGTTGGACTGGCAGCAGTTCGCGGGAGACCGGACCGGTCGACGCGAGGATCTCGTCTTCCTGCTTCCGGGCGGCTTCGTCTCGACGAGCGAGATGGTCATGGGGAAGACGCCTTCCCAGGGCAGCATTGGCCTGGTTGGCGTCGCCGAGGTCAAGGCTTGATTGACTCGCTTCCCGCCTACACAGCAGAAGGAGCCTGGAGTTGATTTTACGAATCTCATTGGCATGTAAAGATTACGACAGTCTTTTTTTTTTTGGCGTATTCTGGACCTTTCAACATTCGAAGGACGAATGGTTTGGTGTGCTTTCAACGGATCTTTGGCATGTTTTTACACTAGATACCCCATTGGCGAACGCGCAGGGCTTCTCATGCTACACCAAGAAAGCCTCGATAGACGGCGTTTGCAAATGGACCCAAAAACAGAGGTCTTTTCTTCCATTTCCCATGCATGTCCTGCGCGCTCGCTCGCTCTGCTACTCCGCAACCAAGACAATGTGATGATGAACTCAATGTACATCCAACGCCGGTGTTGTTGCCCGCATGCTAAGACCCATCAATCCATCTCGTGTCGTACACGCCGTGCTGAGGGGGTAAATCGTGGGGAATCGGGTCGAAGTGAAGAAAGGAGGAAAGAAAGAAAGCGTAGAACCGGGGTCTAGTTCTCAGCGATCGTCTTGACGAATTCTGCACAGCACACAAAACATTAGCCGAACTTCTCATCTCACACTTCCAACAAGCCGTCCCTCAACTTGCTCTCTCTGTATGCATGCGCACGGAGGAAAGTAAAGTGAGTAACTCACCCCGATAATCCACCTCATTGTTCCCCGTGTCAATCGTGCTCTTGAACAGCTCCTCGACCTCCTCCTCGCTCATCTTCTCGCCCAGATTCGTCAGGATGTACTTGATCTGGCCCTTGCCCACGAAGCCGCTGCGGTCCTTGTCGAACACCTGGAAGCCGCGGATGTACTCTTCGATGTCGAACGGCTCGCGGAAGCCGCCGGGGCGGTTGAGGATCTTGCTGAAGGTTTCGAAGTCGACTGGCAACGAGAATGGCGCTTGTCAGTGGTATTGAAACGGGGCTGAAGGATGTGTGGGCTGGAAAGGAAGGGAACTCACAGTCTGCGCCGAGGCCGCGCTCGAGATCGGCAATCTCAGCGAGCGTCGGGTTCTGGCCGCAGGCGCGCAGCAGGTCGCCCAGCGCGGCGCGGTCGACGCGCCCGTTGCCGCGCTTGTCGAAGAGCTGGAAGGCTTCGCGGTAGTTGGTTGAGGCCTGGGAGTGGTTATCCATTGCTGTTCTTTAGTGCCGCTTCTGCAGCGCAGCGCGGGTGCGGTGGTGTTTGTGTGTGTGCGGGTAGAGTGTGCTGTGCTGCGCTGTGCTGTGCTGTGGTTGACGTCGAATCGAACTTTCCAGTCCAGCGGCACGGGGAAAGAACGTGGGCAAAGGGCGGGGTGCGGTGCCATGTGATCGCGCGGGCAGGCCAGCTGAACTCACCATCGTGTTTATTCCTTCCCACGAACAAAAGTATGCGTCGAGAATACTGGGGATTGCGGGCCCGGAAGGTGTGGTCAAAGAGGAGGAGGGGTGCGAGAGGGAGATTTCGGTGTTTGATAAAGGGCTGAGCGGGGACCAGGGGGTGCGACGAGCGGCCTTGTTGTGCCCTGCCCGTCGTCGTGGAAACGGCCTCCTGTCTTCCAAGCTCAGCCTTGCACTTCACGTGCATTCCCTCTTCCTTTTTTTGATCAGTCATCCTCAATCTTGAGATACGGTCTTGTCCTTCAGCTGAGCTCACTTCCATCTTATTTCTCAGTCCACCAAAGCCTTGCCCAAACCTTGGCCTTTCACCCTCAGCTATGAACTCTCGCAGCATAACCCAGCCCTCAGCACTACACACCCCGCAATCCACGAGCCAGCCCGCCTTGCACACATCCCTGGAGGCTACGCACAGTCTCGACCCTTCTCTTGGACGCCGTTGAAAAAGTCAGACGTCCAGCTCTGGGGAAGACCAATACGAGATCCCGTTTTCGTGTGGCGGACTGCACCTTGCTGCCGAGCTGAACTCCACTTAGTCGCTATTCGCCAGTCGGCTTCAGACACCACATAGGGCTCAGAATAACTTCAGCTGGCTGGGCGTTGGCGGGCGGTGGCTGCGTGAATGGAGTTTTGACCTCGTTCAAAATGCGATGTATTTTTTGGTGTTCCTTCTTGGAGCTTTGTCTTTTTCTTGTTCTCTTCTCTTCTCTCCACATCTATCACTTCTTCTCCTTGTCAATTGATTCGAATACACGTCAATTGAGCCCTGGGTGTATTAGGCTGTACGATTCTCAAGATGCTCCGCTCCCCTCTCCTCCTCGCGGCCTTCCTCACCACCACCGCAAACGCCCAAACCCTCATCGAAGCCATTTCCAAAATCCCCACCCTCTCCAACTTCACCGCCTTCTACCAAGCCAACGAGCCCTTCGCAAACGCACTCTTCGCCAACTCCTCCAACTACCCCATCACCGTCCTCTGTCCCAATGACGACGCCTTCGCCGCCTTCCAGGCCCAATTCGGCATCCCGCTCACCGACGCCCCGCCAGAAACGCTCCTCGAGCTCGTGCAGTACCACACGCTGGTCTCAAATCTCAGCGCGGACAACTTTACAGACGACGGCGGCAAGGGCGTAACGACTCCGACGCTTCTGACGAACGAGATGTTCAACAACAGGAGCGTAGGGACAGAAATGGCGTCGCGGTTCGGCGGCGCAGCGCGCGCGAGCGGCCAAGTAGTCTTCATAAAAAGCGAGAAGACAGGCGGCAGTGCTAGGAGGTTTCTCCTCTCGCGCCAGTCGAACGGCGTGTCGCAAGCCAGCGTCCGCTCGGGCCTGCAGTCCAACGTCAATCTCACCACGCTGGACGACGCCGAGGGCCTCTGGGACGGTGGTCGCTTCCACATCATCGACGGCCTGCTCACGCCGCCCACCATGTGCAGCACCACGATCCGCAACGCGAAGCTCACCGGCCTCGATACGGCGCTGAACCGCACCAAGCTCTGGGACGCGCTCGACGGCGGCAAGAATCTGACCTGCTTGGGCCCGAACGACAAGGCGTTCAGCGACGCCGGGAGTCCGGATCAGAAGCTCAATGAGACGACGCTCACGGGCGCGCTACTGTTCCATACGCTGCCCGAGGTCGCGTATAGCGATTATCTGGTGGATGGACAGGAATTCAAGAGTCTGCAGAATGGGACGGTGAGGGTAAGGATTGAGGGCGAGGGCACGGAGCGTGCGATTTGGTTTAATAATGCGAGGGTGGTGGATGCTAATGTGCTGTAAGTGTTTCTTCTTCTCCTTCTTCTTCTCCTTCTCCTTGCCTGGGAGACAGAAATGTAGTGAGGGCGTGTGAGGGGAGCGCTGACATTGCGGTACAGGACTCATAACGGGCTCATGCACGTGCTCGATGCGGTTATGGTGCCGCTTGAGGAGATGAACGCCACCGCTACACCGAGCGCATCGTCGACACCGACAGCGACGGGGACGGAGACGGGGACGGGGACGGGATCGGCGACAAGCGCTGCTTCGAGTACTGGGGCCGCTGTTGCTACGACGCTGGGCTCAGGCTCATGGAGTTGGACTTTGTGGGCGATACTTGGTACTCTGGTAGTGATGTTAGAGGGCGCAGGAGGAGGGTGGCTGTTGATGGCTTGATGAACTGTTCTTCTCTTCTCCGCCTGGATGGCGCACCTATCCCTGGCAATTATTTCTAGTTCTGGCGACAGTAGCTCTCTGTTCGTTGTTCCTAGTCCTCTATAATGGATAATGGTTTTGCACTGCCCGTCCGAGCCCGAAAAGCGTGCGTCTGGCAGTGGGGTAGGGAGGGGGATAACCTGTTGATAAGGAGACGGGGCTAGGAGGCATATTGGGTGGAATTGAGGGGCTGGTGAAGGCTGGCCCGATGTGGTTTGTAAAGGAGCGCATGCTCCCTTTTCTTTTTCTTAAATAGTTTTCATTATTATAATGCCTATACCCACACGCGCTTCAACTTAGTCTCCTCGTTGTCAACAGGGTTATTCCCATGGTAGCTGGGTACGCTGAACGTTCAGGCGTAGTGAAGATATCGATGCAAAGGCGGTAGATTGCTCACCAGTAAGTCGCTGTTGAGACGAATTCTGCCCGGCGAGAGGCAGACTGCAAATCATTTAGTCACGTGATGTTATCTATGCGTGTGCGTCCCTGGAGGCGATCCAGCCAGGCCAGGCCAAACTTGACGAAAGAGACGTAACCTCCTTGGTTTCGAAGTACTGCTCGGCTCTGATTGAGATAGATGGAAAGACCAGCACTTCTCGGGATCGTTCACGAAACCGCGCGGGAGTATTTGATGAGCGATTCAGCACGGAAATTGAGGGCGTCTAGAGGGCGAACTCATAACTTCATCCTCACAACTTATCTTGGATTCTTGGCCATGGAAATCCGAGGATTCGTGGACCGTACACCTCTTAAACCAGCTGCTCCCGGTTAGAATGCGTTTCAGGCTCACGCCCAAAAACACCGGTTCCTCCAATATGCGAGTGTCTGCTGGCTCCATCATTTTCTCGAAGCTACCGACTTCTAGAGCGTCTACGCACACGCGGGGCAAAGTGATACACTTCCGATAGTTAGGCTCAAACAAGAAACTGCTCGTACACTCTGCGCGATCCTCGCATCAGAAAGCGCACTGATTCGGTGGCTAGAAGTGCTCCATCATTTCGTCTGTAACGGGATGCCACTTGCTTCACATGTGGAGGATCCGCTATCAGACTGGATCGAGTTTGGACAGACCAGGGCAGTAGAAACTCGCTCGTCTCTCGAAGTAGATGGGAGCGCCAGTGGCGGAGCCACCGTTGTATTAGGCGAAGAGCTGGCAAGCAATTTACGAGCTTTCATCTCTCATCTTGAACGGTGCAACGGCTACGGCATCTAACGTTGGGTACGATGGCGGAACCGCGAACGACATATCCGCCCGCCAATCTTTATCGCAACCTCTTTCAACTTCCACCATTTCGTTGAATCATAGCTTGAATCCGGCGTGGAGGTTAATTGCCGAAGTATCATAGACCGTATACCGCTTAACTTGGCCGCTTGGATAAAATGTCACGAAGCTATGAGGGTGATGATCGCAAGAGGAGCGAACGTAAGCCACTGCCCGTCGACGGATAAGATAACTCCCCTCTGGGAGAGTCTCTCGCCCCTCACGTTCGCAAGGCTCCCACGATCGTACTATGGCGCAGCACATATCCTGGTCGAAGCAGGTGCGGATGCGGATAATGGACTCAACCCTCTGCATGCGCTCATCGGCGGCTGGACGGACATGAAGGAGCAATATGCCATCCTTGACGCCATATTAGATCACTCTCGAGACGTCGCCGCGCTTTTGGAAAGCACCGACTCGCGCTCAGGCAAGCACACCCTTCACCTCACCGCCGCCAAGAACGAGGGACGGCTAATCCGACATTTGCTCGCTCGGCACCCGTCCCCATCCAGGCTGGTGAACCTAGCATCAGCTCTCGGTTTCGACGGGAAGACTCCACTGCATGAGACATGTTATTTCAGGTACTCTCTCGCGGCCACTCCCTTCATCGACTCCGGCGCCGATGTGAACGCCGTCTCATTGAAACCAAAACTAGCCCCCGTGCACATAACGGCCTCGCACCAGTCTGACGCATTCCACGGCTTCTTTGGCATGGCGCAGATCCAAATGCCACAGATGGCTGTGGCAAAACTGCGCTTCATCTGGCAGCAGAGCAGGACTGGACGCAAGGAATGGAGGTTGTACTGAGACATGGAGGCGAAATTGACGCGATTGACGACTTGCAAGAGACTCCGCTAGATACGACACTGAGGGTGAACAACGTAGATGCGGTTGCATTATTGGAGGGCAAGGGGGCGAGGAGAGCTTGCGATGTTCTCAAGTTGCATTCGTGGGTCAAAGCTAATGTGCATCTCTTCATCCATTAGCGTTCGCGCTCGCTAAATTTTCGCATTCATCGCAATGCCTATGTTATCAACTGTGATGCAAATGGTATGCGGTAAGGTGTTTCGACGAATAAAGCGCTCGTTTGGTGGTGGTGGAGGCAGAGGCTGTCGCGGGAGCTGTTGAGCTAGCTATGGCTGCTGATGTAGGAGTCGTTCTGGAAGAGGGTATAGTTAGTGTCTAGATGTAGAGACAAGTGTTTGAAATGATACTTAGGAATTAGAAGGACTGATGAGTTTCGAATGAAGTGTATGTGGGGAGGAAAGGCCTACCTACCAACGATTTATACACCCCTTCTATGACTCTGGAAGCGCTTTTCTCTGACGTACTTGGCCTCTTCAAGACTCATTGAAAGAAGGCAGGGGGTGAGTCGTGAAGGCCTATGAGAGTTCAGCCCCTGAGCGTTGAAAGTGTACATACCATCTAAGAGGAGAACCTAAGCACCCAGGTATCCAGAACGGAGAGCAAAGAGCAACATCAACAGTGGAATAGACACCCTGGAGCTATCCCTAGGAATCCTGGTTCATCCATGGAGCATCACTCCCGTAAGGGGGAGATGCTTCCCAATTTCGTGGTTCCCTAGGGGTTTGACATATACCTTGAGAATGACTCAAGAGGCTGTGAGACTCATGAGTCTCGCATTAACAATGTGCCATGTATCCTTTGCTTTCCGCAGCCAGCTGGCCATGGAAACGGAAAGTGGGTAGCCTTTTCCAGCGCGTGTTGATAACGTGGAGGCGGAGACTGCGGTAGCAAGATCCGGACATGCCTCGGATGACTAGGTAGGCTTTGATATGCTATCCCTCCTGTTGTAAGAATGCACCCAAAGTAGGGGATGCCGAATACCGATAGTTGGTCCGGATTCAGTGAGAGGACTCGAACTTTCACCGAAAGAGTCAATCCGGCTGTCCGTGTAGCTAGGAGTGATGTCGTCATGTCACAGTTAGCACGAGCTCCTCAGCATGCTCATCGAAGTACTCCCCAAATTTCTTCGCCCCTTCATTTTCGTTGGTCTTGAACAGAGACTCGCTTCCAATGCGCTCATATACCTGCTGCGCTTCATCAACGCACCTGAAAATCAAGAAAATCTCCGTGGTACTATCGAACCCCACTCTCATCATTGGTGTGGGGCTGCCCTCAGCTACACAGTACGGGGCCGCGACATCGTAGTCATAGTCAGCGTGTACATACACTCCCCCAACTCTCCACACACACTTCTTAACACTGACTTCTATCTAAAGGCACTGCCCGCTCAGCTTCAATTCTCCCGTTATTAGCTCGCCGAAAGCATCGGACCCAGCTGGGACGGTCCGAATATCGATAACGGAAGCTAGTGGTTTGAAGTCGCGCGTGGTGAAATAGTTGACTGTATTCGACACAGAAACCTACGACCATGTGGGAGCCCGCCAGGGTGAAGGTCGGTGTTGTACCGTCCAGTTCAGATTCGTTCAGCAAAGATCGGCCATTAGAGTATTCTCCCACAGTCCGGCGTAATAGGCGCATGCTCTTTCGACGTGGAGTTCTTGCGCCACGCCTTGCAATGCGGGAAAGATGTCGCCCCCCACCGAAAGCTTCTTGCTGGAATAGTGTGAGACTATTCTATGCCATCTGTTCTCCTAATGATCAACTCCCTGGGTTTGCATTCTTGTTCCTCAGCGCTCGTTCTCATGACTATCGTCTTGGACTATGCAGAAAGAATCGATCCAGAGGTACCTCAGGCCGAGGCGAGAAATTGTAGTGATAGCGTCTTGAAAAGTCTTTGGAAGTTGGCGCCACGGGATCTCTTGCTGAAAAGATGGCAGGGTGGAAGTGGTAGTTTGGATGAAGGATGGAACCCCAGCAATGGCCCAAACAAGCGTAGCGAGCACGTTGCAGCCTCTCTGTTGGGAGCAATCTAACTTGCTGGGGGCCGCATATCTCAACAAGACGGGTTTCCTCACTTTGAGATCAAGCCCCGTAGAGAGCATTCCCTAGCTTGTTCCATCAGACGTGGAAGGACAGCCTTCGCGCCCCTGGGCTGGTGCACGGACCGTGTCACGTGAACGCGCGATCTCGCGCTCCGCACGCTCAATGTAGGAAGCTCAGCCATCCCTCAGCCCGAGCCTGGAAACGAGATACGCTGAAACCAGCACTTGCTTCTCGATGACTTCTCTCGTCCAATCTTGTCTTCCCAGAACTGCGAGCCTCCGCAACCGCACTTGGCTTGCTCCTTGCCTTTGCGTCATCGATTCCCGCCGCTTCGATTCCCGTCTGCCACCCTCAACGCGCCGTATCATGCACGAACGATGCCCCGGTTGAAAGCAGCTTCAGTATCCGATCAGATCGTACGGAAGAGAAAACGTAAAACCCGCGAAGATGAAACCCCTCCAAAAGCGACACCGGCACCCGAAGCCATGCTAGCCGAACAGCTGAACGGCACGGCTACGACTACGACCACGACCACGACCACGATACCTACAAAGACACACGACGGCGGCAATAAGCCGCGGAGGACAGCGAAAGGGAACGGTGCGACGGATAAGCCCGCCCTAGTTCGCCATGGCTCATCCACCGTCGTTGAAACCTCGATCCCCTGGCCGGAGCACTTCACGAAGCTTGCCCAGGTACACCGCGCGCTGAATATCGTCTATACATTCTGCTGCACCCGCAAGCACTTTGCGACGACCCTAGATAACATAAAGAGCGCGGTAGAGGGCCACATTAAGCGCGAGCTGGTCATCGAGGATGTGGCTCAAATCAATGCCCTTATCCCTCGGGCGATCAACTTCTCCTACGTGGACGAAGCGATGCTACAGATCAACTTAATGGGATTAGAGGAGAAAAAGTCCGGGAAGAAGTCAAGAGACGGCATCATCGCCGAACCGGAATTAGAGAAGCAGGAGCATAGGGAGGTGCTACTCTTCGAGTTCATCGATGGCGACCTCAAGCGCCAGGTACAGCATGCGAAGACCGGCGAGCCCACAAAGGCTGTGCAGAGACTCCGCAACGAAGATTTGAAGATGCCGGTGTTCAGTCAGAAGCAAATGATGAAATTAATTGAGAAGAGGAACACCAAATTTACTTCTGCTATTAATGCATTCCTCAACCGATGCGCCGATAGAAACATCGATGCGTTAGAAAAGCTCAGGGATGAATCTCTAGCGTTCATACCCATGCCATCGGAAAGCAGACCCGCGACTCCTGGACTGGAGAGATCTCGGTTACCGGCGACGATACCCAAGGAGCGCAAACCCATTCCGGAGATCATTGAGGAGATCAAGACGTTGGAGTGGTACACCGGTCAGATCGTTCCTGATGGTCATCGAGTGTTTGACCCTCAGCCGCCTATCTATGGCGAGCTAAACTTCCAATTGTCACAAAGCCTGGTTAATGCCCTCTACAATACCCGAAATATCGAACAGCTATACGCCCATCAGGCGGAAGCGATCAACAACCTATACGACGGTCACAATGTCATCGTGTCGACCTCCACTAGCTCCGGAAAATCGCTCATCTACCAAATTCCCGTTCTGCAGCAGCTTGAACAAGACATTAACACCCGAGCGATGTACATCTTTCCTACAAAAGCCCTCGCTCAAGATCAGAGACGCAGCCTGAAGGAAATGTTACGCTTCATGGATGGCTTGCAGGATATTCTCGTTGAAACCTTCGATGGGGATACGCCGATGGCAGACCGCAACTACATTAGAGACGAGGCTCGCATCATTTTTACGAATCCCGACATGCTCCATATCACGATCCTGCCCCAAGAAGAAGCATGGCGGTCATTTCTGCAAAACCTGCGATTCGTTGTGGTGGATGAACTCCACGTCTACAATGGCCTGTTCGGTACCCACGTCGCATGCATCATGAGGCGCTTGCGTAGGATATGCGCAGCGGTCGGGAACCGACATGTCAAATTCATATCATGCTCCGCGACAGTGGCGAATCCAGAGGAGCACATGAGGACCATCTTCGGCGTCGACGAGGTCAGGCTAACAGACTTCGATGGCTCTCCGTCTGGTAGGAAAGAGTTCGTCTGCTGGAACACACCGTACAAAGACGCTGCCGACCCGACTTCGGGAAGAGGCAGCAGTATGGACGAGTCTGCCAAACTATTCTGCCAGCTCATACTTAGAGGCGTCCGGGTGATTGCGTTCTGTCGCATCAGAAAGCAGTGCGAGGCTCTTCTTGCTGCCGTGAAGACCGAGTTGACGAACCTTGAGCGGCCCGAGGTCATAGTTCGAGTGATGTCCTATCGAGGTGGGTACACGCCTCAAGACAGACGGCAGATTGAGCGAGAGATGTTCGATGGCAAGCTGGTCGGCATCGTCGCAACCAGCGCTCTGGAACTTGGCGTCGATATTGGCTCATTGGACGCCGTCATTACGGTTGGCTTTCCCTATACCATCGCCAACCTTCGCCAGCAGAGCGGCCGAGCCGGGCGGAGGAACAAGGACTCCCTATCGGTGCTCGTTGGAGACTGCTTCCCGACGGACCAATACTACATGTCGAACCCAGACGAGATATTTACGAAGCCCAACTGTGAGCTGCAAGTAGATCTAGAAAATCTACTCGTCCTCGAGGGCCATGTCCAATGTGCAGCATACGAAATGCCCGTCAACCCAGAGGCTGATAAAGCTTACTTCGGCCTACTGCTGCCGAAACTCGCAAAACAACGGATGCGCAAAGACGATCAAGGCTTCTATCACTGCAATGAGCGCTTCCTTCCCTACCCGTCGCGTCACGTCGCCATTCGCGACACTGAAGACACTCACTTCGCCATCATTGATATCACCTATGGCAAGAACACTGTGCTGGAAGAGTTGGAAGCCTCCCGCGCCTTCTTCACCATTTACGAAGGTGGCATCTTTCTTCATCAAGGCAATACCTACCTCATCAAGGAGTTCAGCCAAGAGCGCATGATTGCAAAGGTCGAGTACGTAAAGGTCGACTGGACGACGCAGCAGCGCGACTTTACGGACATCGACCCAGTAGAGACCGAGGCTATCCGCCGGATTCCCGGCTCCCGCTCTAAAGCCTTCTACGGTCCAATTAAGATCCAGCAGGTCGTCTTTGGTTTTTTTAAGGTGGACAAGAAACGCCGTATTTTGGACGCCGTTCAAGTTGACAACCCACCTATCATTCTCCACTCAAAGGGCATGTGGCTCGATGTTCCTAAGTCAGCGATGGACATCCTCAAATCACGACGTTTAAATATCGCAGCCGCTATCCACGCCGCAGAACATGCTATCCTTTCCCTCATGCCTAACTTCGTCATTAGCATGCCCGGCGATGTCCGCACGGAGTGTAAAGTCGCACTCAAAGAGTTCGCTAAGCGGGAGACGTCACGCAAGCGTCCTGCGCGCCTTACCTTCTACGATGCAAAAGGCGGCGCGAGCGGGAGCGGCATCAGCACGAAAGCGTTCGAGTTCATCGACACGCTACTAGCGCAAGCATGTCAAAGGCTGCAGGCTTGTCACTGTCTTGAAGGGTGTCTCGAGTGCTGCTGTGATGAGCGATGCAAAGAGATGAATCAGGTCATGAGTAAAGCCGGAGCACTGGTGATTATCATGTGTCTCCTGGGGAAAGAAAAGGAAATCGATATTGATGCCTTGCCATTCGGAGAAGAGGATACGGTGCCCGCAGGTATTGAAACCGTGGTTCCTGCCGAGGAGATCCGCGTTGTAAGAGGTAAGTTTGTGGATGGAATTTTCATTAAGAAGGAGGAAGAGGAGGAGGATGAGTTTGCGCGGAGCATTCAGATGTTTGGCGCTGAGAGGACGTTTATTGGGGTACATCTGTAGGCAGTGGTGTCACTGAATTGTATTGGTATTTTTCAACCGCGCATCCGAGCAGGTCGTTCGAATCTGGCTTGCTACTCTTCATGCTTATGCCCCTCCTCATTTTCGGACAGTTCGCGTCGTCGCGGCTCCGATCTTTGTGGTTCAGAATTGCTTGTACTCTTCTCGGAACGCATGCTCACACTCCTCTCGCTTTCAACCTTCCTCATAAGTTTCCTTCTCTTTAAGTCCCTTCTATTGCGTGATTCGCTTCCGAATCACCTCTCAGCTCCCGCCGATTGTGACCACTTTGCCTCAACAAGAGCGGGATCCTACACCATCCGATAGCACAGACACTATCGCCCTCTAAAAGAGCATGTCTTGAAGTGATACAAGTGGATTGTCCGGCCCGGTAGGCGAACAGGTTCTGGCCGCGAGCAACTGTGTTCATCTCGGCAAACGTGATGGGTGAGTCTGGTCGGGTCCTCAGACTAGTCCCTACTTCATGAGGGAATAGAAATTGCGACGGCTTCTCGGCTACCCTTCCTTCGGAGGCGGCAGTAGCTACCTCGACTACAGCCATGATTCTGCTCTAGGGGCACCCACTGTCATTGAGTGCGTTTGCTCCTGCACTGACACTACCCTTCCACGCCCAGCAGAAGACATGGGTTATACAGCATAGGTTAAGGCCAGTTAGCCGGCACAATCCCTAAGATTTCGAAGCCCAGAATCGGGCTAGAAGCCATGCGTTTGAATTTCATGAGTAGTAGTCGGACTTGGAAGGATGGCGTACTGTGTGCTTCGCAACGTCGAATGAAGCAGGCGTAGAGTGTCCTTCGAAGGTTGAGAATAGAGGTAGTTAACAACCCCTCTTCTCCTATGTAGCCCGATGCTGCTGGCTGTCGAATGTGAGCGGATCGTGCTTGTGCCTCCATCCCGTAGCGCCGTGTGTCCCGTTAACACACCTTGAACCCTTCCAAGTCATCCTCTTGATCTTCAAGGTACCAGCCACCCCGAAAATATAAGCCCTCATTGTCGTTGTATTCTGGATGAAAAATCTGACAGTCTCCACTGACGAGTATCCTTGTCGCAGAATACACGGCGAACTAGCACCTTCGAGAATTCATACTGTATCTCTCTTGCCTGAGGCTTCAAGGGCTATGCCGATATGGCCGTTGCTTATCAAGACTATCCCACAGTCCTGAAGAGATTGGCGGGAGTAATTCTGCGAGTCGGAGAATTCTTCGCCTAAATTTGGACCCTTTTCGGCATCCTATTGACATTAGCACGTCTGTTTTGTGATGTCAAACAGCGGAGTATGACCTACAAATGTGAAGCCGTTATATCCAGTAAGAAATAAGTGAAGTGTAGGGCTATCTAACACTTTCAAGGATGATTGAGTGAGCCTCACCGTCGACCCAGCCTTGCGTCTATACATACAGTCCATTACTTCTAGACCAAGTTGGCTAGAGCTCTTTACCGTACCCCACGTGTCTGGGCTAAATAGTGCTCTGAAGTTATCTAGACTGTAGTACATGTCCATCATTTGCGCTTCTGTATCTTCTACACCGTCGAACGAAAATGTCCGGCTGCTGTGAGTTATCTGCCCGTACCGCAGGCCCTCAGTGTGAAGTTCAAGGATCTCACCGACCGCAAGTGATGACTAGTGGACGAAAAACGTATCCGGCTCGGCCTCGTAGTCGGCTGCTATCGATCCGAAGTAGTAAGGTGTGAGCGGACGGCGTTGCGACCAGTCTGGGGCCCATGAAGGCATATCCAAATCGCGTGGATGGCGAACGGCGGTAAGCAGCCGGAGTCCGAGCACAGGCAGGAGGAACAATGCAGTATTGACGAATATTCCTTCCACACTTTTGACATAGCTGATCAACGAGTCTATATCCACTTTCCCATGAAGGACCAAAGACCGTAATGCAAAGACCTTGTGCCGTGTTCGTGATTGTACACCATCGCTATGGCGCTCACGATTGGCAGCAGGTAGTGTTGATGACATTCATGACGGCTGCAAACCAGGTCTGGCTGTGTTCTGCATTGAAACTAACGCACAGTGCGAGGTTAACTTTGGACGCTGGACTATCAGTCCTGAATGAGAAAGCTGCGCGACACGCAGCTCGAGCAGGGCGAACCGGTGGTTAGCATCACTCTGGTGGAAAATGCAAACAACCCCACTAAACATAGGTTGTTATTCAGGAAAAATACGTAACCCCAATCGGGCACCCGCAATTAGCCGTGTTGACCATCTCTGGGAACGATGTACTGTTCACCAAAGCGGTGAACGATTGCATTTTTAGGTTCGACTTTCCATGGAATATGAAGGGATGCGACGAGCGACTTGCTGAGGTGGAGGGCATCTTGGATAGCCCTGGCTTCAAGAAGGAGGTGATGGATACATACGCTTTAATCATCAAAGCTGGAAGAGACGCTGGAGGAAACAGAAAGGGCGCTGATCCGCCCGAGAGCTTTCAGGCTTTTGTTGGTAAGTTATTCCATGACATTCCTTTCTGTGTCAAGCTGCTCACACTTTGGATGATACTAGGCAGCTATGTTGGACTATTCAACCACGATGACCCTGGCTGCAACGATGTCTACTGGAACATCGTGCATTGGGGAATCACATACAAGCAACGGCTCACTATAGATCTTCGAAAGCCAATCAACACCCTAGTGGAGAAGCTCAACGGAGTCCTGAAGTCTGCTGCCAACGAGCTCGAGCCATTCGGTGTTTTCTACGTTGAAGGCCACAATGATGGCTTCATGGGACGTCGCTTCTGCGAGCCCAACGAGCATAAGGTGCATGAGGCGGACTTCCAGGACAAGAACGCGGAGACGGGCTTCTGGTCACACAAAAGTACATGGGGCAAGCTAGACGAGGGTGAGGGCCCCCCAGTAAGAGACGGGCAAGAGGCGGCAACGCAAAACATGACGGACCTTGCGGATCAGATAACAGAAATCCTTGTCCCAGATCCCAGCGCCCTCCAAAATCTCAACAGGTTCACATCCCCGTGGGATGTGAACCCCAAACTAAAGGATTACAAAGACTTAGCTACAGCGGTCAGGGAACTCACGAAAGACAATCCGGAGGCGCAGGATATGGATGACGGCATAAGGAGAATTTCCCATCCCAAGGGCTCGGCTTACAAGTACTTCGACAAATGGTTTGAGGTGATTGCCTCAAAGAGGGACAAACCAAACGGGTCTACCTCGTCGCCTTCGCCAGGGTATCAGCCGGGAACCTGCAGCTTCCACCTCACCCAAGAGGATCACTGCGGTGACGAGACAAGCGACTATGTTTGTAGTATCGTCCTCAAAGACAATGACGGGAATGAAATCGGAAGTGTGGAGGGCGAGTCGTGTACGGCGGATGACCCCTTGGATGCTACGAGCAAACTGCCGAGTGTACTAAGCGTTTCTGGGCAACATGATTCTCCGGAAGACCCTGTTCAGTTCACCTACGGAGGGGTGATCTACTCTAGCGACAGCCAATGCTCCGTGGGTGGGTGGGATCCTCAAATGGAAGTGTGCCCCACACTTGATTCCGGCAACACGAGGGTAAGCCTTTGTCGGATTCGACGCTCCGCAGACGGGTTTTGCTAACAATTTATAGCTTCGCCAGATGGACTGCAATTTTCCATGTTAGTGTGTAAGGCTGATTGCGGTGGATTCCCTTCATTATCCTTCCCGTTGTAGTATAGCGGTTACTACCACGTCGCACAACTTAGAGCGATTTCTGCCATTGAATGCGTCGACAGTTACGATAGGACTACAGGAGGTTCGGCGGTGTCTCGATAGCTTGATCTCATTTCCCCGGGAAGCAACTGCAAATGGCTGAGTCTGGAGGTTTGCTTAGGTGTGATCGCGGTCTTTTGTTTGGGGCGCTGGCTAAGTTGCATTCAGCAATAGTTCACCCTTCGTGGAGCTTCGTATCCTGATTTCGAAATGTGACAGGGGCTGTAAATGACATCGGTACGAACATGTGTCAGTCAAATTTTGACTGGTTGTCGCTGTTGAGGATATCTACTTGTCCTAGCCTTCAATGAGCTTGAGCTGCTATGTGACATTACCGGGATTTTAGACGAGATACTTCAAAGACGCTAGTCTTCCAGTTACATGTCGAGCCTTGACTCACTCCTCTGTTTCTGACACCAGCCACCGCTATCACCTCTTCGCTATCTTGGTCTCAACTGCTCACCTTAATGCAAGCACATTTGCAGACTATACCCTACTACGAAGCTCTCCTCTTGCGTCGTCACATTGTTGGTCACAACTGCCGTTGCTATGCCTACAAAGAATACTGGCAATGCCGGTAAGTTCAAGACACTCCGAAGGGCCGCACATTCCTGCTCTTACTTACCCGGTACAAGTTTCATACCCTCAAAAGAACATCCTCAGCCGCGACGCGGCCGGCGACATTCCTGCCAACAACCTGACAACTATCCGTCCATCCAATTCACCGCAAGCCTCAACGGCATCTTCCGACCCAGCAACCCTTTATGTCGAAATCGGAAACCAGAGCCAACATATCGGCAGTCTGTAGGGGCCCAAGCTGACGGAGCGACTAAAAGGCGTCCTCAAAGCGCTGTGCGCAAAAAATAAGGCGGGCAAGACGTGCACGAATGAGGGGGGCAGGTCAAGAGCATTGACTATAACCGTAAAGGCTGTGTCAAATCCGAGGCGTATCTCGCGGTCAAGGTCGTGGGTGACCATATAGATCAGGATCATAAGGACGTCCGGGATACGCTGATCCAGCAAGTGGCTGATACCTTTGCCATTGCGTCAAATGACGACGAAAACTGCTACCAGTTTGACGACCACGACGATAAATGTCCGTTGCCGTGGTTCAAGTGATGGACTGGCCGTGCTCGAAGGATCGGATTATTCGCTGGTGTAACACGGCGGACCGTGTTCAACTGTAGGTCTCCCGGCGTCTGTTGACGTCTGCTTGAATTACTGCTGACGACCCTTTCCTCAACGGTTGGATCAAGGATAAAGAGGGTAAAACTTTAGCGCATATGCACGTCACGCTCAACTTCAACGGCGAGGTACGTACCTTTGCTCCGCAGCTGGCTTGGGCGCCATCAGCGTTCGGGGGAACCGTGAAAAGGCGTGTTGTGTGCTGCTTGAGAGGCGTAATATGCAACCCAAGAAAGAGACCTAGTTTCAGGAGCAAAAGGATCCAAACCTTCTGCTCTTTCTAGTTATGATTCCTTATATCCGCCAGCACCTAGGCACTGAGAGGCATCGCCGGCCTCCCTCATATGTGTCATTATTTTCTGGCCCTGTATTTCCAAACATCGGCTGACTCATTCCAGACTCTTGAAGGCGGGTTCGACTGCGTAGGCATCTTGACACCGGTGAATACAAACATTCAAGAGAAGCTGCCTGGCCTCGAAAACATGTTTGGCAGGACCTTCAAAAGAGGCGCCGAGTGCCCTGCGAAAGACATCACTGGATCCTGCGGTGGGAAACGGGAACATCCGTGTATTCCATGAGTTCGGGCCGAGCGGGATACACCCTAGAGAGATAGACATCTGATGAGTTCGGTGTGTTCTGAGAATAATTCCTAGATAGAGTCGAGAGTAGCTCTCAGAGGTCTTCCGGGTGGGATTTTGTAGGGGTGGTGGGGGTAGGGGGGGTATGGGTCATTGGGGCGCAAATTGAACGTTATATCATAGCTTATTCCGTAAAGTGGCCTTCGTGGCATAGAACCATGGAGGTTTGGCGAGGAGTCAGCTGTTGATGTATCATAGCGTCGGCGTTAAATCACCGTCAGTCCTTAACTCCGAGCATCAATCGTCAACCCCAGAACTCGACCCTTCACAACTTCCCGACACGGAAACAAAATCCACACTTTACCTCAAGCGCTCCCACGACCTTTCTGCTCTACCGTTTCTGCTCGTAACGCTCGACACCAATGCCCATCTGCATTGAATGCCGCTACCCCGTCAAAACGCTCTACACCGAATACAGCAAAGCCGATGACCGCTCGCTGGGCAAAGGCGTGCGGTTGACACAGTGCCCGCGTTGCAAACGGTTTGCAGATAAATACGTCGAGCATGATTTTGTCGTGCTTTTCATCGATTTGGTGTTGATAAAGCCGCAGGTATGAACCTACTTCTAGAGGGGAAAGAGGCACGGAACAGGAAAGCTAATGGAGGCGTAGGTATATAGGCATTTACTGTTCAATAGGCTAGGGCGGGATGATGATAAATTCGATGTACGGACACTGAGTATCGTTGTGGAGAAGGTCGGAGCTAACAGTTCTGGATAGCGTTCGATCGTACGACTGGGGATCCTACTCCTCCTCTTCGACGTCTACCTCACGTGGGCGCGCATCGAGAAGCTCTCCCTCCCACTCATCGCGCCTCACCGCTCCTCACACGCGTCCCCATCCAACGCGACCGCTGGCTCACCCTCCGCCGTCCGAGCGCAGGAAGTGGCCACGAACGCTGCGCGCCTCCAAGCGCAACCGCTCATACTCCAATATTTATTTTTCCTCCTGCTAGTTACTAGCAGTACGCTTTCGTTCCACATGCCGATCCGACTGCTGTGCTCTATAAATCCAGATCGCGCCGTTCCTGCCGGTCTCCCACGAAAGGTCTGGAAGACCCTAATACCACACTACCCGCATCCGACGCCTCTCAGCACAGCGCTGCTCGTATCATCATGCACGAAGCTATTCCCTATACTGCTCATAATATGGGATTATGATCTACCGAGTTCTGCAACAGCGGTGAGCTGGGCGGTCATTGTGAATAATGTGGCGGCGCTGGAGATATTGATGGACTCTGGATATTTGAGAGCCGGGGTGTTGGTTGGGGTGGGCGCGGGATTGAGAAGCCTTGTAGCGAGTTTCGTTCTGAAGAGCGTTGGGCTCGGGACGGGCACTGGGGAGTGGCATTCTCTAATAGGAGTTTGGAGAGAGCTTGAAGGGTGGGTGGGCAGTGTGCTTTGGAGGCCGTAACAAACGGCTTGCTAGATACCCATTATAACATTTGACGGCACGATACACTTATGGTTCGTGAACACTGTGCTGAGCTCGCACGCGATTCCAGTGCAAATGATGACCTTCCAATATTCGGTACAGCCCGCTCAAGCGCGTCTAAACTCCAGCACCAAAATCCATAATACAATCCGAGCCACGGCTTCGCCAATGCAGCTCGATGTGTTCTACTATTTACCGCTTTACAGTCGGTATCTGCGAACGCATCATGCAAGACGTAGCCTTTCCGATCGAAATAGCTCGCCCTCTTACCATTCCCAGCCTTTCCTGCTGCCGCCTCATGTGTCTACCTCGGGTCGGAGATTGCCCTTGATCGGCGAGATAAGGGGATGTAGTTGGGCGAGGAAGGTTATTGCTGTACAAAAGATATTAGCTTAGGGCCTTCAAATGCGGATGAAGAAGGCTTACCCCACATAATGTACATTGCTGCCGCCGAAAGGACGAGTGTTGATCTCCAGATTGTCTGATTCTCGCCCTTGGGTGATAGGAACCAGGCGCTGCCGCAGAAGACCGCCACTACGACGAGCCCGATTATGGGAGCCCAGCTGCAGGAGTTAGCTTCTCGAATGCGTGGTGTCGGGGAGGAAGAGAGCTGTACCCGTTCGCCATGGTAGCTCGGGAAACTCAAGGACGGCGTGCGGCGGCGCGGAGGTCTCGGCGATAGGGCGGCGACGTAGTAGGGGCCGCAATGATGCAGGAAGCACAGCGAGCAAAGCTTCGAAGCGGCGTTAGGGGGATGGAGAGGGCGTAGGTCGTGAGCTCTGGCTCTCCACCGCGGCGCAGATGACGCCTGTCGACGAGAGTCTTGGTAGAGACTAACCAGAAATGGCCTAGCGCCCCACCCTTCATTCGATATGGGCAGGATCCCGAGGTCCTTCGCGTTTATTTCGACGTCCATCTGCTCTGCTTCATTCTTGACCTGCAGAGATCTTCCCAGACATTGACCTGAAATGCTCAACCTATTAGTATGGGATACCCTGTCCCCCTTGCATCCCGCGCCTCTACTCCTCGAAGATTAGTCTTCGGGACATGTACATGTCTCGCCTCATTCTTGACCGGTCGAAGCGGATCATGGCTCTTGGGACTTGTTGACTTCGCAGATCTTCTCCGCGGTCTCCTGGGCATTTAAGAAAGCAATTTCTCTGACGCCTGTCCCTCAATGTCCTCCCATCCCTTCTACGTTTCACCTCGTCCTCCACAGTATGTCCCTGTCTCCTCTTACAGGCCAGCCTGCATGGAAGGGCGCCTACCAAGCGGTGTGTATCTGCTCCCATGTATACTCTGGTTCTGACCGGTGTATTACCTGTTCGTAGTTGTACTATACTGAATTTGTCTATAGGGCACCAGTCAGAACGACTCCCTGCGGTGAAAGCTGCAGAGCTTCATTCGCTCCCTACAAAGTTCCAGTATTCTATGCGGTTCGATATGGCGAAAAGATTATCCGAAGGATCAAAACCGGTGAGCTTCCCTCTACCAACTCTTCAACCTTGCTTCGGCTAGGTCGTACCTGCATATCAGCCGCACAACTGCCAGAACGTAAGTCGAGATCGTTCTTCTTTGATTCAATGAATAGAATCAACCCTGTTCCCCTTCACGCCGGTCCTTTTCCGATCCCGTATTTTTGCGAATCCCTTTGCAAACTGCTGCTGACCGCTTCGTAGTTGAAAGATGGCCAAGCCACCAAAGTCACCTTTGCCGCAGCTGCAATGCGGGGACATCTGCACGCGTATCACACTCGTCCGGTCTGCAAGCCTCCAAAAATCTCGCTTGTCGAACACCCACAAGAGGCGTCTGATTTTTGATGATGAAGAGACGGGCTCATCTCACTATTCTGTGAACGCTTCTTCCATGAGGAATTACTCGCACGGGAACGGATCTGGACCTGGGACCTGGCCTGTTAGTTAGAATCAGACGGGGCATACTCCCGAACAATATTTCAAATGGAACTGGACTGTGGGGACTACCGGACTCCTCGTTCACCGCTTCTCCGCTCTCTGCTACTAGTTCGGGCGTCAGCATCGGGGATCTAACGTGTGGCTTGACTGGCTCCGACGCGCCTGGAGGTCCTTTTCGAAATACGCGTTGCCATAGGACCAATGACTATTCGAATTTCCGTATGTCTGGCGGCTGTCGAGGGTTCTGGCGCGGCCTGTACGAGCTGAGGCGGTCATAGTCCGCCAGTACAAAACCTGAAAGTTGCGCCCTGTTGGAGTCCGAAAAACGCTCTTCCTTGCCGTGGAGAGCATCAGCGATCGGCGCCGAAGTGAGGCAAAGATGGTTGGATCCTATACGCCTGTCATACTCCAGAATGTTTCTAACACCGGCTACCCTGCTTGTCCAAGTGTGCGACGACGTTATCGAGCACCTAGAGAAGAAATCCCCAGCCTCGTATTTTCAGGCCCTCTGATTCGAACGAAATGAAATGAGGGCACAGGCTATTCGTATCGACCGTTTCATCGGTTCCCGTCTAGCTAATTACGACTTCCGTGATTAGAGCGCCTGTCAGCCACTACCTACAGGTAGGACGCTTCCTTACTAAGGAAGCCAAGTCTGGCAGACTACCCACCATGTTGGCCATACTGCCTTGGCTCCCCGGCGCTGGCCATGAAGACCCGATGAGCAGAATGAGGCGATGTGGTTCCTGTAGAGGACGTTGTCGTGGCAGCAAGCAACAACATGTGGACCTCAATTCAACGCCCTGATCTGTTAGATTCGGGGCATTATTCTAACGACACCCAACAATATGCGACTCCCCGGGCGCGGGCCTTCCGGCCACGCCCTGGCTAGCACTACGTTAACCCCAGTTGGGTCTGCTTCAGAACGGACCAGGGTCGTCCGATCTCCACGTACGCCCTCGTGAAGGCCCCGCGTATTTGGCTTACAATCCATGCTCGAATAGGACCGGACCTTAGCGCGGTACTGTTGCCACAGTCAAGAGACTCTGAGGCCAGGCCACAACTCTGCCTCATTTTTTACCTTGCAGTAGCTGCATCCGCGCCGATCGGGAGCTTCCCCTACTAGGACAGGCTAGCAGCCTCGTTGACAGCGGTCATTGTGCAACGCAGACAGCTCTCCGACATAGCAGCCTGCAACATATATCTTCCTACGTTCTTGCAAGAAGGAGAGCCAAACTTTGACCCTCGCTATTGAAGGGATCTCTTCGCTTTCTATTCTGCATTTATACCTTCTTCGTTGATATGGATACCGATGACATTGTCTTTGTAGAAGGCGAGCCTTCAATGAGGGTGATAGCCTCTCCCTTCCTGGAGCCTCCTCTTCCCGCGAAAAATCATGACGCTTCAAGCTCGAAAGATGTAGCACATGAGCATGTGCCTAGTCCGCAACCAATGTTCGCTCCCTCTTGTGGTTGCAATTCCTGCAATCTAGCGTACAGACAGAAGCCAGGATTTACCTCTTATCCGCCAGTTCCGAGTAGTTCGCCGGAATCCCGACGCTGCTGCCATGGAGCCTGCTGTTCTGCGTCCGATCTGGATAGACAGAGAAGCGGCGGATTTGAACCCAACTGTGCCCACACTTCGGAACCAATGTGGGAGTTATCCCGACCTGCCCCGGGAGAGCCTGAGTTCTATGGTTATCCGACGCCCAAGGCGGTTACGCCGCCGCCTCCTGTAAGATACCTGTCCTTCGCCGTCAAAGCCTGCGCTCATAGTTCAAATAGCCTCCTCCACCTCCCGTAAGGTCCCACGATGGCTGCTATGAACCAGTCTAATCCGTCGCTCTAGCCACCACCACCCCCAGCCCCCCCAGCGGTTATCCTGCCTCCGCCTCCGCCGCCCCCACCAGCGGCAGTCCCACCTCCGGTAAGATATCAAACGCTCTTGCTCTTGAGTCTCGCCAAGCTGATCCCAATCGTAGCCCCCTCCTCCACCTCCTATGATACCTCCCCCGGACCTCTTTGCTCCCCGTCTCGATAATTCAGTGAACCAAAGTGAGGAAGTCTCGAGTCCTGCGGACTTTATCCAGACCCACTACGCAGGCGAATCTCTTATAGACACCGCACGAGTGGTCAGAATCGCACCATTCAGACGTAATGTCTTCATTACGCTCCACAGTGCCCAGGTTGCAGACTTTGAAGAGTTCAGGTGGATCGTCCAACATGGGGACACTGAGGTGTGGTATGAGAAGCCTAGAAGATCGTTTCTGAGACAGATGGCCACACTCGAGTCTTCCGGATGCGAGCCTGAACCACTGCCTGCTCTCGAGAACGCTCGACCCGTCAGCCTGGAGACCCCCAGAGTATGGGCTTCTGCTGCCCTAACGACGCCTATCGATGACGACATCTATGACTGCTCCGCGGGACATGCCAACGAGGAGGACTTCTCGGGCGCGTGCCCTCAGTGTACCGATGAGAAGTCCGAAGCACTAGACGCTACTCCGCTAGTGTACTACGTTGTCTTGTCTACGTGTCAAGCTAGCGACCCCTTTATTCACGGCGCACATTTCAACGGAAGACAGATCTACAAGCTTGTCAAGTGCGGCAGTCGAGAGGCTGCAGCTGCAGAAGCTTTCTATTCTTCCGGCATCAATGGGTGGAGCGTGGCGTTCTCATGCGCTATGAGAGGTGGTGAGACGTTTGAGGAGAGACCGGGAAAGGCCAAGAGGGTGGAAGATCTGTGGATGCTTGCCGATGATGAAGAGGAGGAGGACGTTGTCAGGGTGTTCTACTGAGGCACCAGAACGAAGCGTCATTATGGGCGAGGGCTTTAGCTTCAAGCGTGCGTTCAGAACGACCTCAAATTGCCGGAGACGACCTATTTTCTCGGCGGATATCTCAAATCTCGACGCGAAATAGTACACGTACATGATCACATTGTTCAGCAGCGTCCAACTCGCCCAACCACACTCAGTGCTCCACTTCGGCTCCGAATCTCGAACGCAGGACCGGGCCGAATCGGAAATCGTCCCAGCCGACGTTGCATATATCTGCACCTATGCACGCATGCAATGTTTCGTCGTCGCACAACAGTATCTAGGCGAAAACGCATATGGCTGTGATACCGATCACTGCACCTCATTGCAGGCAGTCCTCTCCTTCTACTCTTCTCGAGACTAAGCCAATTCAACCGGCACCACACAGAATTTCCTTTGTCCACCTTCATCATTTCTTATGTTCGGCGGTGCATTTGCAGGAGCAGGAGCAGTATGGTGCATCCTCGAGGCCAATCATGGACGGCCACATCGCGCGCGTTGCACAAGGTTTACTAGCTTTCTCTACGACCGCCCAGCTGCTTGGATTTCTATATTTCCTAGGTGGGTTGTGGAGAAGGGCGTACTTTGGGCTCCGATGCGTCTGACCAGCATGGTATGACAGTGGAATGAACAATCGCTATAGATGTGGTCCTAAATGCACATATCCCTACTGAGACCGTTCGAGCCCGGAGCGATGACGGACGTGGACACTACGCCACAGTCTTCTTATGGACAACCCACCCCGGGCATTACCGGGTCTTTCACTCTGGCGTCATTCGTCGGGGAGTATCCGTCGTTGAAGCGCTTCGAGCCGTCCCGAATTCTTCCTGCAAGACACTTCTGTGTGCGCCGACAGGATCTCCTTCGTTCCATCGATCGGGAAGCACGTTTCACCCTCAGACGCCGCGTTGCCTTCTTGCCTTCTTCCAACCTCCCTCGAAATGCTGAGGCCCCAAATCTATTGCAAACCAAGGCTTCTGTGACTTCGATAATAGACATCCAGCATACCAGATTCCAATCCCCTTCTTCCGACCTCATAACCTTGACCATTCCCTCCCAGCAACTTTCAGCCCTTCCTCCCCGTCGACCAATACGCACCATCCCTCGCCTCCTCTCCCCCCGTCTCCAGCTATCGCAGCCTTGAACTCGCGTCTTGCATACTGGAGTCCCTCGTCATCAAAGCTACCGGGTTGTAGCCACACTGCAGGTATACCAGCCTCCTTCGCTTCCTTCAGAAGCTGCTTCGTTGCTTGTGGTGGCGTGATGACGGAGAGCGAGTAGGACGAAGGGTTCGAGAGCTTCGAGGGCGAGGATACCGTAGGATGCGATTGCGAGAGGATGGTTACGGAGGGGACGCGTGGGTTTAGCGGCGTGGCTGGGAGAGAATGCCGGAGATACCAGGCAAACACTGTGGATGGAGGTCAGTAGGAGAAAGGAGAGGCTGAAGGAAGGTTGAGCTTGCCTTTATGTCCATACTTGGAGGAATCCGAAGACGCACCGGCGACCGCAAAACGTGGGGAGCTGAAGAAGGTTTTGAAGGCGGCTTCCATTTCTGCCTCACGCTTCTGGCCTCTTGTCTGTGGCATTCGTGATCTAAATTCGAATTGAGACTGTAAGGGATATGCGCTTGACGTTGTGTATAGCAATGGAAGGTAGAGTGGGATGTGACGGCGGGGCCTAATTCACGTCAACAAGCCGAGGCACGCATCACGTAATCTCCTCAAGACTTCGAGTGCTCAGACCCCCCGAGGTCGTGCACACTCCCCATCCCCTCATCTCACTTTGGCACAATTTCGATATCCATTGCCTCCTCAAAGCTGTCGTGGTTGCTAGTGTGGCTGACAGCCGTCGGAACGTGATTTTCGCCACCAACCCGCAATTGGATGCCTCGTTGCCTCACACCATTTCGACACCCGACTTGAATCGCCATGCTTGCTCAATTCGGACTCTATCGCGCTCTCAACCGCTGTGCGGGAAAGGCCCGGGATTGGAGGATTATGCAGAGTCCCAACGATCCCCGAGAAACCCGCTGTTTCTCGCCTCATTCCACGGTTTGAAAGGGGTCTCTTCATCCTAGCAACGGTTACCGACGTTGGCGGTGCCGTTTGCGTCGACCTGTATACCGTACTATGTCCGTTTGAGAGGCCGATCTACACTCCATGCCAGCGAAGGACGAGCGAGAACGAGTAATCCCTCATCGCCTCGTTTCTCGGGGCCATATCGGACCACCCTTCTTGGCCCGCATTAGGTGGACGCCATACCCGAAGGATAAGTTGTGTGTTTGCAGCGGTATCCTTGAAGATTTCTGGTCTTGGATTTCCAGGTTTCTGGCTTCACCGGAAAGTTGTGCTGGCTTGCAATTCGTTTCTAGAGGAACGAGAGAAGATTGCTTCAAGCCGGGGTTGATGGGAAGCGAAATAGCAAGAGTAGGGGGCACGGCGTACTGTCCGATTTCTCAGGGTATTCAGCTGCCTCGGACCTGCATCGCCTTCGATGGCCTGGCGTGCTCGGTACAGCTTCCACTCAAAGGGAGCACCCATTAGTGAGGTTGATACGGCGCTGGAAAGGTTCTCATCATTGTTCAATTCATAGACTGACCCAGCAGACTGCGCAGCTTTCTCCGAAGTCCGACTGTCTACCAAGGGACCTGGCTTCCGTCGAACCTGAAGAACTTCCCACTGTCCTCTTTCTTCAGTCCCTTCAAGACGTCTAGCATGCCCGCAATACTGACTTCCGGCTGTACCATGGCGCCCTTTCCACCCATTCTCGTCTTCACCCAGCCAGGATCCATGCATATCACAATCGCGTGATTCCTCCTCAATTCCCTCGCCTGATGGAGCGACAGCATATTCTGAGCTGCTTTGCTGATAGAGTATGTGCAGCACTTCGGCATATCTTTCGCAACGGTCATACTCGCAAGCCCGCTCGTCATATTCATCACCATTGCACCTCTTGCCAGATACCGCTGGAGGGTCTCCACGATCTTGGCCGGACCAAGGACGTTCACATTCATGTGGTTCTGTAAGGACGCTGGGTCTATCGAGAGCGAGGTGTCCGAGGATGTAGCGTTTATACCGGCGACATTGAAGAGGTAGTTTATGGAGTCCCCGGTCTTCGTAAGGATCTCTGCGACGCGGAACTCCAGGCTTGATATTGAATCTAAGGACGAGACATCACATTCAATGATGCGGACGTTTCCCTTGGTCGTCAAGGCTTTCAGCTCGTCAAGGTCGCCTTTCTTCGATCGGACGGCGGCGATGATATTGTTGTTTGCGTCTGCAGATAGCTGCCGGACGAACTCGAGACCGATACCCCGGTTGGCGCCAGTGAGGAAATAGGTAGGCATTTCGTTTTTTGTTCTGAACGTTTCGTTTCCAGTCCTTTCTATGCTCTTGTATTCCAAATCTTATCCATCTACACCCAAAAAGACAACGGAAGAATGTCGAAAACCAAATGACGTCTATATTTCTATCTACCCACGACTCTTTCGTCTTTTATATAGTCTAGCGCGGCTTCGGCAGGTGAAACCGGTTAATAGGCCGAGTATGAGCACACGAGCATGATCTGCGTCCAATCGGGAGAGGCGTTCATGCGAACCATTGCTTTAAACCGAAAAGGCATGGCATGTTCATGCACGTCACCTCTTGAGTTTCGCATGTCATCCTGGTGTTGCTTTCTCGCGTTGCTAATGGGTTCATTGACCGATTGAGGCGTTTAGCGATGGTCGGAGCGTGCGTGAAAGGTGGAGAGGTAGTGTTTCAGGTTTGCGGCACAGTCAGATAGGGAAAGACGACAGTAACGAGGGAAAGAAGTTGCTTGGCTGGATCAAAGGTGGAGTTCTTTCTATATGTTATATTTCGTACGCATGTATTGGTCTTCATATGCTAATCGTATCCTCAGATCGAGACCCACGAAGGACTCCCGACCGCCTGATGAGTGAACTGTGCCCCGCAGGCACGGCCGACGGTGGCATCATATGGCGATGCGCTTCCGCAGTCGCCCACTGCTAATGAGAAGTGCTGGGGATCGGAACGATGAAGAACCATTCAAGCAGCAAAATTAGGCTCCTCGATGGCGGCAATGACCGCCGGCCTCAGGAGCCACTGTCTGCTCTTCAATAAAGGTCCACACTGAAGCTCTCTGGCGTCATAAACCGCGAGTCCGCGAACTGCTCCCAGTACTGACCCACGCGCTCGTGCACCTTCACCAAATCCATGCCTTGAACAACATCTACGTTCCCGCGATGCACCGCGAGCAAAAACGGCTCCTGCATCTCTGCCAGATCCGGATGCGCATCCACCATCCCCTTCATAGAAATCCACGCCTCATCAAAGATATACGCACGCTGATCTCCTTCCTCACCCGCGCCGCCCGTCGGATCGGACGACCCAGTCCAATCAGGCCAAGATACGTGAATGGAGGCTTTGTTGCCCTTCTGCAGACGCCTAAGAATGCTCTCCGCGGGCTCAGCATCGCACACAGTCCACGTACCCGACGGCCGCGCATTGAGTCGCCGTATAGCGTCGCGCTCGGAGCCGTGCACTTTCACCAACCCACTCTCCTTCCATGCTTCGTCAAACGCGGGCTTGACGACCTCGTCGTGCCAGACGCGCAGGAACTTCTCGTCGCGCGAGATATCGCGCCGTAAGTGCGGAAAGACGACGAAGAGCTGGGGGTAGGAGTCTTTGGAGCCGTTGGAGGTGGAGGTGTAGGAGACGCCGAAGCACAGCGCGTGCTGGATTGCTTCGGGTGCGATGGGATGCGGACTCAAGGAGGTGAGGTGCGAGGCGATGATGTGAGCGTTATGGGGGGAGATCTTCTGGGATGTCCACGGAGTCTGCTCCCAGGTCAGGCGCTTGAAGAAGGCTAGGGAAGTAGGGAGTGCGAAGGAGAGCGAAGCGCAGGACGTGCCTAATGAGGAAGTAAAGAGAGATCCCGTGGTGGGCAGGGGTGCGGTTCCGCGCTGGTGTGCGTCGGAAGTCTTGACTAACGACATGTTGGCTTGGGTATGACGGGAAGGCGCTCTGGGAGAAATGGAGAACGCGCTGGTATTTGTAGGCGGGAAGAAGTGAGACTTGTACGATATTGTGGATGCATGGTGGAGTTTGCCATGATATGGAGAGACATGTTGGCGTAAGGTGTTGTTGAACAATGTTTTGGTGATGTGCGACATCAGTGACGGTGGTGTCTTCAAGATAACGGGCAGATCTCATCACTTAACACTGACTTACATTTGCATTGTGCATACTCAGACACTCCTGGTTAAGTGGCATATCCCTCGTGGGTAATTTGGACCTCCTCGGGGGCTTGCAAGGGGAGGTTTGTCTTGAGCCATAAGAGCAGATCCTACCTAGGTACCTAGGTAGGTATGGATGTTAAGACGTGAATCACGTGATGGGTTATTCGCGGTAATCCTGAGAGTTGAACTCCATCTTTGGCTTTGCAGAGATCCGCAAGAAACTTTCAGATCATTCAACACTCGCATTACCTAGAAATGCATGCTCGAGAAAAGTCGGGAATGTCCACGACGCTCCTGGAATGACGGTTTGGCCTGTTCTGAGAACGAGGCGGGAGTATCGAGGGAAAAGAAGGCGCGCTATTCCTGAACCAGCTAGCGCAGCCCTTATCGATAAGCTCAGGACCCTTGAAGTTCTCTTGACTCACTGACTGCAACGCAATCCACCACGCTCCTACCCGACCACAACCGCTTATTCTCCCTCTCGCCATGGCCGCGTTGTCGGGTGCTACCTCCGGGGATCTCGCCGTTCGAATTCTCCACGCCCTCGACAAATCGTCACCCCTCCTCTCCGCAGAAGCCTTCCCAGATGCCACCTTCGCCCAATTGAAATCAGCCGTCGACAGGCTGGCGTCGCGCGACATGGTCCGATATGACCCAATAGAGCGAGACGAAGCCATACTAGAACCCGAGGCTGAAGAAATAGTAGCCAATGGCAGTCATGAGGCACGCGTGTTCGAGGCGTTGCGGCAGGCTGTCGAGGGCCTCACGGTGCAAGAGCTGGAGAAGGCCATTGGGGATAAGAACGTCACCAAAGTTGGACAGGGCAAAGCTTTCAAAGAGAAGTGGATATCGAAGACGTCGGACGGAAAGTTGAAGGCACAGCGGCACTCAATCGAGGATGTCACGCAGCGGGTTCTGCAGGATATTCAGAAAACACGGACATGCTCGGACTCCAAGACGCTGGCTGATTTGAAGAAGCGAAAGCTCGTTCGGATGCAGAGGATCATCACTTTCAAAATCCAGAAGGGCGAGAAATTCGCGCTCGAGATACCCGAGGAAGCGACCGACCTCACCGCAGACATGCTCGCGTCCGGAGCGTGGAGAACGACCACTTTCAAACCGTACAACTTCCGAGCGCTGGGTGCGGACCAGCAGTCGGGCGCGCTACATCCCCTCAACAAGGTCCGCGCAGAGTTCAGGCAAATCTTCTTCGACATGGGCTTCACGGAGATGCCGACGGGCAAGTACGTGGAAACCGGTTTCTGGAATTTTGACGCTCTTTTTGTACCACAGCAGCACCCGGCACGCGACCTTCAGGATACTGTATGTTCAAGGTCCCTTGTCAGACTGGGGCGGGTTCCACTAATACGTTTTGTGCTAGTTCTACATCTCAGATCCGAAGGTCGCCGATCCGCCGCAGGACAAGGCCTACTGGGAAAACATCAAGGCGGTGCATGAGGTGCGAATCCCCATCACTAGGACTCATGAAAGGTGCTAACAACGATCGCGCACAGAACGGCAAATACGGTTCCATAGGCTACCGATACCCGTGGTCAAGCGACGAGAGTCTAAGATTAGTGTTGCGGACGCATACGACGTCCGTCAGTGCGAATCTGATGTACAAGCTTGCCTCTATGAAGGGACCCGATGGTCGCCCGCCACCAGCACGACTCTTTTCAATTGATAGGGTGTTCAGAAACGAGACTGTCGACGCTACGCATCTTGCCGAGTTCCATCAGGTTGAGGGTGTTATCGCTGATTACGGCCTGACGTTGGGCGGGCTCATGGAGGTGGGCATCCATCCCGAGTACTTGCGACGCGTTGTGAAGTACGTGACTAACCGGCACTAGTTCATGGAAACCTTCTTCGGCAAGATGGGCATCACGGATCTCAAGTTCAAGCCGGCGTATAACCCATACACCGAACCCAGCATGGAGATTTTCTCATATCGTATGTTCGTTTCCACACTTCCCCTCGTCCTCCCTTGTACGACGCTTTCTAATTCGACTGATAGACAAGGGCCTTGGCAAGCTCGTCGAAATCGGCAACAGCGGCATGTTCAGACCCGAGGTCCTAGAGCCCATGGGCCTGCCCAAGGACTTGCGCGTTTATGGGTGGGGTCTCTCGCTCGAGCGCCCGACGATGATCAAGTACGGCATCTCAAATATCCGCGAGTTGCTCGGGCACAAGGTCGATTTGCAATTTGTGCGGATCAATCCCGCTGTACGGCTAGACAAGCCTTAGGAGAGCTGGGCGAGATAGGGCAACGTAAGCTCCATGCATGTGGATATCGTCCGTTTGCGAACGCATTTGACAGATACCAAGCCGCGATAGATGAACAGACAAAAGGATTTAGCAGTGATTACTAAAATTCCACCGACATTCACATCGATATGGTTCCATTGCACCCCCACTTATGGATCACAGCTTGCTAAAAGAATTTCGCTCTAGGTCCATAGATCACCTTACTCACTCAGCCTTGCAAGTCCCCTCTTTCCGACTAGCTTCGTCTCTCGAAGTTTTATTACCAAGATCCGCCAGGGACTCCGCACAGTAAATTTAGAGAGCGCTAGAAACTTTAGTCTCTACATTTCCACTACCAATCTCCAAATCCGTTATCTTTTGCGTTTGCTTTCCGACTTTCTGATGAACAAACCAAACCGCAAAAGAGGGAATACATCCCACCAGAATAATCGCAGCATACTCAGCCATGGCCCAAATCCCAACAAAGGCAACGTGGTATATCATATCCAAAGTAGGATCGAGAAACGGGACGCGGTAGTATAAGGTGGCTGTCGCAGTTGATATGCCACTACGGAACAAGTCAGTTCACACCCATACACGCTCATAGAGAATATCGGAACGTGTTCGATAGGCTTTCCACCTCTCCCCCTGATTCGCGAAGTACGAAGGATGGCGACTTACAACAAAGCCACAACATTAATCAGACCCAGCCCCAGCCAGCCACCAAGTTGACTCGAACCGGCGATCACAATCAACCACATCAGCAAAGCATACAACATCAAATTCGTCAGCAGCCCGAAGCCGGCCACCGCGACCGTTAACCACGTCGAATTGCTGCACATGGGGTGGACTGACTGGTCCCACAAGCCCTTGCGCGGTACGTACTGGAAGGCGAATTGGAAAATGCAGGAGAAGTAGTAGCCAAATATGGTGACTCCGGTTGGATAGATCAGCTATTTCATCTGGTTTTTGGGGTTCCTTGGGAGAGGGAGTGCCGGCGGAGCTGGAGCAGCAGTGAGAATTTGGCGGTGCCCAGCATTGAGCCGTAGAGTGTCGCAGATGTTGAGATACTGCAACAGTCAGGGAGCATTTGGAGAGGGATCAGGAAATCTGTGGTAGCCATGGCGTACAGGGAGGGGAGTGGGCATGCAGGTAGAAGACACAGGAAGATGCCGCTAGCCAGTACTTATGCGAAGTAAGGCGAAGTAAGGCGGTGCTGCCTCATATTTGGTGTCGTCGCGAGACAGACGTCGGGATCACGACGCAGTTGTCATCTAATCTGCCGAGACTGTCTCGGCAAGGCGAGTAGTGAGAAACGGCGGGGAGTACGGCTGACGGTTCCGCGACCAACGGCCCCTCCTAGCAGGTGAGACCAACACCTCGCCGCTAGGCTCCCGCGCACCTACCACGGACTACTCCTCTTCTCTCCCGTACCAAAGCTATCACCAAATCACCATGGCAGACAAACGCCCTTTCTTCGTCATCGTCCCGGGCGCCTCGCAGAACCCCGCCCAGTACGGCTACCTGAGCCATCTCCTCCAGCTCGCGGGGTATCCTGTCTTCTCGGCGCTCCTCCCCTCTGTCGGAGCCACGGGAAACGTCTCCGTTGACGACGACAGCGAGTACGTCCGAAACAGCATGCTCATTCCCGTCCTCGACCACGAAGAACATGATGTGATCATCATCATGCACTCCTACAGCAGCGTGCCTGGCAGCGCTGCCGCAAAGGGTCTGGGAAAAGCAGAGCGCGCTGCCCAAGGCAAGAAGACGAGCGTCATTGGGCAGATCTATCTGGCTGCCCTCCTCCCGAAGGGTGGCGATGGCAAGGATATCGTGGGAGCCTTTGGCGGCCAGTATCCACCGCATATTCGACCCGATGTGAGCTTCTCCATTCTCAAGCCCGCTAATTCCCATGTATTGCTCTCGCTAGAAGCTAACATATCCTGCGCAGCCCGCAGCAAACCTCCTTCGTTGTGACGACCGCATCCCGCCGCTCTTCCAAGATGTCCCTGCAGACTTGGCGGACGCAGCAGCCGTCTCCGCCATGGCCCAGGGCATGACTTCCTTCACTTCTCCGTGCCCGCGCGCCACGTGGGACAGCGACGAGTACAAGGGACGCGTGGCCTTTATCCGGACCTTGAACGATGCTTGCATCCCTCTGCCGGTCCAGCAGATGATGATCGAGGGTACTGGCGTTGATTGGATTGTCAAAGACATCGAGAGCGGCCATTCCCCGCAGATCTCACAGCCCGAGAAACTGACGGCCATGTTGGTGGACTTGGCGAAGGGCTTTTGAGACGCTTTGAGGGAGGTGAACGAAAACCTTCCGGCGGCTAAGGTAAAGGACTGCACTTTCCTTCGAAGGTCTTTCCTTCGAGGGTCTTTCCACATGTACACTCCTCGGGTTCTCACGAAATAAGTCTTTTGGGACACTATCAATGGTCAGTGCAGTGGCCGGTGGCTCCGGCCATCGTTAGGATCCCCTACTAGCTAGAGAGGATGGTGTAGGTGGTTGGCGACTACACCTGGGGCTTGCTCGACGGAAACCCCACCGTCGCCGCAGCAAGCGTAGGTTCGAATCCTGCTCCTCTCTCAACTTTCGCCTTTAACGCTGCAGAATTTTCGTTGCTGGACAAGGATCCTTCTTTAAAAAGGCAAAGATAGACATGCAGATTGATATGATGAGGGGTAGCGACCTACTCCTTATGCAGTTTCAAATTTGAAGAACAAAGGCAAAAAGAGGGAGGTTTTTATTACTTTGCGTGGTTTTCCTTCATCTGCCCTGCAGAAGAAAATTGTGGAATAGTTGCATAGCTCTTAGAGCTAGGTCAATTCAATGATTTCAAGCCAAACCAAGCCCTAGTAGCTAGTCTAGCCAGAGCAATACAATCCACTCACACCGGATACAGTAGCATCTCTTTTCAGACACTTCTTTGTGAATAGCTCAGCAAGAGTGATCAAGTGATCACTTGTGCCTTCTCCCCTTTGCTGAAAATATGTAAGTAAACGCGCAAAGTCTTGAGAAATATGGCGAGTTCAACTCTATATATCTATAAAGAAGTTGTTTGGCAATTACAAGCCAATAAGCTGTATACACACTTTTCCTACAGGACGTGCTTTGAAGAGTTACACAGACAGGAGGAAGAAGAAGGAAAGATCCTCACGTAGCCGTAATCAAGTACTTACCAGCACACAGACAAATAAGAAAGCCTTCCGACAGTCACCAATCACAGAAATAACATACCCATTCAGACGACCATACTCTGCGCACTTCTTTGCCTCTCTCCGTCCCTACTTCATCCAACTCCCTAAGTTCCCACGCTGGCGTCCCCGCGGTTGCCGAAGGGCAGCCTCTAGGTTTGTGTTTACAGCCACGTTTGGATTGTCCCAGACGTACGAAAGCGCTATAAAGCCAATCTCGACATTGTCAAATAAGCCGGTCTATAAGCGCGACGTTGGACGACGCTCTTTTTCAAGAATGCGTATCTGCGCTGCGCGCGAAGCACCTAATGGCCGTTATAACTCCTCGTCTTGTGTCGAAAAGTTCGCAATGTCCGACATTATAGGTGAGCTGCAAACCTTGGAAGCCAGGAAAAGTAGTCCATATTTACAAACGCTTCAGCTGAAATGCAGGATTCAATGACCGGTCTCCATATGGCTGGGGAAAGCGACGTGACTTAAAGAATGCGACGACCTAGAACAAGGCAGAGGACTTGAAGCAGTGATCAATCTGTGGAGGCGGGTCTTCGTAAGTCTTGCATATCGAGTCGGGAGGGTCATTCTAGGTCGGGAGCTTGGTGCGGCCGAACTATGACATGGCGACTTAGGGATTAGGTGGCAGCTGAGATAAAGCAGTCCTGTTCATTATAGGCTGCATATTGCCGGATACGCGGCGGAATGCTGTAGCAGCACTTCGCCTTGGTTGATACTATCGGATTCGATAAGAGGGCGGCTGAGAATCCAGGCCACGACAGACAATAACTTTGGGTTGGCGGTCTTTCTTGCAGCAAGTTGTTACTGAACTGTAACTGCAATCACGCTATTCGTTATCTCCAACAGTATTTCCGTCGCTTCTGACCGCTAGCCCTGAGTGAATAAAACAATGACGCTCCTCGGCTGCGCACATACTGGTGACATGGCCTATGATGAAGATCGATCTCGTTCGGCGCTTAGCAGCTATAGTGTCTATATCATATGTTAAACGGATAGAGACGTTGTCACGAAGGTAATTTATCGAGCTCACACGGATATCGCTAGAATGCTGGTGTTAGACGGGGCAACCTTCTATACGCGCTGTATCCTCTTACGAGTATCCGTCTCCGTTCGTTGCAGCATCGTCCGAGGCAAACCACGATGTCAAATTCTTAAGAAGGCTGCTCAGTGCTTGAAGCTGCCGAGGCGGGAAGGGTGATGGAGGAAGTTTTCATGATAGCTGCGGTTGCCATGCCATTTGCGACTAGATGAACCTGTTTAACCGAATGGGCGTAGAATTGTTCCGACTTGATTGTGAACGACTAGAAGTGCCATAATATTAGAGGTTTTACTATATATCTTAAATTCAAGCCCTTAAAAGCGATGCTTCCCGGAGCCTCGGCGAGAAGTAAAATCCTAGGTCCTTGAATTCCCACTCCTGGTGCGTGATACACAGTTCGTTGTCAATAAAGTTGGTGTTGGGGCCGGAGGCTGATCTTCATATATCTATCCACATCAGCGCCACCGACCATCATTCCCATAGAATACACATACGCTTGCCACTAGAGGGTGAACGGGCAGGAATGGTGCATGTTCATCTTTCAAAATATGAAGATATACCTGACTAGGGCGAATCTTTGATGCTCGGCTTGATTCCTCGCATAGGCTAGACATGCTCTTTCCTGGAGAATGGCCACGTTGTTGGGCAAGTCCTTGCTCTCTGTCATGTGCTCTTCTAGTGGCGCTACTGCTGCCCATTATGCCAGGAGATTGTCTGCAACGGGGATTTAATGATAGCGTCTCAAATTGCTGCGGTCTGCCGCAGGTATTAAGCAGATGTTCATGACAATAAACTACACTCTGTTTCGTGTGTCACACTACGCAACCTCTGGAAGAGCCGATTGATTACTGTCAATTGATACTTGAATGGCCCTTACTAGATGTTCCGGCGAATGCGCGCATGGGCTAGCCACGTACAGCTCTCTAACACGCGTGGAATTTCGAGGACGGAAACATCTCCGTAGAAATGGTCGTTATTCCCATGATCCGGCCTGTGGTACTGTACGCGGTAACGTAACTCGATTGAATCTCTCAGTTGTGAGGCCTTCGCGGAGGGACGTCAGTGGTCTGGAAACTGATCCCATGGTTTAATGGTGTCGCCTAACGGAGATAGGCTCATCTCATTGTGAAATTCTCTCTCATCCGACTGAAGCCGGGCCAGTACTGTTCGACGGTCGCCATTGAGGTTAAACTCCCCATCGCGAATCATGAGCACTGGACCGGGTAACAAACTCATCTCCACGGCTCGATGAAGAGCCACAAGCATCCCATCGGCGTTGATACCGAGGAACTTGTGTTGACTAGAGGTCACGATGTCTTCTCCGCGCGGACTTCCACTGCAGATTGTGCACACTTGTCGCGTCAAGGACACGTGGTCCAGAAGTAGAGCACGCAATAACGCGGGGAGGAGCTTCGGAGGAGCTGTCTCGGGGATCCAGTCGATCAGGGCACCAAAGTATACTATGGCAGAAACCCGAACACGAAGGTATCTACTCTATAGCATCTTATGGTGGTCTGCCCAATCCGTAAAGGCCAGTGTTGATGCAATGTAAGCTATCCCCTGGATGGCGAATAGGACGTTGCAGCGAACGCAAAATGAGGGTCGATACGTGATCTCAATGGGCCGTAGAAGTTTATGGCGGCACAGGAGCGTCCCTTCCATATAGGTGACCATCCGCGAAAATATATCCAGACCAACCATCTCTACCGAGTCACCTTTTCCAGCTCTTTCTGTTCTGAAATATGATCTTTCCTCCAGTTGGCAATTCGATTGAAATTTCCCGGCAGACCGAGTAACATGAGTGTACGGTCTAGCGCAGTCGAGATCATATCCATATTGTAACCAAAGTAACAGCCTCCAGGGTCTACTCCAGTGAGAGCCATGCGAAACTGAATAAGCTCGTGAGAAACGGTGTAGAAGCCGCGCTAGAATGGACGGTATGCGCTTTTCCATCTAGACCAACTATCCAAATCGGAAGGCGCAAAACAACCCAGCTGTAGACCATGACCCAAGCAGCGCCTTGTATTCCATGATATACCAACACAGGTTTATGCTGGTCCCATTCCCTGGAGATGTTGCTGAGGATCACGATCAACTCGGCCATTGTATCCGGCTCGGGAAATGCACTGGTCGTAGAAGAAAACATCAGGTCATGCAAGAATTGAGCTAACATTCGTTAGTGTGCCTCCGCGAGTCGACCCTTGAAGTCCATTCTTCTCGCCAAAGGCAGGCACAGAGAACGGAGTCGTTCAAGCTGACCGAGGCTGGGCTTGCTATGTGACCGTGCGTTGAGCTTGTCATACAGCTCAGTGAGAACTGTGCCGAACTGGTCCTCGAACACTGAGACTGTTGCCGTGATAAGAGCGAGGACATTTTCCCCAGCCCGTGTTTTGAGTAGCTCATCCACAACGAAATTCGTGCCAGAACCATATTCCACGCCAGAATGAAGTCATCATGTGTCCCTGCGTTGCCCATCGCGCGATTCCTGCAACGCCGATCGGAATTCGACGCTCGCGGGTGCAATTTCGCCGAGAGCAAGAACGCAGGCAACGGTGTGAATGTCGATGCCGCTGAGCTGGAGGCTCTTGAGGCCGTCCATGCCAATTCTGGCGACAATGCTGACAAGTATTGGGATGTCGACGTGCCAGCTAACGCCGCCGGAGGGTTGACTAACGGGTCCAGATGAGGAATCCGGGGCCATGTTTGCGCCGGGAAAGAAACAGAATGCTGGAGAATTTGGTTCCGAAATTGCAAGGCCTCTGGAGTGGCGCAGCGTGCGATGGAGGGAGATAATGGACGACGTGACAATGCTGGATCCTAAGCAGGGCTCACTGGCGGCGCAAAAGCGAAAGGCTGCATGCTGCATGTGCAGTCACGCGGACGACATGGTATTTGGCCATTGGAGCACCCAGTTGTCGAGGCAGGCAGGGCACACTCCGTTGACATGCATTCTTGTCTGAAGTGGCAGCGCCTATTGGCTTGTGAGCAACGATTGAGCGGCGAGTCATGCCATGGATGGTCTGCCGAAGGGCATGAAAGACGGCAAAGGCAAGACAAAAAGACCAGGCGGTATGTGTTAAGTGAGATTGAATATGCTGTCTGGAGTCTGCATAGTGTACGTGGATGAGGGTTGAAGAAGTGCGAGACGATACGTGCTGTTCTTATGGTCTTCATCTTAGAACGGCCTAGCGCACAAAGATTCGGTTAACGAGCCAATCATCTTACCTAGGTAACGAACCCATCGCAACTCAATACCAGGCAGCAACGAGACTTCGATGTGTCTCATGTATATAGCCGACATGCACGTACATAGTAGTAATGTCATAAGTACAAACTAGCAGACGCCATGTATCGCTCAACCCGTTCTCAGGCGCGGCAGGCCTCACTGAAAGGAGCCACAACAGAATCCTCCACCCCTACTGCCCCCGTCTCTCACATAGTGCTAAAGGACCCCCCGACCGGTTCATCAGACATAGACATCCTCCCCTCCACATTCACACCCAAAATCACCGGCCTCTCCCGCAAATCCACCGGCCTCCTCAAGCACAAGCGGGAGAAACTGCGCATGCATAACAACCAGCTACGCCGCTTCATCTACGAAGAAGCAGCAGTCTCTGGAAACGCCAACAATGCCCCGGCCCTCATCCGCGCCGTCCAATCCGCCCTAGTCTTTGCCCAGGAAGAAGCAGGCTCCGCAGTCTGTATCTCGCCTTCCGGCCTCCTCCTCACGTGCTCGCACTGCGTAGCCGACGACGCCGCAACCGCACTCGACCCCACCACACCACCTCACTGGCTGATCTTCGCCACGGGCGAGGTGGTAAAAGCCGTCTGCGTAGCCTGGGACCCGCAGCGCGATCTCGCGCTCCTCCGCGTCATCGCCGCTGAACCACCAACACTTCCCCAGTCCCAGTTCCTGTCACACTCCCACTCCAACCCCAAAAGCATGCACCAAACCCTTACATTCCCGCACGCCAGCCTCTTCCCATCCTCACACCCCCTCCAGCCCTCCACCCCCCTCCTCTGCATCGGCCACCCGGGCAGCGAAGACCTCGAAGTCTCCAAGCCCGGCGTAGCCACCGGCTACGACGTGCTGCACATCAGCTCCGGCGCGTACCGCGGGCTAGCACTGGGGCAGGATGCGCAGGATAATTCGGAGATCGGGGCGCTGATGCACGACTGCTGGACGTACTGGGGGCACAGCGGGGCGCCGCTGCTTGAGAGGAGAACGGGGGAACTGGTCGGGTTGCATTCGAGTTGGGATGAGGAGACAGGGATGAGGAGGGGGGTGCCGGGGGAGGCTGTGAGGGCGTTTTTGGGCGAGTATACGGAAGTAAGGGTGTAGCAGTGTGTGAGGGGTGTTGCGAGATGCTGAGCCCGGGGTGGTGCGATGGTCTAGTGGTGTTAGTCGCTTGTTTGTTTGGCTTTTGCGAACTAGCGGAAAGGCGCTGCTCGAGGTGTATCCAGGGGCTGTCTGTTAGCACCAACGGTGCAGCGGAGAGGTATGGCATTGAAGGGGCTCAAATTTTACGTGGAGTTAGCCAAATTCATGTCATTCATGATCTAGTCCGTAATCATCTGATGTAATATGAGACTTAAAAAAATAATTTGGAAACACCGAAGTGGGCCCCCATATATACCTACGCCAAAGCCCCCATCCCCGAAATGCCGTGCTTCCAGAGCAGTATAAATGAGATGAGAAGTGAACATTTCGCATTCTCGACCAGTATTCAAGAAAATCCTCGCAGATAGCCAAATTACAATCCTAAGCAGGAACAAAAAGCCGCCCAACTCGTGACGGAGAAAGTAGGTCCAGGCTCGGACGTGGGACCAAAATGGCGGCATTCAAGTAAGCGTGGACATCATCGCAGCTACCAGCTTGGGATTCGGTTCTCGGCGGACTATCCAGAAAATCAACTCCATTCTTAATAGGTCGAGCGGACAAGGGCTAACCTACCCTTTCGGTCCTTGTCGACGCGGACGACCTCTCTGCGAGGCTCTCGTCGCTCGATAATTTCGTACTCGCCCTCACGCTCGTATCTCAGCATCCGCCGTTCAGCCTCCAAGGCTCGAATCTCGTTTTTGATTTCTCGATCGGAGCGCATGTCCCGCTCCGTCCGGGCGATGCGCTGGTCCTCGGGGGCAAGGACCGTCACCGGGCCGCTAACGTGGTTTGACTCTTCGATCCGTTCCTCGTAGACTTCGTGGCGGGTAGGCGACGCGCTCCGGACCGATTGAGAGTAGTGGCTCGGGGGTGGCGGAGGCGCATAATGTGAGTGATAGGAGGGCATAGCGGTAGGAGGCGGCGGGGGTGCGTGCATGACGTCTGGTGGAGGTGGTGGAGGAGGCGGTGGAGGGGCCTCTATGGCTGATCTCTTGTCCTCGTAAACGTACGTGGTTTTCTCTGAAGTTTTCATTAGCGCCGTTGCCTTAAGGTCTATTGATACAACATACGCTCTTTGTACCTCTCGCTGACCTCGATGATCTCGTCAATGTGCTCTTTCTCGAGCGCTCGGGTGACAATAATGAAGTTATCCTCTTCCTCGAACGGGTAGCCCAGCTCGATGATAGCCTGCTTCTTCGCCAAGCGCTTGGGCAGCCTGGTTTTGCCCTTCCTGCCCCAGGTGGCTCGACCAAGAGACACTTCTTCGAAGCTTGACGAGGACGAGCTCCGTAAAGACGAGGGGGCGGCGCTTCGAGCGCTTCGGGACGCTCGGCTAGGGCTTCGGCGCTTCCTCGTGGTGCTCTTTGACCTGGAAATCTCAACATCGCGGTATTCTTCTCGCCTGGGCTGACGGTCGCTATATCTCACGTCGTCAAAATCGTCTTCGTGGAAGTGGCGGGACGGCGAGCGACGGCGTCCTCGGATTGGCAGGGGGATGGGAACGTTGGCTGGCGGTCTCCATTCGTCCCCCTCCACGTCGCCGTAGCGTGGCGGAGGACGGCGGTCGAAGGTGTCGAGGGAGGATTGCCGGCGAATGTACTGTGGGCGGGCGGGCCTCCGCGGCGCGGGGTCGAAGTCTCTTTCCACGATAGATTTCCGGCGGTAGGGAGCAAGAGCGCGGTTGGCTATCTCGGATGACGTCGGCTCGTCGAAGAAGTCGGTGCGACTACGGGAGGGTCTGTCGAAGCGCTCTTCTTCCCGGAAGCGCTCGCGCTCACTGACGCGAGGGCCGCGGCGATCGTGGTCTTCGTGGAAGTCAATGTCGCGGCGACCTCCAGGAAATCGATCATGCTCCTGGAAGCGATAGTGCTCCGTGTCGTCGCCGCGGTTCTTGCGGCTCATGCGCTCGAACCTGTCACGATCCCATCGCTGGCCGCCGCCGCCGCGGGGCGGATCGTCGAACGATGGAAGGTTTCCTGTAGAAGAGCGATACATGTTCACGCGGGTGGGTGCCGGTTGGCGCGATAGGTGATGTCAGTGATGGTCGATGGGGGGCTGTCGGAACGCTGTTAGGGGAGGATAGGAACACCGAGAAGGCGCAAAGCTGGCAGCTGGGGGTTTATAACTGAGATAAAGGCGCTAGTCGGGCTAGTCGGGCTAGCGATGTGCTCTGTCTGCTCTGTGAACAGGTTGTGGTCCTACGGGCGGCAGTGGTGTGGTGGATTGCGGCCAGCTTTTGAGCGGCTGCGGCACGGCTTCGTCATCGACGCATTGTGCTGCCCTGCAGATCGCTAGGCCGTGACTCTTTGCTTTGACTGGCCCGTTTCCCCTCGGGGCTCGTTTAGGTGGCGATCCTGTCGCAGCATTTCCATATCCAAACACAACGCGAGTCTGCGCTGCGTTTTGGGCGCTGATGTTGGGCAATTGCCAGAAGCACTGCGCAGGGCAGCGGCGTCAACTGGACCACCGCGATGGGCACCGAATGTCGTCCCAGGAGGACTCTGCGGGTCGTCGGTGTTGTCCATTACTCTGCTCAGGGCATCCCTTCCGCCATCTTCTGACCGTACGAAACTGACCAGGTTGCAGAGAGGCGCTGAAGTGGTGTGACGTCAGGCGGCTGACCCAACGAGCCGTGATTGGCCGCTCGCAGGACGCCTTTCCCGTTCTGGTTTCACCGGCTTCGCCTCGCACCCGTGGACGCTTCAACACCATGCAGCATCGTGGAACGTTCTATTTGCTTGGGCGCAGACCTTGTATACTGACGGGAAGCATTTGCCGCCCAAGCGGCTGTTGGAGCCGCCAAAGAGTTGTTGCTATGTTTTTGGCGCATACATAGGAGGGCACATGCTGCGCCAGGGAGGATCTTCATAACATCCCACCCGCGAGTCGGCTTCTCTTCTATGATACAGCAGGCATACATAATACACAGCAATATACAGCACCGAATCTCACACTATCCCCACCTCAAACGGACTCCAAAACAACCCCCTCCTTATGACCAACCTCCTCTATCCCCCTCTTCACAACCTCCACATCAATCGGCATCCCCCCCTTCCCCAGCCTGCCCATCACCATCCCCGTCGCCCTTGCAACCTGCACACTGCCCTTCTTTCCCAGCTCCTCTACCACGCTCTTCACCACGCCGTCTACCTCCTCCTCGCTCACCTTCGGTATCCGCTCCGCATACTGCTTCAGCACGTCCAGCTGCCCTTGCTCCTTATCCACTAAATCCTGTCTCTTCGCTGCCTGAAATTCCTGGAGTGCGGCGCTGGAGGCTCTTATCTGTTTTTGCAGGAGCGAGTAGAGATTTGCGTCAGTGGTTATGGGCTTGCTGGTTTTGGACGCGTTCGTTATGTCGGCGAGGAGGGCGCGGAGGACGGTGAGTTGGGGCTTGTTTTTTGAGCGGAGGGCGGTTTTGAGGTCAGGTTGGAGGGTGGAGAGGATAGTGGGTTGCTGTCCTTGCGAGCGGAGAGGGGTGGTTGTGAGGAAGGTGCGGAGTTGGGGGGTGCGGAGGGTTTGGCGTGTGCGGTGAAAGAGAGACATGGTTCTAGGCAAGCTTGTTGGGATGTCTACGGGGACCTTCTTCTAGCATGATGCGCAATTGAGAATTGAAGTCGTTCGACGTACCTAGGTAGCTCACCTGGGCACGGAAAGTTTGCCTAGGTAGCTGACTAAGGCAGCTAAACGCGCCCAAGCTCGCATCCCTGCGCGCCAGGGCTTGGCGAATGAACCTTTTGTTGTCGGCCATCGCAGCGTGCACGAGAGCTCCATTCACCGGCGCAATTGGGCCTCTCCTGCCCGTGCTTCCATTATTCGCGCGCTTCTTTTCTCTTCATTACTCCGTATCCGCGCGAAGCTAATGTCTATGTTTCCTCCCGGCGCGTAACCTAGCCTCCGCCTAAACCTCTCTCACCAGGCCGCCGCGAAATACCGCCGCAACCCTCCCACCACCTCCCACCATGGCGCTCAACATGCCGCCGGCGACGCCCCAGCGGCCGGGGCCCGGCGCATTCATCAATACTCCTGCACCGGCTAGGCCTGCGCTCTTTCAGTCAGCCTCAGCGCAGCAACCAGCGCCTGCGCCGTTGGACACCCCCATACAACGCGCCGCGCGCACAATCAACAGCATGTTGGACAGGGACAATAGATTTCCAGCCCTGGAGGGGTATATCGGACGTGAGTGGCCTGGAACCGCAGTGCGTATGGTTAGGGTAGTAACATCACACAGAGGGCTTCTCCGGAGAGTACGAGCTGCCGACGAACCCAGCGTGGACGCCGTTCCAGAAGCTCAAGACGTATCAGCACCCCGAGAGCGTCTTCAACCAGGTCAACGAGATGCAGATGAACACGAAAATGGGCCTGTTCGCCGAGATCAACCACGCATACGTCTTTGTCGACAACCAGCTGTATCTGTGGGATTACACGCATCCCAACCCGGAGCTTATTGGATTTGAGGAGCAGGGGCACAATATCACCTGCGTGAAGCTGGTGAAGCCGCGGGGGAAGGTCTTCGTTGACACGATTTCGTGGCTGCTCGTGGTCGCAACCGTGGCAGAGGTATTCCTCATTGCGGTAGAATGCCAGACCGGCCCCGAGGGCGTGCACGGCGTAACACTATACCGGACAGGCCTCTCGATCTCGGTGCGAGGTATCAACGTCACCGCGATTGAGGGCTCGGCCAAGACGGGACGCATATTCTTCGGCGAGGGAAATTCGGAAGACGTATGGGAAGTGAACTATCAGCAGGAAGATAGGTGGTTCTCCAGCCGGTGCAGCAAGACGAACCATGTCTCCAAGTCCATCAGCCTGCCCACCCTGCCTTTTTACCACACCGCTAAGCGAACGGGGATCAAACAGATGGTCATGGACGACTCTCGGAACCTCCTGTATACACTATCTACGAACGGCACCATCAAGGTCTTTCATATGAGGACACCGACGACACTTGACTGTGTCATCACCCGAACGCTTAGCAACATCCGAACAATGTGCAGCCACGTCGTCCGCCAATCTGCTGTTTTAGACAAGCTGCAGCTTGTGGGCATAGACCCAATATCCGCCTCCGAAGCCGAGCACCTGTCTCTCATGGTCACTACATCAACGGGCGTTAGGTTATACTTGAGCACTACGTCCGGTGGTTGGTTGAGTGACAGCACGACCGCACCTAGCAGCATGGCTATTAGGCATATCCGTTTTCCGCCGTCTGACGGTCAATCAATCTCCCAACCCGCCATTGGTAGCCAGCTACAGCCATATCAAGGGGGCACTCCCATCGGATTCGACTCTGCCTTTTTGATGCAGACCGTCGCTGGATTTCGGTATGCGCCTGGATCGTTCTTCTGTATCGTGGAGAGGAACCCGAATGACGATCACCACACCCTCTTCGTATCAGCACCACACTCGGGTCAGCTTACCAACCAACAAGAAGTGCCTCGATATTGCGAGACTGGCCAGAGCATACAGCTTGTTGGGAAGATGCAGGATATTGGCCAGGTTTCGGAGCGCTTCTCAGCAAGGGACCAACCGACAGGGTTCGGAAATGTGCTTGCGGTGCAATTCGACAAGCCTGTCAGCGAATATGCCATCCTGACGCACTGGGGAGTCGAGACTGTGCGAAGACGGAGGCTGGTGGACATATTCGCGGCCATAATTAAATATGGCGGGGGCGCGGAGGGGGTGGATGGTGATGTCCGCAAATTCGCAAAGCAGTACGGTCTCACTGAAACGGCGTCGACAGCGCTAGCGGTAGCATGCGGTCAAGGTTCCGACGTTGGCCCGGATTCTCGGATCGCCAAAGTCACTGATCCCGAAGTTCTCGAATTCGCACGAAAAGCGTTCATTGAGTACGGCGGCAAGGCCCAGCTCACCGAAAGCGCAACTGTGGAGGGACTCAGCGTAGAAAACGTTCGCGCATCTCCACGTCATGATGGTATCGCCTTATACGTCGCTCGTCTTATCCGCTCGATTTGGGATACACCCATCATCAAGGAGGTGAAGACACCTGCTGGTCCCGCACTGCAGTCTACCCACAGAGTTTCGAAGCTTCAGGAGATACAGCGCGCTCTCATCCAATTACAAGAGTTCTTGGACACCAATAAAGCCTTCATAGACGGCCTCGCCGGACCGGAAGCCCTAGGACGAGTAGCCTCGCGGCAGGAAGAGGTGGAGCTTCAGGGCGAAAACCGGGCTTTGACGAGCTTGGTGCAGATGGTAAACAACATCATTGAGGGCATTGCATTCGCCTTGGTTCTATTCGAGGATCGCCTAGAGGATATTCTTCTGTTGCTTCCAGCGGACTCACGGCTGAGCGTCCGAAAACTCACCTTCCACGGTCTATTCGCGGTAAAAGAGGGCAAAGATCTTGCTAAGGAATTGGTGAAGGCGATCGTCAACCGCAATATTACTAAGGGTTCCAATGTGGAGACGGTTGCCGAGGCGCTCCGGAGGAAATGCGGCAGCTTCTGCAGCTCGGACGATGTGGTCATCTTCAAAGCTCAAGAGAACCTGAAGAAGGCTGCTGACGTCGGTGCGAACGCTGAGCGAGGACGGATACTGCTGAACGACAGTCTGAGGCTGTTCGAGCAGGTGGCTAAGAGCCTCAGCTCGGAGCACTTGACTGCGGCGATAGACAAGTATATCGAGCTGGAGTTCTACGCAGGTGAGTTCCTATGCTGACACTGTTCCATCCTACGCTAACAGCCCATAGGCGCCATTCGTCTCACACTTAAGGTCGCGCAGGAGCTAGATCGAGGAAACAAAGCTCTCTCTTGGATAAAAGACGGACAACCCCCTCAGGACGCACGTCAAGTGTTCTACGAGAGGCGCACAGCGTGCTACGAGCTCGTCTTCAAAGTCATAGAAGCAGTAGAGCGGGCATTTGCTGCACAGGGTGTCGTCCAACAAGATGGGATCATCTCCCAGATAACCCGCCGCAAGTATGAAGCATACGAGCAGATCAACAACTCGGACGACGAGGTTTTCCAGAACTACCTATATGACTGGTACTTGTCCAAGGGCTGGGCAGACCGCCTCCTTGAGATCAACACGCCCTATGTCATCGACTATCTGCGGAGAAGCTCTGAAACCGATATTGCTCATGCGGACCTACTGTGGCGTTACTACGCTCACTGCCACGACTACCTGAGTGCTGCAGAAGTGCAGTTCCAGCTCGCCAAGAGTCCTTTCCAATTGTCATTAGAGAAGCGGATAGAATACCTCTCGCGAGCGAAGGCAAACGCCTCCACGCGAATGACCGGCTTCTCGGAGACAGGAGTTCGGAATAGACAATCAAGGCAAGAGCTGCTGAGGAACATCAGCGATCACCTTGACATTGCCAACATCCAAGACGACATTCTGCAACAGATCAAGAGCGACGCACGACTTCAGGGCCCGCGCAGGGATGAGGTAATCAAGACTCTGGACGGGGCTATCCAGCCTCTGGATGATGTAGGTTCCTCCTTTTACGACTTCTATTCGAATATGTACTTACGTATATTCTTAGCTCTACCACATGTACGCCGACCAAGCAGGCTACTACGACATCTGCCTGCTCATCTACCACTCGGCCGACTACCGCAACCTCCCCGACGTCCGCAACACTTGGTCCAACCTCATCGACCAAGTGCACAACAAAGCAATCAGCGAAGGGCACAACGCACCCTGGGAGCTCGTAGCCTACAAAGTCGAAGACATTGGTCGCCGCGTCGCGCTCAACGAGAACGTCTTCCCCGTCAACATCGTCTTGCAGATGCTTCTACAATACGACGTATCCCAGTATACCCATGATCCTAACGGCCCGCGCATAGCAGCTAATGGCCACGAGCTGCTTCTCTGCTCGAACCTTCTTTGGCCGATCGATGTCTTCGTCAAGCTCAATGCCCCGTTCGAATTGCTGGTCGCGACGCTGGAGGCGATGTGGTATGCACAGGAGCCACCGTTTAATACACGGAGTAGCCGCAAGTTGCTCATCAAGTGGATGATTTATACGGTTGAGCAATGGGGGCAGGTGAGCAGGAGACAAGGGTTGAAGTATGGAGGGACGGAGAACGCGATTGGGCTTGCGGATTGCTTGAGGGTTGTGCTAGGCAGTGGAGAGCTAGGCGGCGGGAGGGATGGCGGGGCCGAAGAAGCTGCGTGGGTAGAGAGGGCTCGCGAGGTTAGGGAAGAGGTAGAGGAGGCGGCGCGATGAGCATAAAAGCTAAGGAGGCCACGGTAGGGCCAGCATCGAGGTGCTACGATATAAGATGTGGGTCTTTTGTTTGACGAGTGGACTCTTTCGTGCTCTCTATTCTTTCTAGCGCTTGGCGTTGTTTAGGGCATTCTTTCAGGCTGGAGTCAAAAGCATCAATTTGGAGGACTTTGTAAGTTCCGGGAGCCGCGGAGCGTGAACCGCTGCGCCGGCTGGGGGCGATGCTTAGATACGAAACGCGGTCGCGTGCCGTCCATCTCTTTTCCTGGTGCCTTTTTCTGTGCCTTTTTCTGCTGCCTTTCCCTATTGCTGTCTCCCCACTGCATGCATGGCATTCCTGCTCGCGTCTGCCTGCCACAGCTAGCCGCCCCGTCTCCCCACCGGAACTCCAGCGGAGTATTTCCCTCCCCACAGGATCGTTCTCTCAAAGCTCCTTCTTCGTAACAGGCTGCAGACCCTCCTGCCTCGCCACAATCTGATCAAGCCTCGCATAGCAATCCACAGCCATAAAGACGCCTGTGTGACACACAAATCAGCTCACTTCCACTCACCCTCCCCCATCCACATCCACATCCACATCCCCGCCCAGCTCAAAATTCAAACTGAAATTGAAATTGCGATAGCACTCACCAACCCCCAAATACGCCCCATACAACCCCCCCAGCCCGCTCACCCCCCGCTGCTCCGGTCCCAACTCCTCCCAACTCAGCATCTCCGCCAGACACACCAGCGTCGTAATACTCGTCTCGAGGCCGAACACGAGCAGCGCGAGCGGGACGCGCGGGTCGGCGCGTAGGAGTGCGGGGATGGCCCATAGGGTGAGGGGCAGGTGGTAGAGGGCTTCGAGGAGGGTGAAGAGAGGGAACCAAGGGCTTTTGCGAGGGGGGTTAGTGTTGATTGGCGCGGGGGGGAGGGAGGGGGAAGGGGGATAGCAGGGAGAGGAGGCTTACGGGGGCGAGAAGAAGAAGCGGTCGCCGTAGGTGGCGATGTACCAGGTGCGGATGGAGGACATCCAGAGGGGTTTTAGGGAGGCAGGGTAGTAGGACGTTAGGTCGAAGGCTGGGGTTGGGTTAGTCGATTGGGTGCATGGAGCGTGGCAGAGTGTGGGGACTGAGAGATGGGGTGGATAGTGGAGAGTGGGTGGGTGGAGAGAAAGGTAAGAGTGGGTTGATGTGTGGAAAGTGGCTCTTTCCCGCCGCTAACCCCCTCTTCCCTCCAGTTCCCTACAAGTCGTACTCCCCCCAAAAACACTCCGCGCGCGAATCTCGCACACGCAGAAACCGCAGAAACCGCAGAAACCTCCGTGTAAACAAACAACAAAAACAAGCAGCAGCCCTGTATACTTACCAAGCATAACTGGCAAATGCGTCAAAAAGAAAACAAGATACACCAGGTCACGCTTCCTACTCCAGATAGAAGAAGCTGCCATGATAGCCGATATTTTATTGATGTTGTTATCTTTTTGGTAGTTTGTGGTGATGTTGTTGCAGTTGAGATGGAGGAAAAGGAGGCCGAGATTAGGACCTCGGGAAAAGTGGGTCCTTTACCTGAACGCGTGGTCCGTGCACGCACGTGGGGGTCTCGCGGCGAGCCCTTGCAAAACACCGGAGATCAGCATCAGCGGTGTAGCGGTGCGATCAAACAATGTGGGTCTACTCCGGGGCCGGGGTTCATCATGGCGTCACAGGTACCAACTTGCAACTGGTGGGGAAAATTGAAAGTAAAAATGCAGTATGCCACCCGTTTTGAGCCTGGTCCTCGTTCCACATCGCACACGTCCCTTCCCTCCTTCTACCTGCTTACCACCATCCCCAGTGCCCCCTACCATGCCCCGAAGCTCAAACAAGCAGATCAAATCAAATACCATCTTCCCCCAATACGCATACCATGACCTCCCCAAAGAGCACATTATGACAACCACCCTGGGGTATAAAGTGTCCAAAAATCATCCTTGCCTCCACATCAACAACATCAAAGAAATGACTGGATGAAGAAAGCCCAACCGTATATGTACACAGGTAGAGATATGATAGCAATCGCCCGCTCAAATCGCTCAAGAACCGGAAAGGACAGGAAAAAGCCAGGGGTAATGATAAGAAGAGAGATGCCGTATCCTCGTAGAAAACATGGTTCGCCAATCTGAGTGTCTGGAAAATGTGAAGGTAAAACCCGCGCCGAAGCGCCTTAAGGGAATAGGAAAGTACTGGGTCGCCGTTCGAGCTTACATGCTGCCTGCGCCAGGGACGAGCATTTCGATGCACTTGGTCAGCAAGTTGCTCGCCTCGTGCAGGAGCTCCCACCTCGTCTTCTTGAACATGTCGCGCATGAGGATGAGAAGGCCAAGGCAGGCGTTCCGATCGGGCATCTTCGCAAGATCATCGGGCGCGCGAACACCGCCCACTCTTTGGAGGAAGCGGACCATATCCGTGACTTTGTCTTCGTACTTAGTCAACACGTAAGGTGACTTGACGGCTCCATCGAGTGCATAGCCGTACGACCATACTATAAGAGTGGCGAAATACAACACCCATGGTCGGTTGAGCAGGAAGTCGTCGCGAGCAGAGTAATTGAAGCCTGTTGAAGGCGAGCCATGTTCGTCTGGGAGCATGACGTTAGACAAGAAGCGGAGGGCATAGAAGGTTGCGTCTCGTGCCCTTGCCGTCGGTGCCCAGTGTTCCTTCATCCGTCGTTGAGCCCCGTTGTAGTCCTGAGGGGTGATCGACCTTCCAAGCAATCTGGTAGCGCCAGCGTAGATCTGGCAATCAACTATATCAACATGCATGGCCATATGGGCAAGGTGGTGGAGGACAGTGCGCGACTCAAAGACGTTCTCGTCGTCCATTCCGTTGGAGTAGCCGTACGCATTCGGTGCAGAGAGGTCGCTCGGTCGGGCAAGCGAGGTATCGAAATCCTGTTTCCAAAAGTCGAAAGCGCGCGTCAGTGAGCCTCGCCATTTATCACGTCCACCCAGTGCTTGAGATACTCCGAGTGAGCTAACTTGCAGGTCTCGCTGGTTCATATGCCAAGACACGCTTAGTAGTCCGGCCATTAGGATGGTCCGCCCAAAGGAGTTGGTCCTCACGGTTTGCCCATTCAATGTCTTCTTAAGACCGTCAAGGAAAGTCGTCTGCTTGATACCGTTGGCGTGCAAGCTTGCCTCGACCCGGCCGACTTCGGAGCTGCTTGTAGCGGACCAAAGCGCCTCATCGCAGGGCAGCGGTAGGCGCATCTCATGGGCGACCATGACTGCGCTGTGCCCGAACATGGTCGCGTGTATACTGTCCATGACGAATGCTGCAAAAGCGGCTCTTCTTGTTGCCTCGTTCGTGATCCAATGATTCCACCACTCATCTGGGGTATTCACAGGGCCATTAGGCTTGGCATCCTTGACGCTGGGCGGCGAGTCCATGGCGGACCTACCGATCAACGAGCTACCTCTCCGCATCAGCGTTAGAGTGGTGGCATGATGGATATGCGCTCGCTCGTGCAGCGGCCGCGTAGAGTACATCTTCTCGAACACTTCGAGGAGGAGCAGGGCCTGGAAGACCCACAACTTCGCCGGTGGACGAAAGTCTGCATCCATGAATATCTCCCAACGAAGATGCCAGGCAAGGAAATTGGAGAGCTGACTGCACGCTTGGGTGATTTCGTGTCCATGGCTCTTCTCCAAGCACGATGCGCCAAGGCACATGATGCACAACAAGAGAAGATCCGGACAAGATGTAGCGTTGAACGTCGGCTTGTGCAGAATTGGAAGCTGTGGGTGGAAGTGCACCCAATAAGAGCTGATGTAGGTCTGCATCATATGCAGACTCAGAACGTGATGGTCATCGTCCTTGTTGCCCTCCAGAATGTCTTCCTTTTGCTTCTTCACCGGCGCGTGGTCGGTCTCGTTGAAGCGGCCGATGATTAGGTCCAGCAGGTCTTTGCGCTTCTCCTCGGAAAGCACGGATTCGGGAAGGGTGGTGTCCAGGATACTGTTAACAGCCATCGGGTGCGCCGGAGGTGCCGGATTATTGAAATAACCTGCTACAGATGGATCGTAATTGAAATATGGCGCCTGAAGGCCGATTTGCGAGGATGCACCAGCTGCGGAACTCGTGCTCCCAGAGCCGGCGGGGTAGCCCATCGGTGACGCGCCCGGACCAAAGTTGGAGTCATTGAACAGCCACGCAGCAAAGTCATCAGCCATGGCAAACGGCGAGCGGCTGTAGCCTTCGCCGCCAAACATGGGAATGGCGTAGGAGGGTGTTTGATCCAGCATGGCTTCGGACACTCCGTTCATCCTTGTGTCAATCTGGGAGGTGGATTCTACACCATTCATGGGCGTTTGTCCAGAGGTGCCATTATAGTATTGATTCTCTTGATCCCTCGACACCGGGGTGCCTGATTGCTGAGGATATTCTGGTGGCGGCAAAGACGATAGGGGAGGGAAATTCTGCTGTGCCTGGTACCCACTGTTGGGATTGGCTTGATACGAAGCCGACGTCGCCGACGGCGGATAAGACTGCGACGGCGTCGCGGCAGAGTTGTATGGCGAGCTCGAACCGTACGACGACAGGTTCGAAGTCTGCGCGCGTAATTCCGGCCGCTGGAAATTATTTCCATTGCCCAGATGTGGGGAGCTATTGAGCGGCGGCCGTCCGCTTCCGAAGTTGCTGAGGCTGGAAGGGCGGGGTGGGGGTGCAAAGTTCCCAGCGCCCTGGGCCTGCATATCGTAAGGCGGCTGGGTCTCGCGATACGATTCGTCACTCCCTGCCCTATTCAGCGAATCTTGCCTGGCCATGTTGGATGCAGGCGAATGGAAATTTGGCGGCGATATTTGCGTTCCTGGGGTCGACGCATTTGGGACTGCGGACGCAGGGGACTGTAGCCCAAACGATCGCTGCGAGCCTCCTTGCTGTACCTGTGGCAAGTTAGCAGAGCGTCGGCAGTGGGATCTAGGGCTGCCTTTACGGGAGAGTCTTTCATGGGACCTAACTTGTTGGCCGTCCCGCTCTTGTTCGCCATGGCCGCAGTCACGATGGGATTGAGGTTCTGCATGAAGGTGTCCTTGCGCAGCAGCTGCGAGCCGCGCGCAGTATGTCTCTCCTTGTGCCGCGCACACAAGTCTTGTCGGACGAAGGATCGGTGGCAGTCTGGGAAGTCGCAGTGGTATATTTGCTTTGGGTTGTCTGCAGTGTTGTTGTTAGCGCTCGATCCGACCTCAGCGGTGACTGGAGTTGAGGTGCGGCCCGGCGACGGTCGAGTTGTGATCTGTGGTGGTGCAATGTGTGAGCGGCGCAGTGACTTACGGTTCAACTGGTGCCGGTAGAGATGCTCTGCTCGCGAGTAGCTCTTGCCGCAGCCCTCGTGCGGACACTCAAACTTCTTGTCCAGCCCCTTCCTGCTTCTCCTCCGCTTCCGCGAGGAGCCTGTGGCCTCGCCACCGTCGTTGCCCTCGCCATTGTGGTCTCCATCGGCCTCCTCGCGCTCGCGCCGGCGTCCTCTGTTGTCGTCGCGGTCGGGAGATGCGGGGGTGGGCGGCTCGACGGCGCCGCTGGTGGTGTCCATCTTCTGGGGGAACTCAGTCTGGATCTTGCCAAAGTCCGGCGCGTGCCCTGCATGCATTGACAGAATTTGAGCCGTCATCGCCGGTAGGCAGGGCGGGCGTTGGGTGCAGCAGCGGTGCGTGTCGCTAGGGAGAGTGCTAGGGCTGTGTTTGTGTCGCCGGGGTGGCGGGGGGTGCTCGCGTGTGAGGTTACGGCAAGTGAGGTTGGTGTTAGTCAAGACGGGCGGTTGAAGGCTCGGAGGTCGGCGCGCATGCTCAGCGTTCGAGATCACGGCTCAGGCTGGTTGCACGGCACCCCCCGTAAAGAACAGTGAGGCGACGGCGATCAAGCAGCGGCTGGGAGGGCACGAGTGGGACGATCACGGGACTAGTTTGAGGGATGCAGCCGCAGAAGTGTTGCTTGGGCGGAGGCGAGCTGCTGGCGACGGCGACGGCGACGACGACGACCGACGACGATGGTTTGGGCTGGTCTTGACGGGGCGGGCAGGGCGTGGAGGGGTGCGGATGGGATTACTGTAAATCGCTCGGAGTGCTCCGCTGCCAGATGACCTGCAGCAGGCGCGCGCTCACTGGCTGCGGAGGCGAGACTGGCGAGGAACGTGGAGCTGGCGGTCCGCTGGGGTCCGTCGGGACGCTCGAGGATGGACTGACGACTGGGCCAGATTGGGGCAGACGTGGGGAAGAGCGACAGAGGGCGTGCGGGCGGACGAGGATGGGGGTGGGAGCGGGCGTGGATATGAGAGAGGCCGGAGGCGGCGGGAAGACGCGCGAGAGGGAGCGTGCAGCGTCGGGCTCGGTGGAGCAGCAGGCGTGCGACGTGATCTCCCGCAGTTGCCGCGCCGATAAGATTTGTGCTTCGGGCTGAGAGCGACGGGCAAAATGCATGCCCTCTGCGCTCGCATTCGCAGCCAGCCGGCGCAAAAGAGGGGTCGGGTGGGCTGGAGGCTGCTGCGCCGGCGGGCCACCTGCCAAATGACGGCGCCCTGCCCGTCAGCAATAAACGTGCACCATACCTAGGCAAGAGGCATTCTGAGGGAGCTTCGAGGCGCGACGACGCGCTGCACGAGCAGACGCAAGCACTCCGAGCACCTGCAGCAGCCCTCTGGAAGTGTGGAGAAGCGACGCCTGAGGCTCGGCGTGGGGGGCCCGGCGCTGCGTGGGGGTCCGCCGCAGCACAATATCTTGCGTAAATAGTCCACCACCACTCCCAGGCGCTCGACGCGTATGGCTGGCGGGGCACAACGAGATACTGTATCACCAACCTGTGCCTGTCCTGCACAGGGCTGCAGCAACGTCCACTAACGCGCCCTCCCAATCTCTGCGCGCAAGGAGCCCGGGAAGCCTCGAACCACTCCCGCCGGCAGCGCCCTCACCAGTCTGCCATCGCCGTCTGCCCCAATAACAGTCATGCCCTCAGTGAGTCGCACTAGCGCGGCTAGAGCGTCACGTCCGGCCCCTAGCTGCCTAGGGCATTGATTCCCTAGCCTCCTCCTGCTTTCCTTCTCGTCCAAGTTATCTCCTCTTCCATTACTTCCGCTCGACTCCCATCACTAAATACCATCACCTCATCGCACGTGCCGCCCTCTATTCACGCCTCTCCATTGGCTCCGGCCCGCCTCTTTTGCTGGTCCTCAAGCCGCTTACGGCCCGTGCTACGCCCGGCGTCCCGCCTCTCCAATCACGCCCGCTTACCCCAGATCCAGGAGGGGGCACGCATCACGCGTTCGAGCAGGACAAGCCAAGGCCCTGTTATTGTGGCGCTCTGCATTCGTTGCAGGCATGCCGAACATGCAGCGGCCAATCGAGCGCCCGAGAAAGGTCACTTTTCTTTTCGCTATCCGAAGGCGGACCCAGTATGAAGCCTTCTTCCTGGATGACACGTCTGCTGGCGAAAGCCAAAACTGAAATCGAAGGATGATGAAAACTTTTACTGACCACCTGGGCACACGTAAGTGTAGGGGTAGCCTGTCGTACGCAGCGGTCAAAACAAACGCCCCAGATGCCACTCGCGTGTCTCGAGTCCACATGCCAAGCAGGCTTGCAACACGCAATTCACGCTCCTCGGCCCCTTAAACTGATCGCACAGCGCCTCTGTCCCGACCTCAAGGAGTCAAAATGTCCCCGGTCCAAGGTCTCGGGGGCGCAGTCTACGCCTCAGCTCGGCATCATCGCTCCCTGGCCCTGGCAGAGATCAAGATTGACCGCCGCTCACCAACTGTTGCTTTTTCGCTAGCGAATGCCATGTTTCATTTTTTCTTTTATTGCGCCGCAACCAGCTTCCGAGGAACGTCCCTCAGGATAGGCATTCGTAGGCGGCCGCTTGGATGCTAAGATAAATCGTGGCTCAGGTCGCCCTGCGATTGGGTGCCGCGCTGCAATTAGTAATCTGATGGACGCATAAGATCGTGCAAAAAGATATTCGCCTTTCCAGGAGCACGCGACCAGAAAATTAGAGACGCTTAGTGACGTGGGATATGCCCCAAGTACGGAGTACCTGCAGTCCTCTTTGGAATTGTCCTGTTTCGAAAGAGGGCTTTAGCGAAAGACCAGAAAGATGTTGAGTGCGGTCTGAGAGCCGCCAATATTACTCTTTTCGGCTGTGCCTGAAGGACAACAGACTGCATGGTATCTCGCATAATCCGAAACTCAACGCGCAGATAATGTCCGCCCAATGCTCCCCCCGGGCCTAAATATTAGAATTACTGCCTTTAACACTGTCCCATTAAGGTTACAAAGCTGCGTCTGTGCATGCAGCTACTCGCTTTCGGCGGACTTATCTGGATCTGCAGTAGCCTCGTCCTTCTCCGCCTTCTCCGGATCGGCCGGGCCTGATTTCTCCTCCGCCTCTGGCTCGACTTCCTCCGCGGTCTTCTCGTCAGGAACCGCTACTTCTGCAGTAGCGCTCTCCGCGGCTGCGTCGGCCTCTTTGCCGTCTTTCTCGGGCTCAGAATGGTCCTCGCTAGCACTTTGCTTTTCAGGTTCGCCAGCATCTTGGGAGGCTTCGGCAGCCGCAGGCTCGGCTTCGTCTGTAGATTCGGCTTCTTCGCTTATCTTCGGCTCCTCTGGTGGTGAGGTATCTTCGGCAGGGGTATCTGAGATCTCAGATGCCAGGTCCATGTGAGAAGCAGGGGTAGGAGGTTCTTCCTTGGCTGAATCCTCCTCCTGCGCCTCTTCTTCATTCTCCTCCACGACTGTGGAGACAGACGTGGCACCTACGGACGGTGAGTGCCGATGTCGTTTCGTGGTCCCGGCTGTCGACAGAGTATGGTCACCCCCTTCGATCACCGTGGAGTTATCCGACTCTAGCGGCCCGGGCCCAGATGGTTCCCGCTTAAGGATCAAGGGCGGGGGCATGGGCGCCGTGGCCGTGGACGGCTCTGCGCCTTCCGCTTCCGGTGGAATGGTATAATTGTCTTCAGGTATCAGGCCATACACATCGCATACGGTCTTAAACAAGATATACAATCCCGTGCGTCCTTCTACTTTCCAGAACATTTCGCGGTGCTGGAACCAGGCATGTGCGAATATTCTATACACGCGCCTGAAGATGTTGGTCAAGTTCCGTATCTGCTGGTGCTGTGTCGACTGGTCGGTGCCCATAGCTAGCCTCGACGGGAAGTTCTTCGGCGACGTCAAGGTATTCGCCGCCCAGTCCAACGTGTGGCAGCAGTAGTCAATGGCACAGCAAGACTTAGGCGGATCGTGGACGGCGCAGAGGTACTGCCATTCGGACGCGCGCATCTCCGGGCAGGTTATGGAAGAGCACGGCGGGTTGTCGGAAAATAGGGCGATGATGATGGAGTTGACCTTCTGCGTGAGGAAACGGCACAGCTCGTAAAGCCATAGCGTCTTGTCGATGTTCTCCGGTGGTTGCGCGAGCTTATGTGCCATCTCTCTGTCCACCGGTATTGTGCTGTTCGAGCCGAGGGGATGTGTGAGGAAGTTGTGAAGGGCTTTCAGATGCTCCGTCAATTGGAATGCTGAGTCTACCTGTCCGCTGGTTAGCATTGAGCCTTTCGGTCCCAAGCCTTCGTTGAGCTCGCGCAGGCGGCCTACCTCGGACAAGTCCACCAGCGGTGGGCCTTCAGCCATATCCTCCGCTTTTGTGCCAGGCCGTATCCTTCGCGATGCACCGTGGTCCAGGCTGCTGAACAGCTTCTGCTGCTCTTCCGACCCTGCGATAGGCGACTTAGGACCAAGCTGGTCTTCTGCGATCGGCGGGGGGCTGGGAAGCCGAGGAGAGCTCGATGGGGATACGGCGGATGCCATTGCAAGTCAAGCGAGCGGAGGGAGAGCGCCGTGCTTTGGCGGGGGTGGGGGACGTTGTTTGTTGTTCGATGTCGTTGCGAACCTAAGCTCTCGAATCCGCAGTTGAAGGGTACGCTAGTCCGAATACGGAATGGTGGATTTCAACACCAGGCTTTCTTCTTGTGGGTGGCCAACCATTCCGTCACTCTCAGCGCAGTCCCACATGTAACAGTGTGCCAAAATTCTCCTCCATAAGTAAGTCCCGCAGTACATTCTAATGCCCTTCGTTGCGCACGTTCCCTTTTCATCAACGTCCCAAGAGCCAGCAAAGCGGAATACCGAAGCGGAGCGTCGGAATCGGACCTCTGCCCGTACCTATATCCACCCTTGGCCCCTGGCTACAGTCTTGTTTCTGATAGCATTTTTCACGAAGCACCCTCTTCCCTCCACTTTAGCGTTCATCGACTCATCTCTAACCCTTCTACAGCCTGGGTCTGCTCACCTGCGCGCACAGTTGTTCCACCAGGATTACCCTGCAACGGCTCAACACTTGATTCGCATTCATTATGGATGCCGATTCCTCAGATGACGAAATTCCCAGTCTTATGCAACCAGAAGCAAATGTCAAAGTCGTTGCCGACCAAGATGACGAAATACCGGACCTTGTTCCTTCCGCGGACAGCGCACCGCTCAGTAAAGTGCCGATTACAATTGTGACTGGGTACCTAGGTGCTGGCAAGACGACGTTACTCAACTATATTCTCACAGAACAGCACGGAAAGAAGATAGCAGTAATCTTAAACGAGTTCGGCGATTGTAAGTTTATTTCCTGCGACGTTTACGTGTGTAATACTACCCCCGGACAAATTCTAGAAGACTGACTGTCGTGCAAAGCAATCGATATCGAAAAACAGCTTACAGTATCCGACGAAAACTCCACAGAAGCAAAACCAATACCCTTTGTCCCGTTGGCGAACGGCTGCATATGCTGCTCCGTCAAGGATGTCGGAGTCGCCGCTATCGAAAACTTGATGGAGCAGCGTGGCAAGTTTGACTACATCCTGCTCGAAACCACCGGCCTCGCAGACCCCGGAAATATCGCCCCGCTTTTCTGGCTGGATGACGGTCTAGGGAGCAGTATCTTCCTCGATGGCATAGTCACGCTCGTTGATGCTAAAAATCTGCTCAAAAGCTTGGACCAAGGCTATGGCGACGAACCCGAGAAACTCGAGGGGAGGAGACATGAACATGGCAATGAACATGGACACGACGAGCACGGCCCGCTCCTAACAACTGCACACTTGCAAATCAGCCATGCTGACGTCGTCTTGATAAACAAAGCGGACCTTGTCTCGGAAGATGAACTGAGACAGGTCACACAACGAGTACAGTCTATCAATGGCTTGGCCAAGATCAAGACTACAACAAGGAGCCAAGTCCCCGAATTAGAAGGCCTCATCCTGGATCTCCACGCTTACAATGAAGTCACCGACGCTGATTTGCAGTTCGCGGGCAAGGGACACAGCCATCTTGACCCAGTGAGTTAGCGAGCCTTATATGGATCTACCCAAACTTACTTCTTCGCCAGACTATCTCTACAAGCACTATCGTCTTCCCTGCTATAAACAATGACCAAGTGGAGCATTTCGATAGATTCCTCCGCACAATATTATGGGAAGATGCACTGCCTGACGGCAAACCACACGCCAAGTTCGAGATCCATAGGCTGAAAGGCCGCATACCTGTCAGAGACAGCAACGTCCTCCTGGTACAAGGCGTAAGGAATATCTACGACATGAATGAGGGCAAAGCAGCAGGCGAGTCAGACGCCGAAGCGAAGCTGGTCCTCATCGGAAGAGGTGTGGATCAGGAAGCTTTTCAAGAAAGCATCACAGTTACCCTAGGCTTCTGACGCTTGCAGCATGGCATTTCGATGTATTTCAATTAAAAATTATCACTCATCAAACAACTCAGACTACCGCCGTCTTTTCGGTCGCATCCGTCAAACCCTACTCGTCTCTTTCTCAGTCTCCAGATGCACAGCCTGTGCGTTGCTCTTATTGCTCTTCTTTACACTCCTCGTGCTCAACGCGCTTGCAATCGCGCAGACTCCAAATGCGATGGCGACTAGGTAGACGACCTTGAATGCACCAACATACGAAGTCTTGACTGCCAGCATTGCCGCCTGGATTGTCTCCGGGTTAATACCCGGAACTTTCGCGTACGCCGCAGGAGTATTCAGCGCAGTGGCCTTGAGGAGCGAGGTGAGCGATCCAGAGAATCCGGTATCGGCCGTCATGCGCTGCAGCGTTGGACCAATTTTCGACGCATATCGGGAAGTGTAAATCGAAACGTAAATGCTGGTTGCAACAGCACCTCCGATCAGTCTGAAGGTCGAAATCAAGCCCACCGCAACACCGATGTCGTTTTGATCGTCCAGGCCCAGACTAACCATACCGAAGCTCAACGGACTTGGTGGCAAGTTACAGGCCGAGACGATAATGACCGTAGCGATTGCTTGCGCTTTGTCGTTGATACCGATACTAGCCATGGATCCGATGAGCGCTGTTTGAGCCGTGATAAAGCCAACAAGCTGCCAGCGTTCGTGGCCGATCCATGGCATGACGGTGAGACAGTACCACCCTGCCACGATTGTACCGAAAGAAACCATGTTCGCGTACACGCCCCGGATTATGGTGTCGTTTGAATTCAGGAAGAGGAGGGTTGATTGGCGGGGCCAGAGCACGTTCATGCTGTAGTACAGCATCCCGGCGACGAAGCAGACGATAAGTAGCGCGGTGAAGTCTCGCCATTTCTTAAATAGCCTTGGCGGGAGGATCGGGTATTTGAGGTTGGCGTAAACTTCCCAGAAGGCGAGGGCGACGAAGCAGACGAAGGCTATAACGATCGGAGCAATGACGTGAGCGCTGGACCAGGGGTACGATACGCCTCCCTAACGAATTGTTAGCTGCCAAATCTTCAAATATAAGACCGTATTACCCAATTAAGCCCCAGGAGCAACAACAAACATCCAGCAGTGAACAGCCAGAGCCCGACATGATCCAGCTCTTTCACCAATTCCCATTTGCCTTTCCCATCGTCCTCATGCTTCGTTTCAAAGGTCGGAGGCCGATAAAACACCCACAGCATCACCGCCGTCGCCCCCTCCATCGCAAAGCAAAACCAATAGCAAGCCCTCCACCCAATCCCCGTATACTTCACAAACGCATACCCAATCAGCGGCCCAAAACTACTAACATGGTTCGCGAAAATCATCACTCCCAGCGTCGCAAACCGGTATCGATTCGGCACAAGCTCCTGCGCACACGCAAAACACATCTCTTGGAAGCCGCCGCCGAAGCCGAAGAGCACGCCAGCCGCGATCATCTGGGGGATGGATTGGCCAGTTGCGCCGACGAGGGCCCCGATTGCGGCGGATATAGCGCCTGTGAGCAGGAACCAGCGGCGGCCAAAGATGTCGGCGAGACGGCCCCCAACAGTCACGATGATAGCAGCACCCAGGTTCCAGCATACGGTAATCCAGGGGTATCTGGGGTCGGGACCGAGGTCGGCGTTTATGTAGGCCAGGATGGCGGCGGGCATGATGAGCGTGAAGAGGTAGGATTCGTACATCATTATGAGAGACTGGTATTGCGTTAGCGTGTTGGAGGCGAACATGTCGACGTAGAAAATGGCATACGAGAATGGCCATCTTCGTCTTGAAGGAGATCTTGGGTCGTGGCTCGTCTGTGGAGTCGGTGCTGCTGCCATGGTCGAGCGTCTTCTCGACGGCATCGACTTCTTGGATGTTCGTCTTTTCCTCGTTGAGGGCAGACATGTTGACGTTACGTCGGGCGAAACGAGCAACGCGTAAGGAAAGGGAGGAAGAAGGCAGAGATAAGAGATGAGGGGAAGAAATCCTTTCCTGCAGCTCGACAATCAGGGACACCGAACCAACCTCGCGGATCCTCTCTCCATCAAATACTCGGCGTCTTCGGGAATCCCATCGTCTATTTCCGGGTCTCTACCGAAAATTCCTAGGTTGGTGGCGCCGCTTGCGAGTCGTTCGCGAGAAACGACCCCGGGAAGGGACCAAACAAGCCCCGCCCAGCTCCACCATCCCCGGAACCTGCGGAGAGCATCACACCGTGAGCGGTTAGCGGCCGAATAGCGTTCGTGGGGTTGACAAGATGGCGCACAAAAGCGGGGTGGAAAAGTGATCCCGAGGGAGTGGGATGATTCATTAGCGAGGCGCGGGGAGAGCCGGATCTACTAGCTGCAGACAAAGGCCGACTGAAAAGGGTTCACTACTACTAGGAAACACGACAATTCTACTGTTCCAGCCCGTCATAATTGCATTTCATCGGGCGGAGAGGCGGGCCAGCGCTTAAAGCCAGTGAGCTATCTAAGGTCTGGCAAGCCTATCAATATCCAGCCGAACTGGACACAACGACCAAAGCACGTGCAAAGGTATCTCGCCTAAAACCAACCCTCAGGGAAGTTGGAAAACTGTCGCGTCACAATGAACGTCGAAGCCTATTGTAACGCCCCCTTTGGTCCGATTAAGCCTGGGCGCTGACCGCAACACTACCTTCAGGAGCCTTCGACTTCTTTTCCTCCTCTCCGCGGAGCTTGTCCTGCAGGGCCTTGAAATTCCTGGTCATCGCGTTCCTCGTGAACTCCTCGCCCGTAACCAGCGGGTACTTCTTCAACGGCCCCTGGATTCTCGCGTCCTTGCACGGCTGGTTGAAGTACGCAATGCTGTAGCGCTCACCATAGTAATCACCAGGTTCGCATGGTGCCTTGACACGGTGGAATGTCGACTTGAAGCGGTCGTCGGACCAAGACATGAGCAGATCACCTACATTGCAGACTACAGAACATATCAGCAACAGTCACGCTAATGACGCAGGATGCACAACTTACCAATGGCGTTCTTCTCAGCATCAGGCTCCACTTTAGTCCACGCATCGCCATACCCAAACGAGGTCGAGACCTCACGCCCCGGGCAGATCTCCAGCCCCGACTGCCCGGCCTTCTGGAACAACAGGGTAAGGAAGTCCCAGTCCGCATGTGCGCCAGCCCGGTGGAACACTTCGCCCGTCGGATTCGGCATCTGCGGCGTCTCAAAGTAGTGCAGCAGTCTGCAGACCGTCTGCGACTCGGGCCGGCTGACATCGTGCGCTTTGATGAAGTAGTCGTCGGCGAAGTTTAGGCCGCGGGCGAAGCACATCATGAGTTTCTCGCTAACGGTTTGGGCTTGGTGCATGAAGAAGAGGGCTTCTCGTTGGAAGCCTGGGAGTGCTGAGTCATCGAGCCATCGGCCTTAGTGTTGTTGTTAGCTATCTAGGTATGACGATGACAATATGTGATGGACGAGTGGGTACATACCGTTCATAGCCTCGCCAAACTGCATCTGATAAGACTCCTTGCGATCGACCGCGCCAGTAGACGGTCGGATCTGAGAGTTCTTCTCCCACCCAGCGTTATGCTGTGGGGAGAAGGGAACGTAAGCCTTCACATTGTCTGGCTGGTTGAAGAAGCGCGCCGATTGGTCGAAGATATTGTCGACAGACGAGCGTGGAATGCCATGGTCGACTACGCAGAAGAAGCCGACATTTTCGGCCGCGTCGACGAGTTCTTTGGTGATTTCGTCGATGCGGGCGTCGAAGTCGCGCAGGGAGATGGTGGGGACTGGGCGGTCGACGTACTTGGTGGGTGCCATGGCGAGTGCTTCTAGTTGTTGCTGGGTATAGGCCATCGTGGGGGAGAAGGTGGTTGTTCTTATACCTCGGTGGCCGCTGCGGTAGGTGTCTTCGACTTTTCTCTGATGAAGCAGGAGGCTTGACGCTCCCATCGAGGTTGCCATGCTCATCGCATGTCGACCTGAAGGCGGCCGAGGTGAGCGGCCGAGCATAAGCTGCATATGGTTGCGGATCGCAAGCCGAAGGAGGGGTTTGATATGGGGTAGCCTCTGATTGGCAGATAGGCGAGCGTGCACGGTGCACAGGGGAAAGCCGACCTCCGAGCGGATTTCAGACGGCGAACTGCGGCCGCAACACCGCCAACTCCGCCTTCTCAACCTCCACCTCGAATGTGTACCCGCCATGGATGATGATGGTTCTGGTACACTCAGGGGCCAGCGTGCCCGGCTCACGTGCACCGAGTGTCATCGTCGCAAAATGTACGTACCTAAACTTTACCCGCCGAGGGCCTTCAGGAGCAGCGTTCCCAGCCAGTAAGTGCTAAAACCTTTGCAGCAAATGCGATAAGAACATTCCTTGCGGCACTTGCATCAAAAGGTAAGGACGGATCAATCATCTAGGACATTACCACTGAGTTCAGGCAGAGGAATGGGCGATTTGTGCGGTCGCGAAGAGAATGCAGTGGCGACAGCTACACCGGCGCGCCTGCCTAGCGAATCAGCGGCTACGAATGACGCCGTCCAGACGCTGCTGCGTCGTGTAACGCAGCTCGAAGCCAGGCTACAGCAGAACCATCATTCCAGTTTGAATCAGACCCCTGAACGCACTCGAGATCGCTCGGGCCGACCAGTAACTCCCGCAGATAGAACAGTGGAAGAAACCGGCTCCCCTGCGGACGTAAATGACGGCGATGCAGCTACTGTGCTTGAGTTCTTAGCCTGGGGCCGCAGGAAGGATGTCGACTTTGCGAACGCTCCCGAACATGAAAGCGGCCCCAGGCGACATAACTTTGGCCAGGAAGACAGTGCGCCTGCCACCAACATCCTCACAGGGAGCACTAGAGGAGTGCAGCTAGACATGTACGTAGATTGCGGTACACACTCCAGCAAGTCAACCTTCAACAGCGGAGAGCTCCTCCCGAGGGCCTTCAGCAGGTAAAGCTAACACATGCTGAAGTGCAAACTATCCTCCCCTTCATCTCAGACATCTGCTAAGTATACCGCCGCGTTCGCAGGTTAGAGGCGCTGCTCCCGAGCAGAGATCACATCACCCTCCTGGTTGAGTACCACAGCAATTCTCTCCTCTGGTATCATGGATCATACTCTTCCAAAATTTTCTCAAATGATCTCAACACGTTCTTTTCTGAACACGGAGGAGATATTTGGCATGAAGAGCTCAACCTCCAATGGTTAGCACTGCTCTTTGCTATCATGACCGGGAGCATGACTTGCGCGTCTCGAGCTACATATCGCGCATGGGGCTTCTCCAATTCAGAAAAACCGACTTTATCCCTTCGATGGTATGAGGCGACGATTACATGCCTGAATATGGCTAGGTACATCGAGGTTCACACTATCTACTCCGTACAAGCGATTGCGACTTTGACCATCTCCGCTCACATCTTGGGCTATTCGAATAGCCAGTCGGTTCTCCTCGCCTCAGCAGGGCGGATAGCACAAAGCTTGGGCTTACACAGGCTCGGATCCGAGCCAGTATCAACACCTCCTGCCCAGCTTCGCAAGCGCGAAGCCGGTAGGCGCGTTTTCACCCAACTATGTACTCAAGACTGGTTCAGTATTCCTTTTTCGGAATCCTATGCGCTCAATCCTAGTTTCATCCGCACAGCCAAACCGCTGAACTGCAACGACGATGACATGAAAGTCCAGCCTCAGTCGACACCCACCCAGGCGAGCTACTGCAACTACCTCTACGATATTGCGGCCCTCATGCCGCAGTTGCTCGATGCCATGGCCCATTGCAACACCTTGCTCACCAAGTATGAGCAGGTGTTGAAGTACGACGACAAGATGCGGAAGCTTGCGACGGCATACATGCCGACCTTCTTGTTGGCGAATGCCCCTGTCGCTGCTGAGTGGCCGATATATGTGAGCTGGGCACGCCGGTCGTTGACGATATGTGCCGGTAGGTATGCTGGCGGTAGTTTGCAGTACGTACCCATGCTGACTCTAAGCCAGCACACAAAATTATCATGATGTGAGTGTCATTTAAAGAGCAACTGTTCTAAATCTAATATCCACTAGACATCGCAAGTTTGTCGGGCTGTCTTTCACCAACACAGCATTCTCGTTCACTCGCCGCACTTGTCTTGCCGCTTCCAAGACAATCCTTAAGGAGGCATTTGCGGCGATCGACGAAAACGGACCGGTTTTGTGGATAGACCAAGCCTTCTCAGTGGCAGCCGGTATCATATTGAGTCTGGATGCTTTCCACAGGACACACGGCGAGAAAGAGTTCGAAGAGCATAAGCAACTTGTCGCAGACACTATTGAGTATTTGAGAGAATTCGAGCACAGTAAGATCGCATTGCGCGGCGTCAAGTTACTGTCGTTCCTGCAGCAGGAGCTCGACAGTTCCGGACCTATCGAATCAAGAAAGAGATCCCGCCCTGCCGAAGTGATCGGCTCTTCGCAACCGAGAAAAAGGGTGCGGGCCTTCAATGTCCAGACGTTCATCAGGGATGTCTCCGAGAATCTCTGCGTCACTACGCCTGCTGCAAGATTGGATACTGAGCAGTCCAGTGATACCGTCGATAGCGCATGGGATGCATTCATGGACCTTCTTCCGCCACAAACCGGATTTGATGGACAGTTCTTGGCCGACATATTTTCGCAGACCGTTTCAACTGAGTTAAATCATGTATATTTTACCGACATGTGATTGCGAGCGCCCACACTACTTCTCTTTCGAATTCCTGCTACAGACTCTTTGGCTCTCCGGATGATATCCTCTTCGTCGATATGCATCAACATCCTATCGTCCACAAGAACGCGACCGTCAACTAGAACAGTGTCGATCCTCACTCTTGAGCTATGTATGAGCACAGTGACTGGGTCCATTCCTCCTATAGCCGCCTCAGCCACATCCCAAGGAGCAGAATACACGCCTTTTGGAGCTACGACGACCACGTCCGCCTTTTTACCGACCTCCAGACTACCGATCTCTTCCTCTAGGCCGAGCGCACGAGCCCCGTTGATGGTCGCAAATTCGAGGACTTGATATGCGCTAAGCACACCAGCGTCTTGCCGCACGCCGCAATGTAGAATAGACGCCATGTGCATCTCGCGGAACATGTCGTATGTGTTGTTGCATGGCGCGCCGTCCGTCCCCAGAGCCACGTTTACCCCCGCTGCAAGCATATCTGGTATAGGGGATACGCCGGAGCCAAGCTTGAGATTACTGGTCGGGTTATGCGATACAGTACTCTTGCTTTCCCGCAAGATATCGAAATCACCGGCGCCGGGGTCTGGATGCACGACATGCGCGAAAACACTCTTTGCGCCAGTCAATTTGGTATCCCTGCAGAACTGTAGCGGACTGCTTTGATAGTACTCGCGGTATATGGAGAGGTCTTTTGGGGCTTCTGCGCAGTGCATCGTGACACCAACATCGTACTTCCTCGCGGCTTCTCCGATTGCGGCATGAGCGGAGATGGGGGAGCCTCTAGGCGTGCCGGCAGCAAACCAAAGATGGAGTCGGTCGTTCATGGAGCCGTTGTGCTTTGCGTGAGCAGAGAGCGCGGAAGAGAGCGACATGGACGCGACATCCCGGTCCCTAGCATCCTTCAGGTTCAAATCCGCATTCGTCTCGGCTGCCTTGATCAGTTTACCCTGCCTCCTATCAGCAAAAGTCTCACCAAGATGGTAGGTGGCAGCTTACGAGACAAGCTCGGATGCCTGTTTCCTCAACAGCTCTGACGACGTTATCAAGTCCGCTCCGGTGAGTAAGCATGGCCTCCAAGAAGCAGGTCGTCCCCGTCTTCAACATCTCCGCGATCGTGAGCATAGCCGCCACGTATCCGTCTTCTTCGGCGTAGTTCGCTTCCAGAGGCCATATCGCATCGCAGAGCCAACTATGAAGGGGCAGATCTTCGGCGAGTCCTCGAAGAAGCGATTGCGCTAGGTGAGCGTGGGTGTTGACAAGCCCTGGGATGATGATCTTGTTCGCACAGTCGACGATTTCGATGCTTTGCTCCGCTGCCTGGATCCAGGGAAGGATATCGGCGGTCTTCCCAATTGCGGCGATGCGGCAGTCTTTCACGAATAGAGCACCGTCAAGAATCACTTCTCGCTCCTTGTTCACGGTCACGATAACCGCGTGTACGAAGAGGCGCGCACTTGCGTTGCATGGCCGATCCTCTGGCATCCTGGAAGCGTGGGATACTCTCGAGTGCTGTGCAAGTGAGATGGAGAAGCGCTTTGTTTGTCTATTGCATTTCAGGATAACTAAGAAATTTAGTAAGTTGGACCCTCGGCCGCTGCCGAAAGTTCCTATCTGAAGTTCCAGCCCACGACCTGCCGTAGAATCATCCCTGCGCGGCCGAGATCCGCGAAGCGATGGCTTTATCGCTCGCCGCCGATTGGTCAACGACCATCCCATAAGTAAGTTGAGGAACTCTGTATCTATCTGATTTTACTCAGGGTGCAGTGCGGGAACGGCCTATCTTCAGTAATTCGTTTCAAGTCCACCGTATATAGACCGGATGGGCTGACACGGCCTGTACTCCAAGTTATTCCCCTTTCCAGGCGCCTGGTTGCCGGAGCTTGTCGCTCCACTTAGATTCGTATCAATGTCCGCCAAAGCTATGGAGCCAACCCCGAAATCGGCTGAGACTGTCGCCTGCGCACCTTCGCTTAGCCAAGGCACGGTCACCAGTAAATGGCAAGAGACGGTTGCCGAACTGAAGTACACATTCTTGACCAAGGATGGGTGGATTGGGGACTACGTAAGTTACCCGGCATCGAACGACGGCCAGCAGGAAGAGCTAACTCACCAGGACTACCTATATCTTATCACCCCTAACATATGGCCTTTGAACAAGAAATACAAAGACTACAAGGCGCCGTTCTACGGTCTGAACGACAGAACCCCAGTCCTCCTCACCCTGTTGCTTGGCCTGCAGCATGCCCTGACTATGATCGGTTCCATTGTCTCGCCGCCTCTCGCCATTGCTTCTGGAGCATTCAACTTCGACTCGGCCGTGACGGAGTATCTCGTATCGACTGCGTTTATCGCAACCGGCATCGCGACGGCGCTTCAAGTCACACGCCTCCATATCATGAAAACGCCGTTCTTCGTCGGTACGGGCTTGCTTTCCGTTGTTGGTCCAACCTTCGACATCTTGCCCATCGTTTTCAACTACGCTGCCCTTCGATATAACACCGGTTCTTGTCCGGTTCTTGATGACGGCACCCAGGGCCCTTGCCCGGATGCATGGGGCGCGTGCTTAGGCACCATGCTCTGCTGCGTCTGGATCCAGATCGCAATGGCCTTTGTCCCACCCAAGATGCTGAACAAAGTGTTTCCCAAGCTCATTACCGGGAGCTTGCTTACCCTCGTCGGTATCTACCTGGTCGGAAACGGGCTGCAGAACTGGGGTGGAAGCTCGAACTGTCATGGCGGAGAAGGTTTCTACGCGCTTTGCCCAGACGTTTCTGCGCCGAAGCCGCTTGCATGGGGTCATCCGAAGCTGATCGGTCTTGGTTTCAGCGTTTTCGCTACCATCATCCTTGTGGAAGCCATCGGGGCGCCGCTTATGCGCTCAGCCTCGGTCATTATCGGTCTCGCCGTGGGATGCATCATCTCTGGCGCCACGGGGTACTGGTCAACAGAGCAGCTTCAACAAGCACCCGCCGGCACATTTCTCTGGGTACATACGTTCAACCTATCGGTTGATGGCGCTCTTGTGCTGCCGATGATCATCATGTTTGCCTGCCAGGCCGTGAGCTGTATCCCGGACATCCTCGCCACAGCTGAGCTTTCCGACGTCCCCATAGAGGGCACAGAGTTCAATAGCCGGATCCAAGGTGGCATTCTCTGCGACGGGCTGGGCAGCTTCTTCAGCGCACTGGCAACCGGTCCGCCCATGGTTTCACAGGCCGGGAACAACGGCGTCATTGTGCTCACGGGTTGCGCATCTCGTCGCGCAGGCTGGGCAGCAAGTGGCTTCCTCGTACTCATGGGCATAATCGCGAAACTCGGCGCTGTATTCGCCTCCATGCCACCTTCCGTCCTCGGTGGCATGCAAGTCTTCCTCTACAGCACCATCGCCGTGGCCGGTATCCGCGTGCTGGCACTCATCGCCTGGACGCGTCGCGATCGCTTCATTCTGGCCGTCGCGCTGGGCATCGGATTTATGGACATTTGCCAGCCGGATTGGTTTGCCAGCATTCTAGATTACAGTGGGCCCAATGTGAATCTTGTAGGCTTTGAACAGGGGATCAATCTTGCGGTCGAGACGCCGTTTGTTATTGCGGCGATTGTGGGCGTGTTCTTGAATGCGGTGTTGCCGCGGGATAGGGGCGAGATGCCGAGAGTGAATATGGGGTATGGTGATGAGCATAAGCATCCTGGTCTGGGACAGTAGCGGTGAGGGGCGTTAGTCAGCCAGTGCGTCTTATGAGTACACAGTATTTAAGCTGGGCGTCCGCTCTCGTGGAATGCTTTTACATCCAATCCACCGCCAAGAAATTCCATCTCTGGAATTGAGGGCAGAGCCGCTGCATGGGCTCCGCCCTTCTTTAGTTCTAACATACGCTTGACATGACCGATACTTTTCCGAGTTCGTCGAGCCCAAGCTTTGAAGTTCAATATGCACGAAAATGGTCGAAATCTCCCACATATGCCTTAGAGAAACTGCTCGGGAACCGTTCATCCTACGCATATGATATGGGAATATCGCGCGGAACGACAAAACAATGTGCTACCCCCATTCATGACTAGATTTGGGATTACCGACATCTACTCTCACCGCTAGGAATGTGGATTCGCTGAGAGAGGCCATCGTCCTGCCTTCCGCTGCCCCCACCTCACTGGTCGGAGACTCGAAAGGCTAATCTGTCAAGCCATGGTTTCTGGGATGATAATGGAATACTTGGTGGAAAATAGTCTTCGTCTCGTTACTTATCTCCATGTTTCATGTACCTTCCTTCTCGCGCGCAATGGACGATCCAGACCGTGGATGAAAGCTGCCGGCATGCATAGTTATGCTACTTCCTTTGTGGTGTCCAAATGCGCATTCGCTGCCGGGCTTATGCCAGATGGAGGAGAGGAAAGGTCGCCCTCTAGATATGCCATGGATCAGAAGTCGAACGATTCCGACAACATGGCCGCGCCGCTCCAGGCATAGGGTCGATATTCGGACTAAAATTCCCACACTGGTTCCCCTTATGACTTCTGTCGGCCGCGCAATGGGACATGGGCCTTCTCCGCGCTTCCGCTCGTCGCTACTTTCAAAATAGCATCAGCTATTTTCGGCATGATCGCTCTTTTCTACAGGAGATTGAAACGCGCTTGTGATGGCTTAGGAACCTCTGGCTTCTAGGTTACTTACCTCTGCCTTCATTGGGCCTTAGAGCCCGTCTCCTTTGCTGTACAGAAAAGCAAGTACGAACCGCCAATGTAGTGACCACGCCGCTGGGAAGACGAGTGGATGTGGATGAATCCAGGGGCCATAACAACGAAATTCGCTGGCCTATGACTTCCTTGGAGGTCGAGCGCGCCATAAATGGGAGCTTAGACTACGATAATCTCTTTAAATGTCTGGAGGCAGAGAGGCCGCACTACGGTAACGCTCCCCCCTGTATTAGGGGGAAAGTTAAGGCCCCTATTTAGGTAACTTTTCTAGGCCTATTAGAAGTATAGGCTCTATTTTCTAGGTAGCTAAAAGAGTAAGTAAAAAGCCTTAGAGTAGAGAGCTTGAAGAAATAGAGAAGCTCTATAATATAAGTAAATTATAACCTTTTAGAAGCTCTCTATATAAGAAAATAGGTAACTTACCTCTAAATATACCTAGTATAGAATACTGGCGTAAAGATATATCTACTACGCTAGATTTCTCTAAGCCAGAGAAGTCAGAATTCCTAGCGCTATGGGTTTACGCGTCCGCTCACTCGGTTCCAAAGCGACAGCCTACGACTATAGTGGGGAAGCCACGTCTGGATCTCCCTTGAAATAGAAGGACGTGTTATGGGCGAAAAAATTGTGGCTGGGCGTCCTTGTGGAGTCCTTGGGCGCCCCGCTTCTCGCCCCGCTTCTCAAACGTTGCAGAGATGTGCTGATGGGAAAAAGTGGCTGGATCTCAAATCTAGCGTCTAGCCACCTAATGTCCCGTAAAACTTGCGGATGAGGCTGAATGGAGGAAGGCCTTCGGCGTCGAAGGGGCGGAGGGCTTGCAGATGATGGGCTCGGGGCTCCCAGCTGATGTCGAATTTTCAAACGACGCACAACAAACCTTTTCAAACGGACGCGTCTGCGAAGAATGGGGACGAGACCGGAATCCCACTGGCTGATGATATTTCTCTCCTTGCACCGATCAACCGTTCTGCAGCAAGTAAAGAACATCCTGAGACATAACATCAACCACCAACACCCTCTCCATGATGCTCACCATCATACCCACCACCACCCCCTATCCCCTATCTCAACAACTTATCCACCTCCGCACCAACATCCCAAAACCCAAACTCCGCCCTACCCCCTGCTGTCCCCGGACCCCCCAAGCCCTCGTCGCCAAACGGCTCGAGCACCATATAAACGCCCTCGCCAACCTGCACGGGAGCCACCACGCTCGTCCCCGCACCCACCTCCGCGTCTGCCGGCCTGCCCACCAAGCCCAAAAACTCGGCGCTATCCCACGTCGCATCCCTACTCCTGAACACGCTAATGCCAACATTATCTTCCGCGACAAGCAAGACGGTACCGTTGTAGCGGGGCGGGAGATAAATGGCATCGGAAGCGCTGAACGAGTGGTTACCCGAAGTGATAGGGACAGGATACGGCAAGCCTTTCTCCGCGCGCATATCGAAGCGCCATATCCTGCCACTCGCGTCGCCCTGGGCGAGGAGCAGCCAGTCGAGGGCGGCGATACCGCCGATGCCCTTCTCCGTCTGCACGATGTTCTCGGGGAGATACCACGGCGTGACGGTTTTCCCGTCTTTGCTAACCTTATGGAGAGTGCCGGGCCAGGTTCCGACGACGAAGGCGTTGCCGTCGGGGTCTTGCTCTACGTCTTGGAAGCCGCCGTAGCGGCCCTGGCTCGTTTCCGTGAGGTTGAGCTTGTAGAGGAGAGATTTGGTGGCCGGGTCGAGTTTGAGAAGCCAGTTCGTGCCGGAGATGTCTTTCCCTTCGGAGGGGAAGGCGTTTGCGGCGTCGGCGATGATGGACACGAGGCAGGTCTTGCGGTCGACGCCGACGGCTCCCATGTGGAACGCTGAGTTGTGGCTGATGCCTTCGAACTCGACAATCTCATGCTTTTTGGTGTAGGGGTCGTAGATGCCGAGCGAGGCGTTCCAGAGCTGGCTACGGGGCTGTCAGCGTTGAAGTGACTTAAGGTAAGTTGGGAGGAGAGCATACCCAACATAGAGCTTGCAGGAGTTGAAGTCGAAGTCTGCGTTCTCGGGATAAAGTTGGTACTGCTTGATTGTAAAGTTGCCACTAAAGGGGGCGCATTTGGATTGACGGGGTTGAGGGAGGGCGGATGCAGCGCTCGTCAGCGCTGCTGCTGTGAGGACTGTTGCAGGGAGACGCATGTTGCTCAGTCAGGCTTAAGGAAAGCTGCTTCTAAACCGACGGAGTGATCGAGCCTTGCCATCTCCACAGTTCCACCTTTTTATCTTCCACTCCGCCTGCTCATTCTTTCGACAGGGCGTAAACTGCGCGTGTTAGCGAAGTGGTTGCTTTCATCCGACAATTGCATCCAAACAAACCCAACTAAACAGAAATTGAACATCGACCTGGGTTGTCTAGACGAACTCAGTCCTGTATGCTTGCTGAGTCCCCATACATGAAGGCGTTCTTGACCAATTACTGCAGGGCGTAATCTGCTTGGCAGGGCGTAGAAATCTGGTAAATGGAAAGTACGAACCCCTGGTGCTCCCAAGGTTATCTCATACCAGCTGCTTACCGGGGAAAAGAGGTAATCTTTACCCGCTCCAGGGATGCGGTAACCCCTACCCACGGGAAAGTGGGTTCTTAGAGAGGGTGCTCTGCTGATTTTGGAGAGTCGATAGGATCGAGAGAAAATGTGAGTACCACTGAGAGCCGATTTACAGCCAGCATCAAGCCCATATTACGTTAGAAATCAGCATAACGCCACTTTTATCGACGCGGTGTTCGAAACCCGGACGCTCTTTTGTGAATCTGTAGACTACCATCCAGGTCCAACCAGGGTTTAGCACTAGTCGAGACATGACGGTCGGAAGGGTTCTATGTGCGAGGACTCGCATCCCGAAGTCTGAATCGACGCAATATATTCTGTCCTACGCCAATGGATCGTGTCCCCGATGTGAGACACGGAATTTCGTATGCGCAGCTTACCGGATAATTCGTGATTTCCACACATGCTGATAGTCCCTGGTTCAAACATCGGATTATCCCCGCCGCAGAAATGCAATAGCCACTAAGCGATGGCAGTGGCCAAGATCTGAAGGTTAAAGGATAGCTGGGGGGGGGGTAACACTAGGAGAGGGAAGCGATCGAAGTATTTGAAGTAATTTATGCTAGGGATATCGAAGAGTCGTAGGACTCACAGCGCTATTACCTTTCCCAAACGCCTGAACCAGCCGCCGCGCGTACAGACATGTTCGCGAACCGGTAGGTGGAGAGTGCATCGCAACCGGCTCATACGCCTTCACCTTTGTGCGCCTGTGAAAACATCGCTTATAGTTCAGGCTTCGTGCCGTCCGCCCAGTTTGGCTCCTTGCCAATCTCCCGCCACATCACCAGGCGCTCCCGGAGAAGCTTGTCAGCCCATCCTCTTACCACCTCGAATTGAATCCTATGAGACACCCACGTGAACTCCCCGAGGTCCGTCTCTCCCCACTGGGATCGCTCATATTCGACCATTTGCAAGATCAACTCCACCTTGTCGATATCATGGACGAACTGGCTGTCCAGCGTCTTGCTGTCCTCATATTCTTGCCAGAGCTCCCGGAGTTGCTGACCATTGAGGCCGCCGTTGTACCGGCCAAGTAGGTTGTTGCAGATGTAGTCCATGGTGTCTGACTCGCGCCTGCTCTTTTCCTCCTTAGACACGTCGTCTACGGGCGTGATGTCCCCGACTAGTGCCTCAGCCATGTCATGGATCAATGCCATCCGGCAGCATCTTATGAAGTCGATCTTCGAAGTGACTGCTTCAGGGGCCATCATTGTGAGGATGCTCATGCGGTACATGTGGTCGGCGATGGACTCGGCATGCTCGAGCCCGAAGCGGCGCCAGCCTGCGCGTTTTGTCGTCTTCAGGCGCTCGAGAAGATGGAAGAACGGGATGGGCGAGGTGGTGGCTTCGGCATAACGGAGATTGAACTCGTGCAGGGCTAGATGGAGTCAACGAGAGGAATGCAGGCAAGCGAGACGAAAGGAAGGTGCCGCATACGGACAACGCTCCATGCTTACAACATACCGCTGCGCACCGTCCACTGAGGGCCTTGTATGTCTTTCTTGTTCAGTTCGCCTGCATGAGGGTCCGCAAAGCCGTTGGTCTGAGTGCTTTCGTCAATCCCGTTGTGGCTCGGGTCGGACTTGGCGCTGTTGCTGGTGCCAGTGCCGTTGAGGCGGTGCGCGTGCTCGCCGCCCGTCGCGGCCGTCTGAGGCACAGTCATTGCGATTGCGATTGCGATGACTGCTGCAGTGCGGGAGGGGGCGGACTATATATATAGACGTGGCAGTCCAGCCTCCCGAAGTCGGAGGAGCGCGGTGGAAGGCGGGGAGACGAGGAGTGCTTGCGAGCGGTGAAAACAAGCCGGTAGCCCTGGAGAGCTAATCGATAATGGCGGCGCTAGGCCCAGGCGGGGATAGTCCGACCCGCATTGTTTTGGTGTGCGACTCAGCTCCACACCACAAGTCTGTCCAGAACCCCCAATTGCCGTCTTTCGGCGCCTCGTTGTGCGGCATTCTGCGCATGTCTTACCTCGGAGCTGCAGTATGTCGCGCTCCACTTCGCAGTCTTCATCCGCGACCGGAACCATCGCGAGCGGTCTGTCACGGAGCTTGTCGGTCAAAACAAACAAGTCAACACAGGGCCCAAACCCGATACCGCCCTCAGATATCAAACTTTTTGTGACAAACCTGCGCCTGCTGGATCTGGACTTGCGGCCTGACTGGCCAGACATCACGGTGCAGACATTTTCCTCGAAAAATGCAGACCAGAAGCAGCGGATGAGCGGTGTGGAATGGTGCCTCTTCAGGCTGTTCGAGATATGGGATCCTGAAGAGACGGGCCAGGTACGATGAGCCCCGCGCCGTAAGACGACACAAAAGCCTGACCACTATCACAGAAGCTACAGCCCTTCTTCCCGCCCCTCGAACCCGTCCAATCGCGCAACCTCCGAAATGCCCTCTACCGCTCGCTCGACAAACTGAAGAAGGATGGTATACTGGGCCGGGAGTCTGTGCTCAGGAAGACCATGTTGGACGAATGCAAGGGCGACCGCTTCTTCGAGGTGCTGGCGCTCTTCTCGACCGTCGTGCTGAAGAAGGCTCTGGCCTCGCGACCAGCGAAAAAGAAGAGAACAGCCGTCGCCAGGAGGCTGGCTACCACGACTAACTTGCCGGGCGATGCTCAGGCGTCCTTGTTACCCCTCGCTATTGCACATAAAGCGGCACTTGTCAACATCCTAAAGAGGAAGGACGAAAAGAGGATAAGATTCGCTGATTTTGAACGTCTGTTGAATGCAAAGGCGGACGATATCAACCAACGGATAAGGAAATGCAGAGAAACCCCAAGGGCCCGGGAGCCAGCCATACCGCAGAAAGAGGCGGCTGCAATCAAAAAGCAGCTGAAGGACAACTGGATTGGCAACCAGAAATGGTTGGAAGTCATGCTTCACGGAGAAGATGTCCAGGCTGAGGATGCTTTCCTGAACAGCTCGTTCAACCGGGTCTGGAACATGGTTGAGCAAGGCCGCAAGCTAGAGGGTGCTGTGCCGGAGGTTGGGCTTCTGGAGAATCTACAAACGAGAGTTCAGGAACAGCAGGCCAGGCTGCAGAAGTGGCAGATGTTCCACGAGAAGCTGCGGAAAGAAGAGCCAATACCGTCTTTTTCGGCGGCAAAACCTGAAGCTCCCACGAGGGAGTTCAAGTTCGAAGACCATCTCAAGCTCCAGCCTCAAGCGAAGATCCCTGAGCACGAGCCCGTCAAACGACCGCCGTTGCGCGCAGAATACCGGGACATTATTTCTGAGATGGATGACGAGCTGGCGCGTGTAGCCACAGCAAAGCATATTTATCCTTCCGACGCTCAGGTGAGGCGACGTGGCTCGTCGTTGGCCGCTCCAACATCACCAACTCGTCGCAGGAAGTCACGGTCCGACTCTGTACCCAAGGTGCCGGCAAGCCCAGGAAGGCCCACCAAGCCAGCTCCGCCTTTACGAAAACAGTCCAAGGAAACCATACCGACTCGACCACCACGGCGCCATGAAGCTACTCCTGTCGACTCTGAGACGACCCTTGTCGGCCATCTATCGACTGTGCGTCCCGTACCGCAAGCTTCGCGGTCAGTCCTATCATTAGCAGTGGAGCATCAGGTACCGTTAGCAACAGAGGAGACTTCCGACGCTCTTCCAACCACTTCATCCCCACCGAGGCCTTTCCGCCTTGTGGAACCACTGTCGCCCTCTCCATCCCCCCCTCCACCATCCTCCTACTTCCCCTCCGAGCCACCCGTTCTCGAGCCACCCCAGATCAACACCGAAGACGCCCTCGCCGCCCAAATCATCTCCACTATCGGCGATGTCACGCCTTCACCGGTAAAGAAGCAACAACCGCGCCTCTCCCTCATGGAGCGCACCCGCCTGTCCATGGCACCCCGCAACAGCACCTTTCAATCCGTCCCCGAGTCGCCCTCCCTCCCCTCTCCACCGCTTCCTGAACCTCCAACCATCGAACCCCCACAACTCGACCGCCGCGCCTCCCTCCTCGAACGCACCCGCCTCAACATGGCCGCCATGAGCGCCAAACCGCGCGCCTCCCTCGCACCGAAAGACAAAAAAAATCGCAAGAGCAGCGCCCGCCAATCCATCTACCCTACCAACCAATTCGACACGCCGCGCACCCGTAGATCCATCCAGGCCATTGAGGAAGCGAAGAGCGGTGAGCATACGCCTAAGGAGGAGTTGTTTAGCGAGGAGGTCGAGTATGAGAGGGTGTTTAAGAGCCGCCCAAGGATTGCTACCAGCCCGGTTTGGGGGACGCCACAGAATGAGGGCATGACGGGGGCTGGAGAGGTCGAGGGTGAGCTTGATGAGGGTGTGACTGGTGTGGATTTGGGTGACGTCGATCAAGATGAAGATGAGGATGGGTTTACGCAGGCTTGGGAGAATAGTCCGCTGAGACGGGCAGGGAGAGGGAAAACATTTGGCTGAGGCCAAGGATGAGCATGGATTATGAGATATGAGGGGCGTTTGATAGCGTTTAGCGTGTGCGTGGTGTTTTATTACTAGTAAGCGTGCAAGCAAGAGGGGTATTCTTCGTTATTCGCGCCGTCGTAGTCATTGCCCTGTGTTGCCAGTCCCACCAGTGCAGCCCGCGAAGGCGTCGCTCTTTCCGTCCCAGGAACGCCAGACCGATGCAAGAATCGTTCACTTAATGAAAAGGAATCCCCTCGTCACATCTCATCTCATCTCATGCCACGCTCTTCCCCAGGTGTCCAAGCCCAGCCCAGCCCAGCTCAAGGGCTCGACGCAGCACACACCCTCCTCCACCGCCCGCTACTTCCCAACCCCTCGTCCACCCCATCCATAATCTCACTCACCCTCCTCCCATCCAATCTCTTCCCACCCACACTCCCAACACTCATCCTACTCGCCGCAAGGCTCTTCTTTCGCGCCCCGTGGTACGGACATATGCCCTTGCCGGAGCCCCTGTATTTGCTATTGAGGGGACAGAGCGGGCTAGTCGGCAGATGTTCCGGGACCAGCCACTCAAGCTTTGCACGGGCCTCTGCTTCGCGGGCCATGGAGTCTTTTCGTGCAGAAGAGAACGGCGGCTCTGTGTTTTTCTGCACGCGGAACCAATCCTGCGCAAAGTCTGGTACGGGCGGTGCGGCTGACGGCGGCGTGATCACAGTGAGATAGCCAGCAGCGGGAGCCGCGGGTTGTGTGCTCTTCGGGTCGTCGTGAGCGAGCGGGGTGACGCTGAGGCCCTGGGGCGATTCGTCAGAGTTGGAGGTCGGAGGGGAGATGTTGGTTTCCTGCGACATGAGCAGCGCGTCCGAGTCCCAGATACTACCTGGAGTCTGCGGCGGCTTGTGGGTGCGTACGCCCTGGATGTCGAAGAAGAAGTCTGCTAGCTTTCCTACGACTTCTCCGTTTGCGTCGAGGAGAGGGGGCGTGGGGACACGGTTTAGGCCGGGAGGGACGAAGGCGGGTGGGACGGGCATGTTGGCTATGGTGTCGAGGTTTGCGTCTGGACGGGCAGGGACGGACTGCTTGCGGCGCAAGGAGCACTTGTCAGTCTTTGAAGGGTTTGCGCCGCCGGTCGTGATGTGTTGGCCTGAGCGCTTGGGTTTGAGGAAGCGGGTAAAGATCAAGCGATTCGTCTCAGCAGAAGGAGAATCGGGGGAGTCGTTAGAGGCCCAAGAGCCGCTCCATCGCTTCCGGCTGGAACGTTTGCCAGTTCCTCTGGACCCTTCTTCCGTTTGTGCTATCTGAAGCGGCTCCCCAAGTTGGCGGTTTGCTGCAAAAGCACTCGCCACCGGAGTCGGAGGGAGAGAGTTGCCGCTCGTTCGCGTTTCACTTTTTCTGGTGAATCGTATGCGGCCGATCGAGCGACGCTTGGGGCTACGAGCGGGCGGTGTCTCTGAGTAAGATGATATAATGGGATCACTACCGGGAAGAAGCCCGTGTCCGCCTTGATTACCGCCTTCAGGAATCGTAGGTGAGGCGGTTGCTGGTCCAGATGTCTGCCAGGCCGGAGGATGGTCGTGTATCCACGGCGTCTTAGGACTCAGACGCCGCGGTGGAGCAACATGAGCGACGTTGCGAAGCCCAGACACTGGCGCTCGCCCTCTGGAGGGCAGATTAGGGAGGTCAAGTGGAAGAGTGAGCTTCATCGCCTCACCCTTGGCCAGTTTTCTGCGGTCCTTCACCGCACCTTTTGCCGGCAGAGATGGCTCCGGCGGAGGCGGCTTGTTTGCCGGAACATCGGCGGGCTGCTCAGCCTCTTCGGGCGAGGAGTCATCGGTCGGCGTTGGAGGGAGATCGAACTTCGTGCGACGCCCCGTTTTGCCCTTGCTGCCACCATCCCGACTTCTACGGCCCTCTGCGATCTCAAGCTCCTTCTCCGCAGGCAAGAATATGCGCATATCTGGCACGTGTTTCAGGACTCCCTTCGTGAGGCCGTTAAACGACGACCGTCTAGTATCCGTTCGGGGCACAGTTCCAGTAGAGGGAGACGCTGCGGGCAGCTGTATGGTAGAAGACCGAGACGGGACCGTGTCGGAACTAGTGATGCTTGACTCTCTGTCTCTGGCTGTATCTTCTTTAGACAGTTTGCGCACAATCTCTTCCAGTGGCGGCGGAGTAGATGGCGTAGGGAGAGGACGTGGGACCGGACTAGCATCCGGTTCTTCTCCGTGGCGCCTCTCCCAGCTAAAGCCGTCGCGTCGTTCTTCGGCTCGAGGCGTCGAGCCTCCGCCCCCAGGTGTTATACCGGCCGCCTGCACAGCGTCGGCATGCTCTTCGAGCGAAGTATAGTGCCTTGCGATGGCTGGCCGTGGGGCAGGGCTGCGGATGAACTCATCGTTGTTTGCATCCTGCTGGCTCGCGGGCTGAAGAGTGAGCTTAGGCCGCCGGTGGTCTATTTCGATCGAGTTGGTCTCAGAGGACGCCCCCGACATATGATGAGTTTCTTAGACGTTGGCGGCTGGGGATGCGGCGGACCTGCAATCGCTCGCTTCCGCTTGGGTGGCAACAGACAGGGACAACTGACGGGAGAAAGAATTGTTCATAGGACGGTATAAGAATGGCGCGGACCATAAAGGCGCGGCGGCGGTCAAGGAAACATGATTTGTTTGAAGAAGCAAGCAGGTGTTGTCCCCAAGGCGTGTGCGACGAGGTGCGCGGAGCCTATACGTGGATCGCCAGCCGAAAAGGGAAGGAGAGACGGCAGACAAGATCTTTCAAGCAGGAACGGGCCACTCACACGGCAGCGACGCAGGACCAGCTTCCAAACTAGAACATTAGGCCCGACATACAAAAGATACCCACCAACGCCGCGCAATGCCCGCCGTGCACCGTCCAGCCGAATCCGCAACCCGAGCCCTGTACACCCAACCCAGTCCCGCGCCGCGTGACATGTTATCCAACTCGTTACTTCATTTCAGCCGCAGTGGTCGCCTGAACAACACTGGTCCCGTCGACAAACCTCGTGCGGAATATCCTGTTCGCATTCTGGAACATGCCGTCCTTGAGGCTGACGACGATGAACTGCGAGCCCTTGAACCGCGTCTTGATGAGACGGCCAATGTTTTGTGTATGCGAAAGATCGAGCGCGGCGTCGACTTCGTCTAGAATGTACATCGGCGCTGGCTTGAACTGCAGCAGCGCCATAATGAGCGACAGTGCGATCAGTGACCTGAAGCCTGTTAGCCCTGAACGAGCATCCCGCCTTAAGCGATACGTACCGTTGGCCACCGCTCAACTCGGTCAAGGACTGTTTCCACACTTTGCCGAGCATGACCTTCACCTCAAGGCCATCGGAGATTGTCTTGCCCTCAGGCGGGTCCAGCTTGGCAAAGCTGCCGGGCAGAAGCTCGTTAAAGATCTGACCGAAATCGCCATTGACTTTGGTCCATGTCTTGTGCAGCGCTTCCTTCTTGTACTCGTCGAGCTTAACAATCGTTTCCTCAATCTTCCTCTTGTCCTTGATGACGATGGACATGTTCTTCTTCAGGCTGGCTTCCTTCTTTTCGACACTATCGATCATGGCCATGACTTTGGGGTTGATCTTGTTCTTCATGCCATGGAATCGCTCCTGCATGGTCTTACGCCTGGCCTTGCAGTCGGACATGTTCTGGCCCTTGAAGTCATACGGCGTGCCGGCCCGTCCGAAGAGCTCGCTCTCGTCCGCGATCCAGTCGTATTCCTTCTCAAGGGCCTGAAGGTTTCCGGACGCAGCGTCTCGTTCTTTGTGGAACCGTTCGATCTCATGGCCAAGCTTCTGCTGTTCTAAAGCCCCTTCGGTGATTGAGGAATTCTTCGATCGAATCGCATCCTCCAATGCGCGCAGTTCGTCGTCGAATCCAGTGAGTTTGGCTTGTTCATCCACGAGGTTGGCTTGAGCATCATCATGGGCATCCTTTGCGTTGATTAGCTGCGGGGAAGCGCAAAAAGGGTTCGTTGTTGACTCGCCTTGACTTGGGCCTGCTCAGCAATGAGAGCATCAATCTCTTCCTGTTGAGTCTTCAACGTTGTCTGCACGTCCTGCAACTGCTCCTGTGCCGCTGCAAGGTCACCGCCGCATTGCTCCGCTTCGACCATAGCCTCCCTCATCTCTGATTGAAGCGGTTTGATGGACGCATTGTTCTTGCTCAGCGCCTTCTTCAACTTGTCCAGCGACGACTGCAGCTCGGCGAGCTTGCTACCCTTATTGTTGTTGAACTCGTTCATGTCTCGCTCGATGCGCTTGATTTCCTTGGATGATTCATCTTGCCTTGCCTTCGCGCTCTTGACGTCCTCTTTGAGCTGGAGAACTGTTTGCTTCATTCCTTCGACCGCTTGAATGATCTGCAACACGGGTTAGTCTGATCAAACACAGCAACCGAACTACGCACCGACGAGGAAGAATTGCCGCTGATCTGCTCCTCCGTAAGTTTGATCTCGTGCGTTTTGAGATCGAGTTCTTGCTTCGTCTTACGTGCGGAATCAAGCTTCTTCTTTTCCTTCGCGATGGTAGCCTGAAGGGTCGCGAGCTGATTTTCCTGTGATTGGAGTTCCTTAGTGATCTCATTGAGCTTCTGAAGAGTGACCAAGACACCGCTTGATTGAGGCGCACTTCCACCGGACAAAGTACCCGCAGGATCGTACACGTCCCCCTCAAGAGTCACGCTCTTCATGCGAACGGCGGGATCAAAAGTCACACGCTTCGCGGTTGCGGCATCCTCGCATACAAGAGTCGAACCGAATACATACTCCATGGCAGCAGTGACTTCGTCGTCGTAGCCGATCAAAGAAAGCGCCAGATCGACCTTGCCAGGTGCAATCTTTTGTGCCGCGCCAATCTTTTCCGCCGAAGCCCTGAAAGCAGTGATCTTGTTGAGCGGAATAATAGTGACACGCTTCCTAAGCTTGCCATTCTGGAGCAGCTTTGTGCCGGTATCCGCTGAGTCAACAACGACGTTATAGAGACGGCCGCCGGCGCAGATCTCTAGAGCCGTACCTGCGCGCGTATGCTCCTTCTCGAGCGTGAAGAGCTGTGCAATCAAGCCTTTGACGCGCGACCGATCGAAATTCGGCGACGGGTCGCTGTAACTAAAGTCAATGTTGGCGACTTTCCTCCTCAAGCCGTCTGCTTGTTGCCTCAGCTCCCGGATCCGAGCCTGCAGATGGGATCCCTTTTGATACAGCTCCGACTCCTTTCCAGGCTCGAAACCCATCTTGGTGAGCTCCGCTTCAAGCTTCTTTGCCTGCACCTTGAGCGCCTCAAGCTCTTTCAGGAGACCGGAGTTCTGCTCCTTCGCTTTCTTCGCCTTCGGTTCGTCTTCCTTGATTTGCTTCTCGAGATGCGCAATTTTCAGCTTATTCTGCTCTTGTTCCGTCGCGGCAGCGCTTGCTCGATTCCTGGCATCCTGTAGCTGGCCCTGATAGCCACTCTCTTGGCCCTCTTTCGATGCTACACCAGTCTGAAGCGTCTGCAGCAGCTCCTCTTTCTTCTCGACTTCCTCGGTTTGCTTGGCGAGCTCATCGTGGGCAGTCCGATATTTTTGTTGCAGCTTCTCGTATGCCTTCGTCTTCTCCTGCAGTTGTTTCTCCATCTCTTTAACGCTCTTCTCAATGCTCTTCTTGCGCTCCGTCTCCTCAGCCATGCTTGTCTTCTTTAGGTCGAGGACGGTAGTCAACCGCACAATCTCGTGAGAATGTGTCTTGACTTCCTCTTCCAGCGCCTGAAACTTGCCGCCCTTTCGGAGCTCTTTCTCCCGCGAAGCCTTCACCTTTTTGATATCTTCCTGCAGATACTCGATTTCTTTCTTCATGCGTACCGCAGACTCCTCTAGGTCTTTGGCGCGCTGCTTCTTGGCGTCGAGGTCGTCTGCCGACTGTTGCAGCTTCTCCTTGTAGCGTAGGTAGTCATGCGCTACCACGAGACGTGTAAGGCGTTCGAGGTCGCTCTGTGTCTGCTGGAACTCCAAAAATGCGCGCTTCTCCTGTCGCAGCTTCTCCAGTTTCGGATCGATCTCGTCCCGGAGGAGCTCGGTGATCTCCTGGACCTTCATTTCCTTCTTTGCCATGGTCTTGAATGCCTTATCCCGCCTATCCTCAAACATGCGAGTTCCGGCAGCCTCTTCGAGCATGGATAGAATTTCCACGGCCTTCATGTTCAAAACCTTCGTTATCCGACCCTGCATAATGAGGAAATTTGGATTGTTGATATTGAGCTGTACGGACTGGAAAAGATTCTGAATCGTCTGTTGTTGCGCGCGATGGCCATTGATGAGGTACTTGCTCGCTCCGCCCAGCACGATCTGCCTTGTTACCGATACCTGGGCGTGCTCCTCGAAGCCCACGGGGCTGTTCGACTTGTCACGGTTGTCGAATACGATCGTTACGCTCGCTTTCGTCACACCAGCTTGACCGCGCTTGTATATGAGGTCCTGCAGCATGCGTTAGGGCTTGCGCTTTTCACCCTCCGACTTCATACGCACCTGGAGGTTCTGAGCCCGGACAGTGCTCATATTCGTTATACCGAGAACAAAACATATTGCGTCCAGAATATTCGACTTCCCAGACCCATTCAAACCGGTAATTGAGTTGAAGCTGTCGTCCCTGCATATTATGAGTGGCTGTTGTCTGCGCGTTCAAGGTAAACAAACCAGCCTGAGATGACGGTGCGGATGGCGTACGATTTGAAGCCCTAGACACATGTTAGATGCGGTCGCGTGCCTTCCAGCATCAGACTTACATCTATGACTAGTTCTATAATCCTCATGGCGGCGGCATGTGCTGGTGTTGTTAGGTGGGTGTGTTTGTTTTGGCCTCGCGCCGAATAAGCGGGAGCGTCTCATTCGGCGATAATTCGGTGCTCGCGAGTTCACGTGAAATCTGATTACATAATCTCGCTTAGTCGTCCGCACATCTCGAATTACGCTGCGGCGCCGACTTTGGACATACCAACCGCACACAACGCACGCCCGCCGAAGCCCTACGCGATTCCTTTCACAAAGTCAGAACCATGTCTCACGAATCGGTCTGGTACTCCCGCCCGCGAAGCTACGGCAAGGGCAGCCGCTCGTGGTATGTCCATATCGCGCTGAAGTCCACAGGGCCTATACTGACTTCAAAAGCCGAGTCTGCACTCACAGGGCCGGTCTCATTCGGAAATATGGCCTTAACATCTGCCGTCAATGCTTCCGGGAGAAGAGCACTGACATCGGTTTTGTAAAAGTGTGTTTCGATTCTGAAAGTTTGACGCGGGAGGCGCTAATTCAGCCATCAGCACCGATGAGTTTGCGGACGAACGAAGCGAGAGACTTGAATCTAGTCCACCGACGAGAACGCATGCGAATGTGGCTGGAGGATCTATAATGAACGGCTGGCATGGAATTGAGGCGAACGATGCATTGGTGTAGACGTTTAAGGTGTTTAAAAGGACTGCGATACACTAGGTGTAACACCGCACGCCTACGGCCTTTTTCAATCTTCTCCAATTCTTTGCGCACACGTTGCGCGTCCTCGTCAGCCTTAATTGCGATGCCACCAGGCCGGGACTACCCACGCGCTCAATACGAGCTTGTTCCCGTTTGCTCTTACACGCCAAAAGAAATGTCGCAAATAATACTCGCGGTTACGTGGAGCTTTCCAAGTTGTATTTTGTGGTTCACGAAAGGGTACTCCTTAACAGTATGTGTTGGGAATGCGACGGATCCTTGCGAGCGCACATCGATTGACGACTTTCTCTCACCAGTCACGAACGTAGCATCTACCTCGTACACTGTTTCGTCATTACGCCATAGGGATGGAGATGACGCTCAGCGCACGGATGCTCGAGGATCATGTTCACATTTCCAGCCTTTTGGGAAAGTCTTAAGCGCTCTCAGCAACCCTGGGCGATCTTATTTCCCCCTAGCCCCAGCACAGGCTACACCAATAATGAGATGGGGAGTGGCCCTCTAATCGTGCAACCTTCGCAGGATCCAACCATTCTGCGGGGTATCGTCTCAGTTCCCACGGCGCCGACATATTGATTGCTTGTTATCCTTGTCGCACACTCCCCACAGTGCGACCAGGACAAGGGAGCCCAACTTGAAAAGCTTAGAGTGCGAAAACCTGAGCTAGACGTCGCTCCTAGTCGCTATAAACTGATTCTGGGACTATCCCCCGATTTCCTTTCTTTATCGCACTGTCGAAAGACTTATTTTCCTTGGAATTCATTCACAAGCATCTCAAGCTTTCAACCAAGCGTCGCCATCCAAGGCTTGTCGCACAAGCCGGGTGCTTGAGCGATCCAACATGGCAGGGTGTCCTCGCGACTTACCGAACAGGCAGTTGCCAATTACCCCGTCTTCCAATGGCAGCACTATCTCTATATTAGTCCGTGCCATACTTTGCGCGATCGCAAGGGTCTATGTCGCACTCAGATAACGACAAACCCTTATAACGGCGACTGTGCGGTCTTTCCTTTGGCCCAGTACTACGAGCGTACGCTTGCGAGACCGCAACACCAGCGCCTGACCAGAGTCTTGCTTTCGCGACGGCGCCGTCGGATTCGTAAAATGGCGTCCTTCATCAACCGATTCAAACGAAAGTTGCGGGGGGAGAGTACGACCCCTCAGCGCGCAGACACGTTTGCGACCGAATCTAGCGCCTTCCCAGACGGAAAAGACACGGAAAAGCACGATGTCCCACTGCCCGGTCCTGAGAAGACGGACCACGAGATCACAGCATCTGGGACTTCTCCGACAATTGATGAAGAAGGCAACGTTACCGACCTTCCAGACGACGTCCGGGAATTGCCCAAGATCGTGCGAAACATCGTTAGTCTCGAAGATGATCCAAACGCGCCTACTCTAACCTTTCGATACTTTCTCCTATGCTTCATCTTTGTACCGCCAGGTGCAATTCTTTATACGATGGGAGTTTACCGGACGACAGCCGCTGTCTATCCTGTTCTCTTTGTTCAGATTGGTAAGCAATTACCTAACCGGTTTTACAGTAGTGCTAAGAAGATCACAGCTTCTCATTACATGGGACATTGGCTCGCTGATGTCCTCCCAAAGAAAATTATTCGCATTCCGTTCACCAAATTCAGCTTCAATCTGAACCCAGGCCCATGGCACGTGAAAGGTATGATAATCCCTTTCCGAAGTGCTATCACGGTGTAACCAAATTAAAGAAAATGTGCTCGTCACCGTCACTGCGGCTTCTGGAGCGACTGGAAATGCCGCCTGGTCAGTCATTTCCCTAGCCCAACTATACTACGACACCTACATCCCAGCAGCGGCATCAGTATTCTTCATGTGGGCCATCGTGTACATCGGATACGCTATGGCGGCTCTGGCCCGCCAATTTCTCCTCTATGACCCCATCTATACCTGGCCATACTCCTTGATGCAGACTGCCGTCTTCGAGACCCTGAGCAAGTCCGCCCGCGACTCCTGGGTTGCAAAGAAGCAGAAGATTGTTTTCTTCGGAGCACTGGCGTTCATAGTATGCTGGCAATTTTTACCAGAATACGTGTTTCCGTTCCTGAGCTCATTATCCTTCCTCTGCTGGGTCGCGCCTCATAATTCCGTGGCGAACTTCGTTGGAGCTGGCATCGGAGGCATGGGCATGCTCAATTTGTCACTGGATTGGGCCAATATCTCGAATCAGGCTTTCAACAGTCCGATGGTGGTCCCGTTCTGGACAACGGTGGTCCTTACGGTCGCGTACATTTTCAGCTGCTGGATTTTGCTTCCGGCTGCGAAATGGGGTGGGCTTGGAGAATGGAATCATCAACTTATGTCCAACCGCATCTTCCTAGGTGAGTTCCCTCGCTATGAATACCGAACATTCGCTAATTGTATTGTCACCTTAATAGAGAATGGGACGAAATACCCTGCGGCTGCTCTAATTACGCCTGATCTCACGTTCAACGAGACAGCCTATCAGGAACTCGGGCCCGTGTACATGGGAACCCAAGCAATATGGGCCTTGTTCTTCGATTACTCGTCGTACATCAGTGCTCTCACCTGGATGGCGCTCTTCGGATACCCAAAGATCCGCGAGACATATCAGAAACTGCGCAAGCGGGCCAAAGACAAAGGAAAAGACACTATTAACGAATTCTACACCGATCGGTTGAACGTGCTCATGCGTTCGTACAAGGAGGTTCCCCTGTGGTGGTACGTGGTGCTATTCATCGCATCCTTCGTCACAATCATTGTCATCCTCGCCAAAGGCTATTTCTTCATCCCTATCTGGACCTTCATCATCGCCATCTTCAGCTCCGGGCTGATGATATTACCCTTCGGCTGGCTCTACTCCTTCTCTAGCTTCCAAGTCGCCATTGGCTCCTTCAATGAGCTCCTCTACGGCTTCATGGTCCACGCAACTTCGGGGCACAAGCACCCTGCCGGCGCCAACGCGTACGGCTGCATCGCAGGCGACATCTGGTATCGCGCACAGTATATGCTTCAGGACCAGAAGATTGGCCACTACATGCACGTCCCACCGCGCGCTATCTTCTTCAGCCAGATCTTCGGCGAGCTGATTGGCGTCCCTATTAACTACGGCGTCATCCAGTGGGTGCTCCGCGCAAAGAAAGACTATCTCCTGGGCGATAAGGAGGATCCGCTGCACCAATGGACAGGCCAACAGCTCGCGAGTTATAATACGATGGGCGTGCAATATGTGCTTATTGGGCCAAAGCGGCTGTTTGCGCAGCATATGTATAAGCCGCTGCCGTGGGCGTTTTTGTATGGCGCTGCGGCGCCGTTGGTGTTGTATGCGCTGCATCGGGCGTTTCCTAGGTCGAAGTTGAAGTTTCACCTCTGTAAGTCACCGTATATCTCCCGCCCCATATCACTCCTGCACCTTCTCTCCTTCCCATCGCACCTCGCTAACCTCACTATCAAGGGAATATTACCATCTTCGGTTCCGGAGTCTCCGCCTTCTATGGCAACCTTTCCACAGGCTACATTTCGCGCTTTATTGTCGGCTACATCTGCATGCGGTGGTTCTTCCGGCACCGCTTCGAAACGTGGAGGCGGTATAATTATCTCGTTGCGGCGGCACTTGATGCTGGGTTCAATATCGCGATGTTGTTGATGTTCATTTTCCTTAGTAGTGGAAAGGTGGTTACGATGCCGAATTGGTGGGGGAATAATGAGGAGAGTGTAGAGCGGTGCTTTGCGCTCGAGGACTAGTGGAAATCTGGCACAAGCAACCTTGGCGCCTCAGAGGGATCTAATGGTGAGTTTAAGAGATAAAAGGCCCACTGCAAAGCCGTTTGGTCTAGAACCGGTTTGACAAGATTGCGGGTCCACGTACAACACCTTACACTCGGAAACCTAGTACTATCTTGTACCGATGCATTGGCCCCGATCTCGCAACACTAAATTTCAGCCCCTCCTGTTACGATCGCAGGATCGGACAAACTGGGCGCTGCTCCGAAGGGGGACCAAGAGGGCGAGACTACGGAGCAGGGAAAGTCACGTGACAGGATCAGGATCCCGGTCACGGGAACAGGATTAGAATCCTAGTTACAGGAATAGAATTATAATTCTAGAGATTCTAGAGAAATCTATAAGATTACGCTAAAAGATATATATATATATAATACTAAGAAGCTTACTTCTTATAATATACTTTATTATTAAACTCTCTATATTATTAAACTCTCTACGATTTCTTAGTAAGAAAAAGTAATAAAAATTAACTTGTTTTTCTTAAATAACTAAGCGAAATCTTAATATTTTTCTATAAAAATTTATATATATATTTTTTATAGTATTTTATACTATATAATAAAGTTATACTAAGATATATTACGTAATTAAAAAGCTATACGTATTTAACTAACTTTTAAGAAAAATCTAGTTTACTTCTAGTTAATATACTTTATTATTAAACTCTCTATATTATTAAACTCTCTAAAAATACTAAGTCTCTACTAAAAAGCTACTATCTTATTTAGATTTCTCTAACTCTAAGCTACTTAAGATAAATCTAGATAAGCTATCTAACTTATTTATATTATCTTTAACTATCTAGTACGTTTACGTATTATACTCTAGCTTACTATAGCGTCTATAGCGTTGCTAAGCTAGCTAGCTATTACGTACTACTATCTCTTTATACTACTTCTTACTCTTATTCTAATCTATAGCCTTTCTTTAAGTAACTAGCTATAAGCTAGCTTTAATTATAAGAGTATTCTCTTTTTAAATTTACTTTCTTTTACGTAAATTATACTTCTTTTTCTATACGTTAGCTACTTAAAGCTAGGTGACTTTAGACTCTATTAGTACTAGCTAATATGCTATTAGCTTATTACCTTTCTTAAGCTAATTAAGTAACTTAATAATATAAGTTAGTAATAAATTAAGATACTATATAATCTTTAATTAAATTAAAGTTAATTAGAACCTTACTTTAATAAGATTACTAGGTATTTTATACTTCTAGATAGTAGTATTTTTAGTAGAGAGTATTAGTATACGTAATTAAACTTTAAGCTTTAATACTACTAAATCTAGATTAAATAAAACTAAGCTAGCGCTTCTAAACTCTACTCTAATATTATTATTTATAATTAACGCGTAAAAAGCTATATAAAATATAAGTAAAAACTTAATTTTTATAGTATAGTTAATATAGCTATATATTAGATTCTTAACTTAGCGTCTATATACTATCTTTAATAGTAAGAAGTAGCTAATATTAAGTAGCTATAGAAAGTATAATAAATATACTAGTATATAGAAAGCTATAATTTTATTCTTCTTATAGTACTACTAGAATTTAACTAAGCTATAGCTTTTATAGCTATCTAAAATTAGTAGATAATATATACCTATAATATAACTCTTAGTATACGCGTTAAAGTACTTTAGCTATATAATACTAACTTTATTTATTATAATAGTCTAGTTTAGAGATTTACCTTAGGTTACGTAATCTTATTACGTAACCTAGCCTAGTGTCTTAGCGCTTAGCACCTCTATATATAGAGTCTCTTAGAGTATTCTTCTACTTCTTACCTTTAGATAGCTAAATTTAACCTAACCTATTCTACTTATCGCTCTTATTCTTATAGCTTATAGAGACTATATTACTCGTAATTAACTTACCTAGCTAGGTATTCTAGAGCGCACGTATAGTAGTAGAGACTATAGAGCTAGCTCTTATATTATCTAAAGGTTAATACCTTTTTAGCTAGAGATAGTAGTATAATATTAAGCTAAACTAAGTAGTCTTATAAGAAGCGTTTACTAATAGCTATACTAAGAATTAGAGCTATAAAAGCCTAGTTACTTACTCTAAGAATCTATTAACGTATTAATTAATTACTTCTCTCTAGTACTATATAAGACTACTAGTAGATCTAGTAGGTAGTAGAAAAGATACTACTAGTAGTAACCTAAAAAGAGCTATAAAAGCTCTATGTATAGAAGAACTTCTATAGAACTTCTACGTATAGAAACCTCTCTCTTATTTTAAAAATTAATAATTCTCTACTCTACTAGTAGAGCTAATAATTAGCTGCTACGCTAATAGTATATACTTTTACTTCTTAAATAAGAAGCTATACCTAAGCTAAACTACCTAAATACTATAGGTAAACTCTTATAAAGTAACTTAGGTAGTAAGACTCTAGTTATATAGTACCTCTTTACCTCTATAATTCTTAAATTCTAGATAGAGAACCTACTAGCTAGTTACTTAAACTAATATTATTATTACAAATTGCCCGTTTAATAATATAATATAATAACTAATAAGAATTAGAATATTAACTTTATAATAGTCTAACTTAGCTCTAACTTAGTACTTTAGCCTAACTTAGCTTCGCCTAAGTTATATAACTCTGCCTAGCGCCTTAGTATAGGCACTCTATATATATAGAGAGCTCTTAGAGTATTCTTCTACTTCTTACCTTTAGATAGCTAAATTTAACCTAACCTACTCTACTAGCACCTCTTATTCTTATAGCTTATAGAGATAGTACTGCCTATAGCTAACTTACCTAGCTAGGTGTTTAGAGACGCTTATAGTAGTAGAGACTACAGACCTAGCCCTTATATTATCTAAAGGTTAATACCTCTTTAGCTAGAGACGGCGGCATAATATCTAGCTAAACTAAGTAGCCTTATTAAGAAGCGTTTACTAATAGCTAATACTAAGAATTAGAGCTATAAGAGCCTAGTCGCTTACCTAGAGAATTATAGCTACGAGAGCTCTAATTACTTATCTCTTTAGCGCTATATAAGACTACTAGCAAATCTAGTTAGTAGTAGAAAGATACTAGTACTAAGCTAAAGAGAGCTATTAAGAGCTCTATATACAAGAGGACTTCTATAGAACTTCTACGTACGAAAACTCTTCTCTTCTTTCCCCCCTTTACGAATTATAAAAAATTAATAATTCTCTACTCTGCTAGCAGAGCTAACAACCTCTCTGCCCTGCTAGTAGATCTAATAACCTGCTGCTTCGCTAGTAGCTAAATACCTCCTCTCTTCGCTTCTTTCTTAATTAAAAAGCTAAACAAATCTAAACACTATAGAAGAACTCTCGCGAAGCTAATTTAAAGGTAGAACCTTAGCTCTATAATACCTCTTTATCCTAATAGTTCTTAAATCTAGAGTAGCGAACCTGCTAGTAGAATATACTAATTAATATTTCTATTATAAAAACTCTATTTAGTAACATAACGTAATAACTAATAAGAATTAGAATAATAACTTTAACTAGAAGCTTGTAAGGCTCTACTAGAGCTTAGTAATACTAGAGCTATTATTAGCCTTAGGTTTATATACTCTCTCTACCTCTACTATAGAGCTTTAGAAGCTCTTTCTAGAAATACTAGCTAAAATTATTAATAAAATAGTTAGCTAATTATATATATAACAAGTATATAAATAATAAATCTATATATATTACTAGATTACCGCTAACGCTCTTGCTAAGAGAGATAATATATATATAAGAAATTAGATATAGACTACTACTCTAGCTAAAAAAGACGCTAAAATCTAGTAACTATAAGCGTAATTAACCTACTCTAGAGACTAGTCTACTACGCTAGTTCTACGCGCGACGCGTTTCTCTATAATACTAATTATACACAATTTAAGTGCGTTACTACTAGAGAATTTAATTCTAGGTTCTTATCTCTCTATATACTAGCTAGCTACGCCTCTAGCGTTATAAGCGTAGAAGAGCTAATTAATACGCTCTACTAAGTTTCTAGATTTACTCTTATTATTAGATAGTAAGAGCGTTACCTTTAAGTAGTAGAGAAATAGCTTATATAATAAACTTAAAGTAAACTAGAATTAGTATACTAGAGATACGCTAGAGAATACTAAGAAAACTGTTATTACCTATATCTATACGTAAACTAAAGAAGACGCGTACTAGACTCTATTAGTAATACTATAAATAATTAAGAATAGTAGCGTAGTAGTTTTCTATAATTATATTCTTAATTAGCTTGAGAGAAGCTATAGAGATTTATATAAGAGGCTAAACGCTTACTATAATTTCTAAAAGCTTTATTACTAAAGCGCTACTAATTTTGCCTACTTCTAGAATAATTTCTTCTACCTTGTATAGAAGCGTTAGCTTCTAGTAGATTAATAGGTAGAGAAATTTTATAAGAAGCTACTAGAGACTATGTGTATGTAGTTAGGTATATACTAATGTTAATATATTAATAACTATAATTACTATATAGACTTTACTTAAGATTTTACTTAAGAGCTTACTCTAGAAGAAGTACGCGTTACTACTAGAAAGGCTAAAAAGCGTAACGTAATTACGTTAATACTATAACGCGCGCCTCTAGCTCTTCTAGGTTTTTTAGCACCTAATAAAGCTCTAGTAATCTAGAAGCTAGTTACCTATTTTTAATACTACTAACCTAGCTACCTAAGCTGTGATTACTCTAGAGCTTTTACCGCGTAGAAAGCTATTAAGAACGTTAATCTAGAGAAGAAGCCTATAGAGCCTATAGAGCTATAAGCACCTAAGAATAATACGTTAGAATATAAATCTAACAATTTAGAAAAAGTCTAGCTCTAGAAGAAGTCTTCTCTCTAGAGCTATCTACTAGAGTAATAAACTTATGTAAAAAGCTATTTAGTAGTTCTACGTTTACTCTACTCTACTAAATATCTATAAATAGTCTTATAATTAAGCTTAGAGGTTTAATTAACACTAGAGTAGGTAGCTACGTTCTAGTATACCTAAAGTATCTTTAGACTCTTAGAAAAAACCTCTACGTTAAGCTAGCGCGTATAGAACCTATTCCTCTTACTAGATATAATAGACGACCTAACAGCTAGGTAGATAAATACTTTAAAGCTAATTTAGTACTAGAAAGCTACTAAATACGTACCTACTTTATATATTATAATACTAGCTACTATAATACAATAATTAGTTATAAGCTACTTAAAAAAGTTAATATTT